CAGAATTTTTGTTGGGGGGCAGGCCTTTTGTTGGGGGGGAGGAGAACCTCAGGTTGCTATGTATTTTAATTGATTTTTATTGATTATGAGGGAGCTGCCCCCTCTTGGCTACACCCATGTATGGAAATGTAGGGATCTAAATGTAGGACTGGAAAAATGAGAAACTGAAGAAACCAAAATGCATGAGATTCTTCTATGCCAACTGATTAATGTCCAAAATAATGTCCAAATAAATCTAAATCAATCAAAAAATACTTGTAAAAGAAAGTATAGAGAGTGATATCCAATGATGTGTGACTGGATTTCCCTTCTCTCTTCTATCCTCTGCAGCCCCCCAAATTGTTCTGCAGGGTCCCCACCCCTGCCTTTGCAGCAGATTTGGTCAACATGTGGGGGGCTGCAGGGAAGAGCAATCCCATTGAAGTAGCAGAAATCCATGCAGAACTGAGTATCACTCAGGTCACTGGAACATGATAATAATGGAAATACATTTTATAACAGCCAGGATACCAGGGGAAAAGAAGTTCAAATACTTTGAGGTTTAGTTTACTTTAAGTACAACTCTGGTGCCAAACTTTTTTTTTAATGAACAGCTTTTATATCTTCTTTCTCAGCTGCATTGAAAGGCTTTGCATGGAGGCTTTAGCAAAACGAAGAGAACACTCAGTCCTAGCAACAAAATGAAAAACAGAACAAGCATCCTAAGAGAAAACTAAGCCCAGTTTACCCCTCGGATATACAGCTCTAACATTTTTTTAGCTGTCACTCCTCTAGTGGTGCTATAGTACTCCCCCCCCCCCTTGTTTTTTGTTTTTTTTTTTTTAGTGTGGCATCTTATCCAGAGTGAATTCAATCCAGTTTGCTGTCTAGATGAACTTGGACTGCAGTTGTTTTCATAGTGACCAATCAGGATGTTGGTAACTGGCCCAGTCCGGATTTCACTGTTAGACACGACAGGTTGACATTGTTCAGAAGAGATGAGTTATGAAGCTTTTATCACATCTTTTTAGCTTGCCATCTGCTATTAATAGCAAAGATGTTTTCCCTGTTCTAACTCCACAAAGATTATAAAGTAACCACTCACATGGGAGGCATTTTTCAATCTATTTAATATATGAACAGAAAGTGTTATTGGCACATTTTTTTGACCAGCTCAACATAGTTAGAAGGAGGAACACAAGCGATTGCAGCAACTGGCCATCAGCAGTCTCTGAATATAAAATAATCTCATCTAATGCACTGGACTATAGGCAGTCCTATAAGTATTTAAATTCAGAGTGGGGCTGCAAGTCTGCTTCTAGTTAGAGTAAGGCTAAGTTACACAGTCACTGCATCAGAGCTCCCAGTTGGACATACTTGCAAGTACATAGGAACACCAGAAGCAGTCTTCTACAAAGTCAGACTATTAGTCCATCTAACTCAATCTTGTCTACACTGACTGGCAGCAGCTCTCCAGGGTTTCAAGCAGGGAGTCTTTCCCAGCCCTATAGGGAGATGCTGAGAACTGCACCTGGGACCTTCTGTATTCAAAGCAGATACTCTACCACTGAGTGACGACCCTTCCCTAAAATAGTTGTGTAGTGGACAAGTCCAGTGTTAGCACAAGGCATGTTCGGGCAGGTGCTGGACACCTGCCATCCCCCTCACACATGAAGAGATATTGGCACTATGGGGCTGAGCAGCTTCTGACTGCCATCTTGAATTTGTCCCCAATACCCCAGAAATAGGGACGTCCTAAGTAAAAGCAGGACATTCCAGGATCAAATCAGAAACCAGGACGGCTTCTGTAAATCTGGGTCTGTCCCTGGAAAACTGGGGCCCTTGGAGGGTCTGCATTCTGACATGAGGAGAGGTGCAAAGAGCCTATCTCTGGGGCAAACATGGCGGTAGCTGAGGTAGTATAAGTTTCCTCCACCCCACCTGATGGGGATAGCTGATGAAGGGGGCACTCACACACCATTGCGTGGTCCTCTTTTTCTGCTCTTTTAGGTGTGACAGCCATTTTATGTTATGTTACATATCCCACTATGGGCATTTTGCATTGTATTACATCCCCACGACAGCCATTTTGTGACTGGTACCCATTCTCAAAATTCCCAAAGGCCCCAACAGGCCCCCCAAGAGTGGTGACCCTTTACCCAGCTGAATGGCATTGTACTTCACAGGCCAGCCACATGCATAACTGCATTAATTTATTTTTTTTTAAAGTATTTGTACTCCTTTTCTTCCACAGGATTTGCTCTTGAGAAATGTCACTGGGGAAGCTGCCTTAAATCAACAACAGTTCTTACACACCAGCAGGCGTGACTTCTCTGCGCTGGTAATATGAGACTTTGCCTGTATCTATGAAAATGACGCCTGGAAACGTAAGCTAAGAACAACTCCTGCTTTATATATAGAAACTGTTTTATTTGCAGACCAGACCCAGAATAAATAGTGAGGTAATTTTTAAGAGGAACCCAGAGCTGTAGTCTGTTAATGTTAACCAAACAATGGAACACAGTTTTGCCTCTTGATTTCTGGAAGACATTCATTATCGGAAGACTAGTAGCCTCTTGTTGAAGGCAGTGCCTTTTGCATTTATAGTATGAGTCACAATACTTTCTCTTTGAGGTTCTTCCAGAACACTTTCTGCATCCTGATCCTATGCAGTGGGAAGGAAGCCCCACTGAGTCCAACAGGGCTTACTCAAAAGAAAGTGTTCTTAAGCGGGACCTGCAAGAACATGTTGCAGCATGAGGTTCCTGTTCAGGAGTTTGAGAGAAGCCAACCATGTCCTTTTACAGGAAACTCCATTCCATTTCCCCTCCTCAATTAATTTTGAATCAAACGAACAAATGTACATAAGGGGGAGAAATAAAGAAACAAACAGAAAAAGAGCTCTTCTGGATCTCACCAAAGGTGAGGACAACTTGGGGAATGGGAAGACCTTGAGAATTTTTGTGGTATGTATTAAAAAGAGGAGGCCTATAGAATAATGCAAACCAAACCAAAAGCATAGCTGTCAACTTCTCCCTTTTCTTGCGAGGAATCCTATTCGGAATAAGGGAATTTCCCTTAAAAAAAGGGGAAAGTTGACAGCTATGCAAAAGTAATGTTTGGAATCCTACAGCACACTGTGTGTGTGTGTCATTATTTAGACCATCTATTATGAAAGTTGAAGTGGATCATTCTTTTCCATTGAAAAGCTGATCTTGTGCTTAAACGTTCCTCTCTTCAGACCTGTGGATTTGCAGATGCAGGTCCCTACAGTGGGATGCTTCCTCCCCTCCTCTCCTTTTTTCCCCTTTGGCCTTTGGGATGTGCCAACTCCTATTATTAGGCTTTGTTGGCCCTGCCCATTTGTCATGGTTCTACACCAGCTGAAGCGGGAGAAAAGGGGAGGGCAATAAATAAGCAGCCCCCATTTGAACAGGACTAGTGTATCACTGCTTCCAAGTGCTGTCCTCCTGCCTTCATTCAGTGTACAGAGGGTAGGTACATCTTCAAGATGCTGTGTTGTTCCTAACTATTAAGAAGAAACAAGGACTGTGTTATGAGTTAGATTAATGGTCTCAGTTTTGTTTTTAGTGTGCTATTGCAATATTTAGCAAGGCTCTGTGGGCTGGTGGGAGCACGACACACACTCGGTGGGAGCTTTAAATAGAAGGGGACGACTAGGATTCTGAACAATCCTCCTACTAGAGAGTCAAATTTAACAGGGGCTAGCCTTGAGATCTTTGTATTACAAGGACCATGATCTGGTTAAAGCAGGGGTGGGGAAGCTGTGCTTCCCCAGCTGCTGTTAGACTGCATCTCTCTCATCCCTGAACAAGGTGGCTGGGGCTGATGGGACCTGGGAGTCCAATTGCATATCTGAGAGTCCAATAGCATGTCTGACTTTTGAGATCTTGGTGGAGGAATGAATCCCTAGGAGTTCTAGTTGATTCTGCATGCATTAGCATACACACAGACAAATGGTTCTAAAGGGCAAGAAGTGTTCTCAGTGGTCAAACCCTAGTCATAGAAGTCTTTGATCTCATAAAGTTTGACGGAGCCCATCTCTTTATGTGCCTTACTGGATAGCAAATACTTTTTTTGTAGGGCGACAAGCTTTTGTTTTGTCTTTTGTATCTCCTGTTTGAGCTTTTTAAAAATGTAAGTTGCCCTGCACGGTATCATCTTAAGGCGGAAGGGGCGTTTCCCATTCTCTTAAATGCAGGAGAGCGTAAGATCAATTAAAAGTGTTGTAGCACATTAAAATCAAGACAAATTTATCATGGCACTTCATCAAATGCACGAGGTGTTGCACACAGGCTCTAGGTGCTGTGCCCCTGCTCACATTTCTCCCCAGCTCCACCAACCTCCACCTCCCAGTACCCCAAATCCCATCACTTGATTCCCTTAGACAAGGGATCATTTCCACCTTGCAGGCCAGCTTTGACAGGTGGGTTGGGCAACGCACCTGTGAATCACATGGCATCACTGTGATATTACACAATTATCAGGTGGATTGGCCTGCACACCTTTCAAGAGCCTCCTCTTGCCACAGCTGCTCATACCAACACCATTTCTGTCTCAGCAGTCGAGTGCAATGAAGATGCAAGTAGCAGGCAATGGCATCAGAGCAGGATGGTTGTGGGGGAGCTGCTCTGTCTCACCTATTACTCTGCAGCTTACCTGGCCCACTGGCCCACCTGCTTGTCTGCCCACCTCCATCTTGCAGAACAAGAGATTTGGCACTACTTTGCATAAAAGTCACGACCTTTTTCTACAGCAAAATGCTGTTTATTCCCAAGGAAACGGATTTACCGTCAAGGCAGTCGTGATGGTGCTATGATTTGGGGCGAGTTAAAATGCAAAACTGCACATGCTCCGGACATTTCCTCCTTTTATATGAAGACAGGACACAGATCATCCTTCTGTTCCTGACCATAGTTACTGAATATTAATGCAAGTATTAAAAAATAATAATCCTGTTAAACACAGGGAACTCGTCAAAAAACAATGAGTCTTGTAGTACCTTAAAAGAGCAACACATTTTATTGTGGTATAAGTTCTGAAAAGTACCTTGTAGTACCTTAAAAGAGCAACACATTTTATTGTGGTATAGGTTCTGAAAAGGAGAAATCTGCAAATATATACCATTTGGAGGGTACTCAAAATTGTAAGAAATTCAGGGTTATTACAACATAGAATTAAAAATCCACAGAAATATTCCGCTAGGAATAACATGTCCTCTAGCCCCAAGTGGATATCTTTCAACTCCCAAGTTTACATTTTTGTTTGATTTCCACTAAAGCCAAAATATTTCACAGATAATTTAAATGTTTTGACCAGGAGTGCATGTGTGCAGAGTAGGGATGGGGAGTCTGTTTCAATGGGTCCAAGAATTAAATGTTTAATGACTACCACACAGGCAATTTTTGCAGACTGGATTGTGGGCTAAAAATAAAGACAACACTCAAAGACGTGTGCTGCTCCTTGTGTGTCCCTGCAGTCTTCCAAGAATGAAAGATGGAGAAGCCCCAACTCTTCAGTTCCTAATCAAAATACTAAAAGGCAGGCATGATCCTTACCCAACTTCATTTAGAGGAAGAATGGAAAGATCAGTCAATTTCGGTTCTCTCAGTTTCTAATTTTACAATCTTAAATCCAGTTCCTCACATTTTTGCAACAATGTGTGATTTAAAAGCAAAACAAAACAAAAAAACAAAAAGCCCTCTTGAAAATCCATCAGCATCTTAGGGCAAATTTCTCCTAATGCATTTGTACGCCATTTTGACTAACATATACATTCCTTGCAAGAATCTTCCCTAATATAATGCATTTTTGTATGTTATTTTCATGAATACATTCATCGTTATGCACACTGTTCCCTGATATGCAATTTTTTTTGGGTAAAATTTGCTTGATTGGAGAACTGCACCACAAATTTCAGATAAGTGTGAATTTTGAAGGATGGCTGTGTTTTGGTTCTCATCTTGTTTCAGGATGTGTGAATTAGGTAGCTTTGCCTTTCAGTGCAAAATGGATCAAATTTCTCTTCCATCCCTAGTTCAGATAGGCTTCATATAAAAATAGTATACCTGTCTGAACTTGCCCAGGCCTTAAAACTGGAAATTTCACATTTTGGTATTTGCAATTAAAATTGGAAACTACACATGACCTTAACTGCAGAGTTCTGCACTCCCTAGTTTTCCTCTGACACACACAAACTGCAAATGCAAGACACTTATTCTGGATGAGGATGGTGTGTGTGTGTGTGTGTGTGTGTGTGTGTGTGTGTGTTAAGGTGGATATAAGCTATTGTCCCTCTTGCAATCCCTAATCAATTGAGGCTCTTTGTTCCTGCAATCTGTAATGCCAAAAATTCCCATTGAAGCAAATTCTATGAGAATTGATTTTTTTGCAACGGAAAAAAGCAAACCACAGACCACTGACCAATTGCATCTGGAACAGCTCCTATTTGTTGATTGCTAGCAACATCCTTCCAAAGGAATGCTAGACCAGGCAGACCTCGGTCTGATCTGCAAGGTGCTGGCTAGGTTCTTAACCACGACAGCAGACTTTGGATTGCTTAAACACCAATCAGTAATGCCATAATTGTTAAAGGATTCTGAGATTTGCTTTATGAATACAAAAGCAGGAGCTGCGGCAAAACACTGCAGGGTGAGTGCTGCTGTTCAGGATTCCAGCCCCACCCACCTGTCAGCTAGCATTCGCAGTCCCCCTATTGGGTTGTCTCCCCCCCCCCATTTGACCCCCTACATTACTTCTGCAAGCCTTGAAGCTCTTGCCAAGCCTGCTGATCCTATCCTCTTGTGCATGGGTGATGCAGTTTTGGCTACATAAACCACGGCACCTACAGCCTGAACACCAGAAACAGAGTGACTCATGAAACAGATGGAACAGGAATTCTTGTAAATAAGCAAACAAAGGCAAAGAAGTCAGCCCCCTCCTGTTCTAATCAGTTCCTTGAAGAGAGGAGTAGTTTCTGGAAATGAAACCTAATACCAGTAAGCTTGGAATGTACCCCACACGTTTATGCCTGCAAAAGACGATCAACTCAGACACACGCATTTTAATTCCAAAATATTCATTTATAAAGAGTGATACAGTGTGTCCCATGGTCCTCCAACCCAGAATTTCACCATCATACAAAATTGATTGCTAGCATTTTTTTACCTATTTTTATTCATTAACCTCTAATTATAATTTTAAGACACTTCATTTAAAAGCTTCTAGGCTGATAAGAGCCTCTTAAAACTTCCCAAGGCATTGTACCATTTGGAACTAATCATCCCATTCAGAAAATGGATATGGCAAGGGGAGATCACAGGTGTGAAGTGTTTCACTTCACTGAAATGAAATCCTTGGGTGTGGAAACCTAGTGTGTCAAGCAGAAAGCTATCCTTCTCAATGTGCTAGCTTTCCACAGGCGGGCTGCTTTGACTATAGGACAGCATCCCATCATGTTAACATCTTTACCTGTATTCTGAAGTGGTCTAGTTCCCAGAGGATCACAGCAGATAGCTTTTCTGACTGGGCAGTTCAGCTCTAAGACATGACAGCAATTAGCCAAAGCACTCCAATTTATCACCTCTTGTTTTTCCCTTGAGAAACGGCCTCTGTAAAGGGCAAATGAATGAATTCATAAAGCTGCTTGGCATTGCCAGCATTGCCCAGAAGTTCGGCCAACTTGTCCTGAGAAAGGGTTACGAGTTCTGCAACGCTCTTAACATGATTCATTATGGCCTGGCAGTTTTTGGCATTCACACCGGGCATTTTGAGCAAGAAGTCTTGGGGACCCGGGTTGTATCTGTCCGATTCAGGGAGGCTTTCTGAATCTGCTGTGACAGCCATGGCTGTAGCTGCATCAGGCTGGGGACGCTTCCTTTTCAATTCCTCAAACAATTCAGCCGTCACGTATGGAGAGGGGCACCACAGGAATCGAAGCCGGGAGAAATGGAGAGTGAGGAGGGTGAGTTTGGATATAATGTCATTGCTCGAGATTTCTTGATGGAGGGATCCCCGGGGAGTGAGGGAGAAGGATTTGCTGGGGTCAAACTCTATGAGAAGGATGGGGCACTTGTAATAGCGAGACATGGAGACACACTGCGTATAAAGTCTCCCGCTGTTCAGGGAGCCAATGAGATCGCTGATGCTCTTGCGCTCCACACAGATGTCGGGGGTGAGGATGTAGTCACCGACTTCCAAGGTTACGGGCTCAATGTCAATGCCGCGACGGTGGATCAAAGACGGAAGCTCGCTACGAAATTCGCGCATGTCCACAACAATGCTTTGCGGCACGCCCCTCTCTTCCTGGCCACCTAAACAAAACAAAAGGGATCAGGGAAGAGAGGACATACAGTGGTACCTCGGGTTACAGACGCTTCAGGTTACAGACACTTCAGGTTACATACTCCGCTAACCCAGAAATAGTACCTCAGGTTAAGAACTTTGCTTCAGGATGAGAACAGAAATTGTGCTCCGGCGGCGCGGCAGCAGCAGGAGGCCCCATTAGCTAAAGTGGTGCTTCAGGTTAAGAACAGTTTCAGGTTAAGAATGGACCTCCGGAACGAATTAAGTACTTAACCCGAGGTACCACTGTACTGGTCTTTCTGCTGACAAGCGAGACCCACTGGATCCTAGCTTCCTAGCTGCAGTTCTGTCTCTAAATGGTTTAACAGCCTCTAAGCGGTTTAACAAGGCAATCTAAAATATTCATATACAATATTGGCTTTCTATATGCTGTAACAGCCCCCCTCCCTTGGGACTTTTTGATGAAAGGCGACTAAGAAATACAATGTAATAATAATAGGAGTAGAGGCTCCCTCTTGCCAGCCCACCCTTTGTTACTTCCCCCCAAGAATGCTTCAGACACAGCATCATTCCAGGGCATGGGGCGTGTGGTCACCATCCTCCACCTCCCAAGAATGAAATATTATGTCTGGAGCATTATGAAGTAAAGAAAACAGCAGCTGGCCTGTTCAGAGGAAAGCTCTGCCATGGTTTGTGACAGCAGCAAAATGAAGTTTTTTAGAAACTGAAGGAGGCTGCTACTGTTGGGGTAAGGCCCCCCCCATGGTAAATCCCACTCCCCCCAAAATAAGCAAAATGGTCTCCTTTCACTATTCAGAGCTGTGAAATTCAGAGGCCATTTGAGTTTGCCCCTAAATGATCTGGCAGCCCACCGTTTGACCACAATAGAAGATCATTACACTGAAGATGTCCATGAAAATTCAGCTCAAAAGACCTGAAAGGTGTGTTTTAAAATAGTCCCATAGATATCAAGAACTTACCTGCTTTGCGCGTATCAGTGGAAGCAGTTGCTGGGGTTGCATCTCTTACTAGATCCAAGTTTGTTTCATCTCTTCCTTCCCTTTCTTCAGGGATCACCATGCTGGCCTTCTCACTGAAAAACAAGAATTATGATCAGAAATGTTTGAGGCATTTTCCTCAGAATGGATGTGTTAAAATTCTAAAACCTTTCTGCTGCCGAGCTGGAGCAAAAGCTACAGCAGTACCTCTCCCTCCAATCAGTTTAGGGAATTTCCACAAACAGGACATCCCTTGATGTTATTTCCCCAGTGAAAGGGGTTCAGAGGCATGGAGATAGTCTACAGGCATCCTGACTAGCAGCCACTAAGCTATCTAAGTTGGCGGCCATCGCCATATATTGAGGGATCCTATTCCATAGTTTAACTGTGCTTCCACCAACCACGGCAAGACATTGGAGCCCTGGTTCCAGATCGCCAGAAAACATAATAAACACTTGTTCCCGTTTCTGACGTTACACCAGGCGGTGCGGGAAGGAAGGGCAGGATATAATTTAAATTAGTAACAGCAATAACAACAAGACTAATGGAGCAATCCTATATGGTGCAGAGAAGACAAAGCAGCAGATTCCCCACCAGATCTGCAGCCCTGTTAGTTCCTGCCAGACAGGAGGGAAGTGGCTGTGTGTGTGTGTAGCTTATTTTCCTTTTCTGCTCTGCCAGCTCTCAGGCTGGCACAGCACAGGTACCCAGAGTGGAGCCCTCAACAGGAAACATGGCAGTTTTAAGTCCAGTGGCTCCATCACTGGCTTTGGTCCAGCTCCAGAATATTCTGTTTTGGGGTCTTATGCTACTGGCAGTAGCACATGCCCCAATGGCTGAACCCAGGGGACACTGGCAGAGGGAACCTCCGCTGTATTCTATCCCCCAGCAGCAGCACCGACCAAGGGTTAGGAGTGCTCTTTAAATAAATAACATAGAACAATATTCATAACATTTGAGGAGGTTGTTTCAGGGGTATGCTTTGCCATTGTTATTTATTTTGTATTTATCTGATTTTAAGTTTCATTTAGCCAGAAAACTGGAACGGGGAACAGGTTTGCTTCTTGCAAATCAATCTGTTAAAATTCTGCCTGAAAGACTTTGCTTCGTATATTTACAAGTAAAATGTTTATTTTTAAAATGAGAACTGAATATTCAGGGAAAGAATCTTTAATAGCTTTGAGGGGGCTCAGCTAGGGATGTGATGGCCTGGAGAGAGAGAGAAAACAGGAAAAAACACTTTTTTTTCCTCCTGAGGATAACTCTTTTCTCCGCTGCCCCCTAAAAACCATGACTGGGAAACTTGAGGGATAGCCAAATATGCTGCTTGTCCTTAATATTGTGACTGTGTCAGACTGCTTTCTGTCCAATTTACTACGTATTTTGTGACTTCTTTGTCAGTTTGCTCTGGTTGGTAGAGAAGTCTCTGAGGTCTCAGGCAAAGAAGAGTTTCTCCTCATTACTTTCTACCTGATCCATTTAGCTGGAGATGCCACAAGCTGAACCTAGGACCTTCTGCCCGCAAAAAAATGTGTTCTGCCGCCAGATGCACAATCCCTTCCCAAGGACAATGAAGTGGGCACTAGTCCACATGAACTCCTGCAGCAGCCAACCTGTTAATCTTCAAGGTGTCACAAGGCTCTGCTGTTTGCTCTGGAGACAAGGGAACATTTCTTTTCCCCCTTTGCAAATTTGACATTTTTATTATATAAGTCTATAACGATCTTTCACGGTATTCAGCTGCTTACATAAGTTTGCTACCTTGGTAACACTTGGAGTGGGTGGGGGAAGATGAAACAAGCCAGAGCTCAGAGCTGCATAGCAACAATAGGATAACCAATGTGCAGTCTCTGCCTTTCGAGCAGCTAGAAATATGCCAGCAGAAGGGGAAGATCTGGCAGAGAACCGGCTTCCACCAGAATTAGCTTTACAATTCTGCCAGCTTTAAAAGGGGGGAGATTTATCCTGCGGAAGCAAAATACATATTGTTTGACACTGCAGGGCTGGCATCTCTGGGCAGGTAGTGGGACCCCAGGACCTTGGCAGCGGGTGCCTGGCTGCTCCTTTGAAAGGCCAACATTTTCCAAGGGCAGCATGCAAGATGCACCTTACCGAATGAGTTTTTCGAACGCTTCCTTTTCTTTCCGTAGTGCAGTAAGATAGCGTTGCTCTTCTGTCGAGCCTCCATAGATAAGGAAATAAACCCTGCAAGGCAAGACACAAAGACCTCTCCAAATCCAGAAGACAGTGGCCCAAAGTCTATCGATTCCAGCATCTAGTTCTCACAGCGGCTAACAAGATGCTGATGGGAAGCTTGGAAGTGGGATTTGAGAGCGACAGCTCTCTACCTCTATTCCCAGCTACTGCTATTCGGAGACATACGGCCAATGACCATAGAGGCAGAACCCTAGCAGTCATGTCTAGTAGTGCGCAATTCTAAGCAATCCCTTTTGGGAGGTTCTCCCTCACAGGGACATGGGAAGCTGCCCTACATACTGTGTCAAGACGACTGGTCTACTTGGCTGAGTGTTGCCTACTGTGATGGCCTGGGATTCAGACTTGGAGGCTGAACCTGAGGAATCCCAGCCTGCACAGGAGTCCCCGCCTCCAGAACCAGCTGAACCGGGGCTGGGGCTTGAGCCTGAAGGGTCCTCACCTGTGCTGGATCCTAAGGTGCAGGCACCAGCCGAGTCTGCTCTGGCTCCTGAGGTGATGGAGGACCCATCGCCTGCAGGTGCTCCACTCTCAGCCCCGTCAGAGGAAGCTGAGGTTGCCTCTGGGTCCAGTAACCCTCCAGCCTCTCCTGAGCTGCAGAGGCTCAAGGCAGAGAGGCGAAGGGAACTAAGTTCCTGCAGGAGGAGTGCTCGCCTCCAGGCCAGGAGAGGCGAGTCACCCGTGGACCGGGGCCGCCCTATGCCTCGGAGGAGATAAAAGCCAGCCAGCCCAGTCCCAGGTTGCGGGAGCAACATTGTTGGTAACCTGTTCCTGCCTGCACCCTGTCCTGCTCTTCTGCCAGAGTTCCTGACCTCACCCGACTCCCTGCCTTGGACCCAGCTTCAGCTTTGCCAGACAGTCCCTATACTGCACCCTCGACCTCGGACTGGACTCGGACCTTGCCGCATGGTTAACCCTCGGGACCAGCACACCTACTCTGACTAGCAGCAGCTCTCCAGGTTTTCAGAGAGGTTTTCAAACAGCCGCAGGCTGAACACGGGACATTCTGCATGCAGAGATGATGCTCTGCCCCTGAGCTGCGACCTTTTCCTCACCAAGTCTCAACGTACCTCAGAGGCCTCCCAGGCCTGCTTGCCTTAAAAATTTCCAGCTGGCGAACAAACGTCAGCTCCGTGTCGTACAGCACGACATATCTCGGTGCCACCTCGTGCAAGATGCGAGTGAGAGCGTAAGGGTCCCCACAGCCGTTCAGCGGGTGGATCACAGTGAGTGGCTCCTTTAAGATCCCATAATAGGCATCCGAGGAGAGGTTCAGGTGAAGGTCTTCGGGCTTGGCGTCTCCAACGCTCTCTTGGCTGCTGCTTAATTCCTCACAGCCTTCTTCCTCTCCCAGGTTTTCCTGCTCCTCTTTGTTCAGCATTTGGGTCAAGGTCAGCTCTGGCTTCTTCGCCTTCTTCGGTTTGGAGGAATCCGTTCTGGCTTTCTTGGCCCGTGGTTCTCTGGCACCGTTGCCCCGGCCCTTGGCTGCCCTTCCGTCCTTCAGGCAGGCCACGGTGGCTTCCTTGTCCTTCCCAAAGGTTTTGTTATACAGCCTTGTTAAGAAAGCTTCTGCCCCAGCCATGATGTACTCCTTGAGCTGAGCACAAGTGCGGTCGTCGCTTGCGCAGATAAGCACTCGCCCTGCAATTGAGAAACGGTTGCCGTAATGGGATGGCGCGTAGAACTGATCACCCATTCCCACCCACCCCCCAAAATGCAGGGGGTAGGGAAGGAAAGGTTGAGACCCACAATAAAATGGTGCAGTGCATCCTCACCCCCTGCCCAGGACTCTGGCACCCTGTAGTGTTCTGTTTGGGGCTCGGAAGCAGGGGAAGCTTCAGGAGAGGGAGACAGAGAACTGATACCCTCCCCTTCTTTCCCAACCTATTGTAAAACCTCCCCCTGCTATGTTACACAACTCCAAAACTGAGCTATCAAAGGTTTTTTGGCTAAACCTTAGGAAGAACTTCCTGATGGTAGCGCTCTTTAACAATGGGACACACGTCCACAGAGGATGGTAAGTTCTCTTTCACTAGAGGTTTCTAAGCCGAGGCTGGAAGGCCACCTCCTCAGCGATGCTGTGGCAGCAGATTTCCTGCACTGGCAGAGGGTTGGACCAGGTGACCTTTGAGTTCTAAGATTACAAATGCCTTTGCTCCAGGTCTCTTGGACCGCTTTAGGACCAACGCTGAATAGAACCATTAGTGCCTACTGAGAGTTGGCATCCGTCTGTCTCGAGATAAAATCGAGTGCGCCTCTGGGGGTGAAGTCAAACCACTGCATTAGCAGCACCCAAGTGACCTCTGGTTGAAATGGATGGATATGGCTAGCTTAGGCCTATTCATTTTGGGGGTGGGGGTGGGGGTCTAGTCTAAGGAAATGTTAGTCAGATACACACCGATGGATGTTAAGCAGTATCAATGTTGACGTTGTTGAACTAAATAATACACAAAACATCCTGCAGGTTCCAGAAGTCACTGAGATAAAGGTTCTTGTTGGGAACAGTCTTAGGGAAGAAGAAAAACTGCTTTGCAAGTATGATAGTAACAAGTACAGTATTATATTATTATTGCTGGTGAATAATAGCTCTAGCAAGAGCAGCAACAATAACTGCCTCTGCCCACCCCCATCCCGCTGCCCTGCCCCTCCCAGCTCACCTGGCCCACCCAGAGCTTCACTGTTGGCATTCTCCGTTTCAATCTCCTTCAGGACTTCTCCAAGAGCCTCCCACTTTGGGTTGCTTTCCAGGATCAACTCCCTTTTCTGGTCTGGAACACAAGGTCAGTGGATGAGTGGGGAATTAAGAATTTCTCATTACACCTTTCTCGGACGCTTTACGAATGCTGGGGAATCCGCCTGGCACTTATAGATAGATTGTGTCCCATTGAACAAACAAACGTCCAGGCTGAAAGCACAAGCTGAGCATGAATTAACTGAATGGGATGGGACCTAACTTGGTCTGGATCCGGCCCTGTATGATTTAGAGCTGCTTGTTGGCTTTCTGGCCTCTTACACTCAGGCTGCATATATACCTTACATTTAAAGCACATCCCCACCCCCTGCAAAGAATTCTGGGAACTGCAGTTTACCCGTCCCCAGAGAGATAAAAATCCCAGCACCTCTAACAAACTACAGTTCCCAGGATTCTTCGCAGGTGTTATATGCTTTGAATGTGTGCACATAGCCTCAGATTCATAAATTCTGAATCAGTACAGCAGCCTCTTGTGGTGGCTGCAACTGTGACTGGTCAGTGAAGACCCACCAAGCTATTGTGTACTGAGTCAGACCATTGCTCCATCCAATATAAAAGAGATCCTTTTAACTGGAGACACCAGGTGATCAAGCCTTGCAAAGGCACCTCTGGCTTGCCACTCCATCACAAACCATGGTTTGCTAACTTAGATATCCTCTAAAGTTTAAACTACTGTTATGCTTCTTTAACTATGGGTTCATGTGATGTCCAAATTAAGCCTTAATAAAATCCTCTCTGTTATCGCCATGGATAAAGTAAATACATGTGTGTGTGTGTGTGTGTGTGTGTGTGTGTGTGTGTGTGTTTAGAGTTTGCTAATTGTCAACACAGAGTTCAACATCAGACTCCTATTCTCCCCTCTCCGATCACTGTGCCATTTATACTGAAACATGAAATAAGCTTACAGTATTATTACAACGTTATCAAGGCAGGGACATGCCCTCTTGTACCCTGCAAAGTACACTGATGCCATCATCATAATAAAAGCACCCATTACTATTTAATAAATGAAAAGGTTTTGCTGTACCTTTTCCTTCTCCTCCGATATCTGCTTTTTCGGCAGCTTTTCTTTTTTTCTTTGCTTTGTCATCTGGGAGGCGATACACTCTGCCCCGAGCATTTAGAAACATTGACGTACTAGAATCGAGAAAAAGCCAACCTAGCAGATGGAGGGAGACAAATATATATCCGTGGCTGCAATTACAAAATGCCCACTAATTTCTTTAGCCCCCTTCTTTCCCCATCACTTCAAATTAGTTTTGCAGGGATAAAAACAACAACTTTGAAGAAAGAAGCATGCTTTTATTTCCATCTTTCAACCTAGCTAGCCTACCTCACAAGGGGTTATTTTTTGGGGGGGGGACACACATCCCAGCACACTGCCTTGGTGCATTTGAAGGCAGCCCTGTTTAGGGAAGCTTTTAATGTTTAATAGGTTATTGTATTTTAGTGTTCTGTTGGAAGCTGCCCAGAGTGGCTGGGGAAACCCAGCCAGATGGGCGGGGTATAAATAATAAATTTAAAAAATATTTTAAAATGTGGTAACAAGCAATATAATATGGCCCTAAATACTTTAAAGTGGAGCAAAGAGCACAGCCTTGTTATACCGGGGTGAGTCTATGTATCTAGTCCTGTAATTTTGCCCTGATGTCCCAGATTTAATCTACCTAGTGTAACCAAACATGGAACATACACACTCCCACTTCCTCTCTCAGTCCAGGAAGAAGCTTTCTCACTTGACACTGCTGATGATATGGCCAGCTCCAGGCACTATATTATTCTTATCACTATCATCATACCTTTCATCCAAGTTGCTCAAGCTTCTCATTATTCCTCCCCTCACCATTTTATCCTCATAACAACCCTGTGAGGTAGGTTAGGCTGGGAGACATAGAGTCCCTTGGCAGGCTTCATGGCTGAGTGGAGATCTGAACTCTTTTCAGAATCAGCAGCCTGAAAGGGGGTGGGTGGGTGGAAACCTTCACTCTGGCTAATAGTAGGGCTGGCCCCAGGATCATGTAAAACTGGCCCATACCGGGGGCACAAAGATCCCACACTTCTGACAAACGTCTCCAGCTGCTCAAAGCCCAGTCTCCATGTCCTGAGGTTCTTCCTTCTTCTGCAGCTAAGTCCTTCTTATGTAATTATCGACCAAAGAAGAAACAACAAATCAGGTTTTCTGTATGAACATTTGCAGATCTTTTTCGAGGAACAGAAGTTCAGTGGGAGGCTGAATATATTCACTGTCAGTAAATCCTACAGCCTTATGGCTGGCTGAAAACATTTGGGAACGTTCATGCACATGTGTGTTTTTTTAAATTAAAACTTCACTCTTTTTTCTTTTTTTTTTAAATAGCCCAACTGATTCCTTTGTATAAAGGGGGCGGGGAAGAAACTGCTCATACCTGAATTCTGACCAAAGGCTTTTTCTGAGGCTCTTAAGGACTCCAAAAGGTTAAGGAAAGTGACGCAGTCATACTGAGTCAGGTACTGTAGCAAAGTACGGAGAATCTTCAAATCTTGGACCAAAGTTTTGGTTTTTGATCCCAGCTGGTGCCAAAGAGGATCCAGATAGTGACGAATTGTCTAGAAATATAAAATTAGAAAGAACTGCTGACACAGTACTGTCATGATCTGAACGTGAACTTCAGAGGCCTTCCTAAACTTTTAGCAGCTTTAGAACCCGAATCCTGGATTGTGTCTTTTTAAAATAAAAAAGACAAGTTTCTAGTCCTCATGAACACAACTGAACAATCTGGCAATAATTCCTGCCTTCTGACCCTCAGCACCCACTCTCTCACTCTCATACATGGAGCCCATGGCAGGCAGCGACCATTTTAGGTTTATCTGATATGTGTGCGACCATGCATTGTGCCGAACCCAGAAAAGACCCAAAAATGTCACGAAAGGGAGTGGGGCAGGGTGTTTGCAGGCTTTTCCAAAGGTGTTTCAAATATACGCAATTTCACTTAGACAGTGTGGTGCCTTGGAACATAACCGCTGCATAAATTGGGAGTTGCCTGAACTCTATTGCCTCTATATAGAATTCAATGTGTGTTAATAATAATAATAATTTTTAATATAACAGGTTACACAAAAATAGCAAAACAAACAAAACCCACCCCCAACAATGGAATAGTTGTATGTGCATTATTATAAATACGGAGAGGGTCCCATCAATTTATTGTCTGCCAATACATGAGCATACACAATAGTGCTTTCCACGGAAATAAGTGTGCATGCTGATTATAATGCTCTATCACCTTAGTGCAACAAATCCACTTTAAAATAAAACAACAGACTTTTGCAGTTAGGAAAGTCATGAGGAAATGCACTGAAAAGTGTGGGATGAACGCACAGTTAAATGGGAAGATGTACTAACACCACACAAGCAAATCAGGATGAATGCTCGTTGTATAACTGTTCTACAAACAAATCAGAATGGCTGCTCAGTGAAGACCGGACATGGTCTAACCTCTGCGTAAGCTTTTGTGCAAGCAAATCAGGATGAATGCTAAACAAACATGTCTTGAGAGGCTCACCAGCTTGCCCACTTAAAGTCACAGCTGGTTCCACTAGAAATCTCCCCCTCCACTTTCAGGGTCAGTAGATCAAGGCTGTTCAGCACAGATATATGGATTTTTACAAAGAACAATTCCAACCATGTTATGATCCTGGCACACAATGCCCAAACAAAAGAACGTTTATTTCATTGTTAACAAGCTTACAATGAGCCAGCCAGAGTCTTGGAGAGCTAATAAAACACTCTTTTATGTAAAAACACAGTTAAACTATTAACAGATGTCTAAATCCCTCCATTAAAAAAAAAGATAGCAGACTTTCCTCCCCTAAACAAAGTGCAGCTGTTGGGAAGGGAGGACAGTCAATTGGAGAGCTCTGGCCTGCCTGAGCCTGTGACATGCAAGAGACTTTGCCAAAGAAAGGATCGCATCGCTTCATTGCAAAAAAACACAGATCTGCAATCTGGAAAGAAGATTGCCAAGTTAATGAAGACAAGGGAACCTGCCATTAATGAATCTGCAATTGCCAAGCAACGTGCAGTGCTTTTGTAAGCTGGCCCACAGGCAAGAGAAATATTTCACTATTCTGCTCTCCTTGTGAACTAGCCAAGCCCTTCATCTGAGCCGGGATCCTGCTCCGGAATGCACTTAAATTTGCCAGAGCTGAGCTCTGGGGAGAGATGTGAGCTCATAATCCAGATGAGACTACCCCAAGCATGTGCAGATGTCAGGGCTGGGCTGGGGGCAAGCAGACTGAGTCGAGCCAGGAGAAAGGCCAGTGGTTGGAACCTATGTGTAAGATAGGACCAGAAGGACAAATGAGGAAACAGGAGCGAAGAACAAGCCAGGCATCAAGGATAAGACAGGGTACACACAAGTCTTGTTTGAGCCAGGGACAGCTGGACAAGAAAGCCCTTCCTGCCTAACTGGGTGAAGTCAGTCCAAAAGGTTCTTCACCAAGAAGGCAGCCACCTGAGATTCAGTGGCTCATGGCAGAAAGCAGCCAGACGTGAATTCCAGCAGTTCCCTCAAGTTTAGGTAAACCATAGCTGTTTGACTCCTTCACTGGAGTTACAGGTAGATGTTCATCTGTTGGGGGCGCTGTGGTTGCACTTTTCTGCACCGCAGACCCTGCCCTGAGCAACAGGTTTGACAAGGCAACTTCCACAGTCCTTTCCAACTCTATGATTCTGCAGCCAGATGAGCAAACAAACACCTGGGATACAGGTAAATGGAATCCACGCCGGACATTGTAGGAGTCCAACGAGACATAATCTTCCATCTCTTTACAAAGCTGAATACTGCTGCCCTGACTGAGTGATGCCCATGATCACTGAGAAGATTCAGAAAAGTGAGCCAAGTGGGGAAGTGCAATGGAATTGGGATGCTGTCTAGCTATGCTCTGCTGCTTTCAATGGAATACGTTACAGCTGTGTATACATATTACATGGGGTGGGAGGGAATTGTAAACTGTGATGGCCAAAGGAAAGGAAATGCAGAAAAGCACAGAGAGTGATGGTTAACAAATGTTAACAGCGGCATAAACCAGGAAAAGGGAAACCTGCGGCCCTCCAGATGTTTTTGGACGACAACTCCCATCAGCAGGCAGATAAAACAAAGGAGATCCAGGACAGATAAAAGAATGCATTTCTTCACGCAACACAAAGTTAAACTATGGAACTGGCGCCCACAGGAGGCTGTGAAGGCCACCAACTTGAATGGCTTTAAAAGAGGATTAGATATATTCATGGAAGAGAGGGCTATTGATGGCTTCTAGCCAGGATGGCTAGACAAGAACCATTGAAGAAGAAGAGAAGAAGAGTTTGGATTTGATATCCCGCCTTTCACTCCCCTTCAGGAGTCTCAAAGCGGCTAACATTCTCCTTTCCCTTCCTCCCCCACAACAAACACTCTGTGAGGTGAGTGGGGCTGAGAGACTTCAGAGAAGTGTGACTGGCCCAAGGTCACCCAGCAGCTGCATGTGGAGGAGCGGGGAAGCGAACCCGGTTTACCAGATTACGAGTCCACCGCTCTTAACCACTACACCATGCTGGCTCTCTATTGGAGAGAGCAGTGCTTCACCAGCTGCTGAAACCACAGGAAGGGAGAGTGCTGTTGTGCTAAAATCCTGCTCTTTCTCACAGGCATCTGGTTGGCCATTGTGAAAACAGGATGCTGGACTAGATGGGCCGCTGCCCTGATCCTGCATACTCTCGGTTATTCCTGACCCTTGGCCACATTGGCTGGGAATGAGGAGAGTCGGAGTCCAACAACACCTGGGAGGCTGCAGGTTGTCCAGTTCCTTCTTAAAGCTGTGCTCATCATCACAGGGAACAATCACAGCCCTTCGAGGATGGTGTAGCAGCCAAGGACCCCGATGCCGCTGATTGCATTGCCTGTGCCCATATAAAAAAAACCGCTAGAGGCCGATAAGAAAATTCCAAGAACAAAAACGAGCGACAGTTGAAAGAGCTACCTTGTCAAATGCTTTCCCGATAGCATCTTCCAGCGACAGATCCTCCGCTTCCAGAGCCGGGTTGCACTGCTTTAGTTCTTTCAAACACGCGTTCAGGATGTCCAGAATGGAACTCTGGATGGCTCGCATGGCCGGGGTCATGCTGACGTGCATTTCAACCACTTCGGGCTTGTGCCGCTCTAGGAAGGAGTGCACTGCTACATGGAACCTGGGAAGAGAAAGGCGGGCTGGTGTTAGGGAGAAGGATGTCAAGAGACCCACGCAAATCCCAAGCCTCTTCCCCCACCTGGACAAGAAAAGGCAAAAATAGATGTGAGCTCCCTGTCCACAATGCCTCACTCCTATGGTGCTCCTGATGGGGCCTTTTTGGTTTTTTGCTGGGCTTGTTTATGGGTTATTGCAGGGGTCAGCAAGGTTTATCTTGCTTGGGCCAGATCGGTCCCGCGGAGATCCCTCCGTGGGCTGGATCGCGTGCATGCGTGAGCGCGCCTGCCCACGATTTTCGGCATCTGCGCAGACGCGATTTCTGGCACCACAGAAGTGAGTCCCTGTGCTGCACTGTGCTGGTTTAGCACAGTGCGCGAGCGGGAGGCTCGGTTCGGGAGCGGCTCATGAGCCGGTCATACAGCCTCCACGGGCCACTTCTGGCCCATGGGCCTTAGGTTGCTGAACCCTGGGTTATCGGGACAGTTTTAATTACCGTATTTTTTGCTCTATAAGACTCACTTTTTCCCTCCTAAAAAGTAAGGGGAAATGTTTGTGCGTCTTATGGAGCGAATGCAGGCTGAGCAGCTATCCCAGAAGCCAGAACAGCAAGAGGGATCGCTGCTTTCACTGCGCAGCAATCCCTCTTGCTGTTCTGGCTTCTGAGATTCAGAATATTTTTTTTCTTGTTTTCCTCCTCCAAAAACTAGGTGCGTCTTGTGGTCTGGTGCGTCTTATAGAGCGAAAAATACAGTAAATGCCATGTTTTATCTATTCTTCCGTTTTGGCTTTCCCCGCATTTTGGAAGCCGCTTAGAGACTCTTTTTGTAGCAACTAATAAGTCAAATAAATGAATGATGCCCCTCAGAAGTAGACAAGGGTTAGATAGTCGTAGAGAGCCTTGGGAACACCTACTCTGCCACCACTTATGCGGTCGCAGGAGACTAAAGCAGAAGGATAAGGTAGCAGGAGTGGTCAGCACATGGATTGGCAGCAGCTGGTCCACTTCACCTCAGGTGGCACAAAGTCTTGTGCCCGCCCTGTTTACTGCTCACCTTGCACGTCTAGGAGCACCCATCATTTCCCTTGGTCCCCAGCAGCAGGAAACCGAAGAAATACTGCTCCTGATTCCTGGAGGTTCTGTTTTTGCATAATTGCTGCTGATCAACATTATCTGCCCTGGCTGTGATCAGTTCATCTGCCCAGTTACCAAGGAAGAATGGCCTCACCTTGGCCAGAGGTAAAGCTTCCTCACAAAGAGATTTCTCATCACTCTTTCCACATGACAGAAGCCCGTACTGAAGGCCACGGCATTGTCTGTAAAGGCCTTAATGAAACCCTGCTTGTTCTTCTGGCGATAGAGTCGCAAGATAAAAGCTTCCTGGCAAGACTCAATGATTCTGTGGGCTTTGTACACCAAAATACCTGGCAGAACAACAAGACGAATAAACTCGGGTCATACATACAAGAGAAAAGCAAAGAAAACAGCAATAAAGCACAGGACGTGATATTTTGCAGAGTAGGTCATGAGTTTCAAAGGTTCAACCAATTAAAAAGAGCATGACACCATCTAACTTTCCTTCGGCTTTTTTCCCACTGATGGAATTCAGCAGGGCTCAGATCTTTCCCGCCTTCAATGCCGCGCCAGTGAAAATGCTGCAACAATTTAAAATGTGTTAATTACCGGTAAGTAGGAAAAGGTAGTTTCTACTCAAAACAACAAACCAAATAAGAAAGATGGCAAGAACCCCCGACCTTAATTTATTTATAGGAGCATTCTCGGAACGCAGCAACGGTGCAATGGCATTTGCAGCCTGAACACTGGAAATAAAACCAACCATACAGGTAAAGTGGGAGCCTGCTACCTTGTTGCTTTAAACTATTTGTAAGAAATAATTGCATTTTGGTAACAAAAGGACAACAAGCAAACAAGGCGACAATAAAATCCTCTGCAACGTGCTAGGACATGTGAAGACAGTGGATTGGAATCACATCTAAGAGTATGATTTGCACTGCATTTCCTTTTGGGATCCACCTTTAAACACTTGGTCATTTCCCTATATAAGGCAGTGGGGAACCCCCAGGCTTCTCTACCAGGCCCTAGGAATTCTTCTTAGGCCCCAACCTTCCTTGGCCCTCCTTAACACCCTGAATGCTTTTGCCTAGCTGGAACGTGTCCTTGAACTCTGATAACTGATAGGGCTGCGTGTGTGTGTGTAGAAGCTTGCCTATGGTACAAAGGTAAAATTTACTTTTCTGGCTGCACCCACTTTTGCCTCTGGCCCCACCCAACTCTGGAACATGCCCTTCGGAAAGAAAAGTAACTCACAGAATGAAAATGTTTCCCCATCCCTACTCTTATAGGGAAAATATTTTTTATTTTATTTTTAAATAGGGTAAGGGTGTCATACTAACTTATAGAGCTGAATACAGCTATTGACATCCTTTTCTGCGCCCTGAGCCACAGCAGATTTTTAAAATAGGTACAGTTTTATTAATACTGTAAGTTTTCTCCAATGGTAAGCCTACTCAGAGTGGACCCACTGGAATGAATAGACATGGTTAAGTCTCTTAATTTCAATGGATCTACTCTTAAGTAAAAGCAAGTTGGCAACAACCCTGTATGTTTATCCCCCCTTTCCTCCCCAAAGCTCCAAGTAACATAGTTGGTTCTCGACCTGACACCCATCCTGCAGATGAGGAAGCTTTTATAGCCTGAGATGGTCACATTCCCACATTCAGTGGAGGGCAAGGCCAGTGGCAAAAGAAGGTAGAGCGATACATATGAATTTGAATTTTACCTTTGTATCACTAGGCTAGTTTCTGCACACATTCGCACACCCCTTTCCAGCCAAAGAAGTAAGGCGTTATCAGAAGGACAAATTCCAGCCAGGCAGAAACACTCCAGGAGGAAACCAGGCAGGGACAGAGAGAGGTGTGACCCTCTGAGCAGAGACTCAAGGGCCAGGCAGAACGGCTTGGAGGGCCACATTCAGCCTTCATGCCTGAAGTTCCGTATCCCTGCTGTAGGTGGTTAGACTGAAGAGACAGACTGGTTCAAGGTGCCTGAGTGAGCTTCAAGGCTCAACTTGGAACCCCAGCTTCTCTACATCTTTCCCACTCTGTATCCCTTATACTACACTGGTTCTCAGCATATGGAAATTGAACACTAGGCAGGATAAACTCCAGAGACGCTTGCATGGCTTGGTCACAAATCTGCAGCTTGCTCAGCATAGGATCTAATCAAGGCTTTGTCATACTGACCTCTAGTGGGAGAAAGTTTTTATGACACCGCATCTATTTAAAGCAGTCTTATTCCTCTTTAACAGTCAAGGCTTCCCCCCTGATGAATCCTGAGGACGGTAAATTCTCAGCACCCTTAATGAACTACAGTTCCCAAGACTGTCCATGAATGCTTTAATTGTATGGTGGGGGTATCAGCCCAGTCTTTGAGGTGTCACAAGACTCTCTATTGTAGAAGAGCAAGGTGCCATTTCAACAATGAGAAGCAATAAACTTTATATCTGCAGAATTGTGCATGAGTTAGCATGAGGAAGCCATGTTTCTCAGCCTAAACTTAGATTATGTTAACATTCTGAGCGGTGGGCGGGGAAGAGGGTTCGAATCCGCTTTCTCTCGTGGTAAGATCTTACCGGTGATAAGATCTGAAGGGATTCGGTCGGTCAGAAAATCCACCACCAGAATCCGGCTGGTGGCAAAAATGACACCCCCTTGGGTGTAAACTTCATAGCGGTTGCTGCTTGCGATTTCATTTGTGACGCGTCGAGGAAGATGAGCTACGTTATCGGTCCTCAGCTGGTCGATAAAAAACTCCTAAAACCAAAATAAGATTATTCACAACAAATCCAATGCAGAGTAAGGGGGGAGGGAGATACTTTGTGCGGCTGTAGAGTAAGAAGCAGTGCAAAAGCTATGATTAAATACAATATTAAATATTCAGTAATCAATGGGACCTGCCAACAAAACGTTACGGTGGAACGCTCCTGCTCTGAGTTTCAACCAGCAGTGCAGGCTGATCCATTAGGGCAGATGAGACATTGCCTGATAGCTGAATCACCAATATTTACTTCTGAGTAAACATGCTTTGAATCATGCTGAAAATACAAATCCCAATTCCATTGCTTTCTTAGTGTGTAAGAGCTAGTGAGCCACAGCAATAGGGTAGGCATAGCAGTCGGCTGAGCACCTAAGGTTTGCCCAGAGTCCAACACTCCATTAAATCATAATTCTGATGAAGCTTAAAGACTTGACCTGCTGCTTTTAAAAACTGACTTTTAAAAAAGTTGCTGTTACTTTACTTTATTTTTGTTATGTTTTGCTTTTCTGCACTTTTAGTCTGATCCTGGCATTTAAACTTTAATTAACACTGTTAGAAATAGGAATAATGCATGACATTGTATAAAAAGTTAATTTCATTGTTTCATAGTATTATATGAGCAAGATACCACCTGTGCTCTTTGCTCATGGTCCTCCCAACCTAATGTCAGGTCAGATTGACACAGACCTGCAGTGGGGCCTTTTCAGTAGTGCCCCCCTCTGGGCATCTGCATTTAGATCAAGTGTGGGGAACCCCTTCCCCTTCCAGATGTTGCTGTACTGCAATTCCCATCCTCTGTGGTCGCTGGCCATGCTGGAGCTGATGTAGTTCATCAACATCTGGAGAGTCATCTGAATCAGATATTGATTGAATACTGCTTGGTTTCAATACACCTTTGGTTTTTTGAGGTTCTTCTGTCATTTCATACAAGTTTTGGTTTTATCTGCCACTGTTTCTTATTTGTTCAGTTTCTGACACCTGTGCTTTATTTATATTTTCACTGCCTTATAGAACAAACAGCCCTGTGAATAAGGGAAGCAGCATCTAGTTAGCACCTCTTTAAATAGACCACATTATTTTTTAAAAAAGAAATGCTATTTTAAAAACCCATTATTCATATTGCTTTTACATAACCTGCCATTGGGGACCTTGTCAGCTGAAAAGTGGGAAGGAAATGCTTAAAATAAACAATTATTATTTCTCATGCATATAGCACAGTCAGCATGCCTGGTGTTTTACAGAGCTTAATGAACCTTTGTCCCTCCAGATGTTGCTGAACTAAAATGTCCATCCACTGACCATGTTCTTGAGGGCTGAAGGGAGTTGTAATTCAGCAACATCTGGAGACCCAAAGGTTCCTCACACTTGGTTTAAGAGAACATGTCTCTGCTCCAAGGAGATAGAATCTAAAATTAAACACAGGGTGGAGGACTGAGGGATGGGATGAGCAGTGGAGGCAGGTATAAACAGAGAAAAATCAAGCTGTTGTTTCACTTGCACTGCCCTGGCTCCCGCAGGATGAATAAATTCATAGAATCATAAAATAGTTGGAAAGAACCACAAGGATCATCTAGTCCAGCCCCCTGCAATGCAGGAAACTTTTGCCTAATGTGGGGCTCAAACCCATGACCCTGAGATCAAGAGCCTCACGTTCTACGAACTGATCTACTTTCGTTCTGATTTTGGTTTCTAGTAGAAACTTTAATGAGGGATGCAGGTGGTGCTGTGGGTTAAACCACAGAGCCTAGGACTTGCTGATCAGAAGGTTGGAGGTTCAAATCCCCGCGACGGGGTGAGCTCCCGGTGCTCAGTCCCTGCTCCTGCCAACCTAGCAGTTCGAAAGCACGTCAAAGTGCAAGTAGATAAATAGGGACCGCTCCGGCGGGAAGGTAAACGGCGTTTCCGTGTGCTGCTCTGGTTCGCCAGAAGCGGCTTAGTCATGCTGGCCACATGACCCAGAAGCTGTACGCCGGCTCCCTCGGCCAATAAAGCAAGATGAGCGCCGCAACCCCAGAGTCAGCCATGACTGGACCTAATGGTCAGGGGTCCCTTCACCTTTAGAAACTTTAATGCTCAAATCACTAGGGTACTAAGCAAGGGCCAAAGGCACAACAGGTGCAAGGCATGGCAAAGCAAGCTAAAACACTGGTCCCCGGACTCCTGTGATAAAGGAGTGGAGCAGGCATGGCTTAGTGCAGAGTGTGTGGCATCTTTTGACTGGGCAGGTAAACGGGAACTGCTTCTGGTGGATTGGGCCTGAGCTGATGCAGGCACTGGCATCTCTGTGATCTAGGTGACAAGAGGAGGAGACAGCACCTGTGCAAAACTAAATTTGGCACCTGGCACCTTCTCTGGAGGTAGAGGCTTGCCAGCAGGAATTAAAGGAAGAGAAGGCTCTGGCAGGGCGAGAGGCCAGACTGGTTTAGACTGAATGACAGGACGCTAGGTCCCTCCCCAGGATCAGCCTCCTCAACTGCTGCATCCCCATGGGCAACTCTGATGTCTCAGGAGGCCTGAGGCCCATCCCAACCCACTGTGTTCCTCCCCAAACACTGGCCTCCAGTCCTTCAAGCTCCTTTCACTCCTTATCTTGACACGACCACCAAGATGGCTCCACAGGACTCATGACATGCGTGTATTCAAGCTTAGTTACAGTCTGAGACACAGGCAACTTTCCCCAGTTCACAGCATAAAACCACAAAGCAAAAAACACAAAATACGTAATAGAAACAAGAACAAAAAAACCACTCGCAAACCAGTAACTCCCTCCCTGGGCAGGTGTACTAGGAATAGGCCCTTTTCGGTGCTGGCCCCATAACATCTTCCATGAAGTTCACACATCTCTTGCTCTAGTGCAGTGTCTCCCAACCTTGGGTCTCCAGCTGTTTTGGGGCTACAACTCCCATCATCTGTAGCTGGCAAGACCCGTAATAATGATGATGACGATGATGATAATAATTTTATTATTTATACCCCGCTCATCTGGCTCGGTTTCTCCAGCCACTCTGGGCAGCTTTCAACCAAATATTAAAAATACATTAAAACATCAGTCATTAAAAACTTCCCCAAACAGGGCTGCCTTCAGATGTCTTCTAAACGTCAGATAGTTGTTGATTTCTTTGACATCTGATGTGGTTGGGGATTATGGGTAATGTAGTCCGAAAACAGCAAGCTTGGGAAACACCGCATATAGTGCCTTTTAAAGGAACTTTCAAGAAGTCTTTCTTTCGACCGGTGCTTTTGCAGCTCATTTGGGAGGGGTGCAATTCTCCATTTCCCAATGTTTGTTTGCGTGCCTGGGCTTGTCTTTTTTTTCGGGGGGGGGGTGTTTTTTGCACGTTGCCTTGTGAGGACCCCTGCCCTGAGAAGCGGAGCAGCCTCTCCGAATAGCAGAGACTGAGGGAAGCTCCTCCCGGGCCCCGCGGCGCCTCTGCCTACCTCCTCTGCCGGGCTGGTGTTCAGCACCAGCACCAGCCTGGCCGGCTCGCAGTAAAGGCGGAGGAAGCGCAGGAGGAGGCGGTCGATGCCCAGCCCGCGGGCGCACACCACCAGCCCGTCGTCGTGGAAGAGGTCCAGGAAGATCTGGTTCTCGTGCTCCAGCGGCACCGCAGCCGGAACAGCCGCCGAAGAAACCGCCATGACAAGTCGCTGTCAAAGAGCCGCGGCTCCCACTGCACATGCGCAAACCGGGAAGCGAACTTTACTACTGCGGGAATGAAGCCTCAGGCTCTCAACGCCGTAGAGATAAAAACTTGGAAGAGTGACACGCGCACGCAGAATACTTAAACTCCCCATGGAAACGGAAAGCCTCCGTTGTTCGCGGGTATTGGCGCGCGCCTCCCGCCTCCCCACCCACCCGCGGCCTTGCTGTGAAAGCGTCGCCTTCCAACGTGTTGTTTTACGTCGGGAAGGAAGAGGGGGAAATTGTTCGAGGTTTAGACCGGAAGTGTGCGGCTCTACATTTTAGTTCTCTATAGATAAGGGGAAGTGGGGCGGGGTGGGTGGCTGTGAGAGAACCGCAGCATAGAAATAGGAAAAGTGTAGAGTGACAATGTGTGGTTGGGACTCGCAAGTCCCATCAGCTCCAGTCAGGGTGGCCCGATGGTCAGCGATGATGGGACTTGTAGTCAAACAACGTGGGGCGGGCGGTGGGCTCCCCGTGCCTGACTTAAAAGCAATAGCCTCCCTCGGTTGCAAATAAAGGAGGGGCGGGCGGGCCGTGGCTGAGACACAGCGACTTCAGCAGCACAGCGATGTCGCCCACGATTCACATTGCAGGCTCGAAGTGGGGTTAATGCTGGTTCAGAGTCACCGGGCAAAATGTTGCTGCTGCGGCTCGTTTGTTTTCAAGACGTTGCTTCAGCAAAGGTATCGGAGTAATGAAATGGCACAGGAAAACCTGTCTGCTCCACTGACTTACATGCAGATGCACAGAACTTTTAAACGTCGTTTGGAGACTTGCGAAACCGAAACGCCGCCAGTAAAAAGACCAGCGTCAGAACACAATCCTCTCTACGACTGCTCAGATGCCCAAAGAGATTTCCCTCCAGGTAAGTGTGCTCAGGATCGGAGCCTTAGAAAGGAGCGGAATCTCCCATCTCTTCCGCTGCTGGTGCTGCTACTTCCCCTTGAGTAGACTCCCCCTCTCGTCATCAGCGTGCGCGCTCCCGATCCACGCTGCCGGCCGGCGCGCGCGTTCTCCCCAGTTCTTCCCTTCGCTCTATGGGTCTTTTTTGCTGCTGCTGCTGCCGCTGCTAACGCCATGATCTTCCTGCTGGCCCTGTTTGCCAGCATCTTCCAAACAGGTGAGCGTTGCTGAGATCTGGGGGTGCCTGACCAGCCCTTCCCTCTCTTTGTAGCTGGGTCATGCTGAATTGCATATCTCTTTCTTTTTCCATCGGGAAACAACGCCCTGTGCCTGCCTTCTACCCCGCCCGCCCCCAACTGGCTGAGTCAACTTTCGCCAACCTGGTGCCTTCCAGATAAAAATACACAAACATAAAAATAGCCCTATTGGATCAGGCCAAACGGGGCCCATCTCCTGTTCCCACAGTGGCCAACTAGATGCCTGTGGAGCGTGCTTTTTCCGGGGGCATAAGGTAAAGGGACCCCTGACCATTAGGTCCAGTCGCGGCTGACTCTGGGGTTGCGGCGCTCATCTCGCTTTATTGGCCGAGGGAGCCATCGTTTGTCCGCAGACAGCTTCCGAATCATGTAGCCAGCATGACTAAGCCGCTTCTGGCGAACCAGAGCAGTGCATGGAAACAGTTTTACCTTCCCACCGGGGCAGTACCTATTTATCTACTTGCACTTTGACGTGCTTTCGAACTGCTAGGTTGGCAGAAGCTGGGACCAAACAACGGGAGCTCACCCCGTCGCGGGGATTCGAACCGCCAACCTTCTGATCAGCAAGTCCTAGGCTCTGTGGTTTAACCCACAGCGCCAACACCAGCCGCTCTGGGCGGCTCCCAACAGAATATAAAAACACAATAAAACCTCTTTTTTGTTGTTTAAAAGTGTGGCACTTACTGTAGGAACTTAATGGTGAGTACCAGCACCTATTTTTCTAGAGGGAAAAAAAGCATTGCCTGTGGGAAAACTGCAAGCAGGACCTGAGTGCAATAGTATTCACTTGTGATTTCCAGAAATCCTGCCCCTCCTCAGCTGCACAGCATGTATTGCATGCCCCCCTCAATATATATACATTAAATCTCTCTTTCCCCCTTATTTCCCAGCATTCACCGGTGTAAATGAACGCACCTTCCTGGCCATTAAGCCAGATGGGGTACAACGGCATCTGGTTGGAGAGATCATCCGACGCTTCGAGAAGAAGGGCTTCAAACTGGTGGCCATGAAGCTTATGCAGGTCAGGATACTTGGCTGAGTACCTAAGCTCTTTGTCGAGAGATGGATGGGGAACCTTTATGACCCAGTGGACCACATCTTCATCTTCCTGCCACCTCCACCTCCATTCTGTGGGCTAACGTAGGGTTACCCACTTGTCAATCATTGGACACCAGGTGATTGACAAGTGGGTTGTCCCATCCATCTGTCAAAGGTGGCTCATGGTGGGGGAGAGACAACAACCAAGAGGGATTGAATTCCCTGTGTACCAGGCGTCCAGTCCTGCTTTCTATAGGCATTGGGATGGAAGCAGCTGATTCAGCCACAACTCTACCTGCCACACACCTTGCTTCACATAGGATGCCAAGTGTAGAGGAAATGACTATGTTTTGGGGAAAATTGGCTTATAGGCCAAATGAGGGGTGTCTGGTGGGCCAAATTTGGCCTGAAGACCAGAGACCTGGAGGTTGAAGGCTACACACCAGGGCGGTTTGATCGCACCCAGTGTTGTATATTATCTTTGCATGCTATCATTCTATTTTTGTGTTGGGGGTTATTCTCTATATTTTGTTGGTTTATTCATTGAAATTATAAACTGCCTTTCTACCACAGCACCCAAGGCAGTTTACAAATTTAAAGGACCACAAAAGAACATTTAAAGTTGGTAGGGTGGTGGAGAAAGGGCAATTCAGCTAGAACAGGGCCTGTTGTTGCCTCTGCCTGCTTCCCTAGTTAAAACCGATTAAATTAGTTTGGCTTATTTGTATTGCCTTATCTAACATTGTATGTAAGTATTTTCTGGATTCATTGACATCATTGTTATTTTTTAAAAAAATTAAAGTTCTTTTTCTAAGTTCCTAATGTTTAAATTGTTCTTAATTTTGCATGGTTTTATTTTTTGGTTTGTTTGCTGGGTTGTGAGATGCTTGGGGCACAATTCTGTGGGAAAGTGGCGTATAAATCTATAAACTGATGGTGGTGATAATGATGCTGACTCAACTGTTAATTTCCTGATCTTTGATTATCACCATAACCCTAGGAGATTTTACTCCCACCCTTCGAGCAAGTTCCCAGGGCAGTTTACACACACAAAATAAAAGACTGAAAACAGTCAAAGCATACTAAAAATCAGCAAAATTGTTTAAAGAACTACACAACGTTGATCAAGTCTGTGGCATGTGTTTGACCACGTGTTCATCCTGGAAGACCTGCTTCTTGCCTTGCAGACCTTTTCCCACTTGGCCTGGGAGGATGGGGCCCTGACAAACTCCAACTACCAAAGCTGGAGTATTATTTAGGGATTTTTTTTTGCGGGGAGTGGGGTGTTGGGGTTGTTGATGTTGATTTTTTGTATCTTTATTTTGGATCCTATGATTTATGTGGAAATTCTTCAACTCGTGCACTTTTTGATGTTTGGTTTAATGTTTTATGACTACTTTTGCTATGTTTGTATTTTGTAATTTTTTAATGCGATTTCAACTTTGGAAAGGCAGCATACAAATAAAATGATTGATTGATTGATTGATTAGGCTTCTGAAGACTTGTTGAAGGAGCATTACATCGCCCTCCGTGAGCGTCCTTTCTATAACCGTCTGGTGAAATACATGAGCTCTGGACCTGTTGTGGCCATGGTGAGTGAAATAACAAATGCATTTTGCTATGAGAGCCAGTGTGGTGTAGTGGTTAAGAGCGGTAGTCTCGTAATCTGGTGAACCGGGTTTGCGTCTCCACTCCTCCACATTCAGCTGCTGGGTGACCTTGGGCTAGTCACACTTCTCTGAAGTCTCTCAGTCTCACTCACCTCACAGAGTGTTTGTTGTGGGGGAGGAAGGGAAAGGAGAATGTTAGCCGCTTTGAGACTCCCGAAGGGGAGCGAAAGGCGGGGTATCAAATCCAAACTCCTCCTCCTCCTCCTCTTCTTCTTCTTCTTCTTCTTCTTCTTCTATGTGAGGGTCTTGAGATGCCCCTATCTCCTAACACATCTATATTTTCTAACAATACCCAAGTATAGAAGAGCAGTCTTGTTGGCACGTTCTGACATTTTACCCTCCAAGATCCCAGACAGCAGAACACTGGGGGGTGTGTGTTGGGAAACCTTATAAGAAATATTTTCTCTTTGAGAAGAGAGGGAGGCTCATCACTTCCCTCTTCCCCGGGACTCCTAATGTTTTCTCAAGTGGTTTAGCAGAACAAGGCCACTGGCACTGAGAAGGTTGCCTTTTCCATTGGTTTTCAAGCAAGTGGGTCACGGTTTGATCTAAGGCAGGTGACACCAGCAACAGCACGACCACCGTCCAAATAGGCAGCAACAAACAAAGAAAGGGCTCCCCAAATGTGCGATAGGACTAAAGGTGTGTATCGGGTCACCAAAAGGTTGAATGCTAGTGGGGTTTTTTCTTCCCTTCACCCCAGGTTTGGCAGGGACTGGAAGTGGTGAAGACAGCTCGCGTCATGATTGGCGAAACTAACCCAGCAGATTCGAAGCCTGGGACTATCCGAGGTGACTTCTGCATTGAAGTTGGCAAGTGAGTGAAAACCTCGTTTACTTTTGGGGCAGTTCTCTCTTCTGAGCGTTTTGTGTGATTCCGGCAATGCAACTATTGGTCCGCCACAGCAAGGAATGGGGGCTCAGCCAGGTGCCGTTTTCTGCCTGAGATAATCTAAAACTGCATTCCTGTAAACAGAGTGGAAACTAAATCAGAGGATGATTTAAAAAAATAAATAAATCAGGAAGGCCTTTTTGTTTCTGCATTAGGAGATAGGGGCATCGTTCACACATGCTGTGTGTCTAGCAAAGATAATCAAAATCCTGTTTAGTGTAAATGTTTCAGATTGGACTGTGCACTAGAACTAACCAAATTCCAAACCAAATCAGGCTAATTTGGGTGGACAAGGGCTTACTGTGACATGTGGATACAGCCAATGTGGATTATGGGTTTGCAAGTAAGAAGGAAACATTTTTGTGTGAACATGGGCCAAAATTAAGCTGCCTCCCAGTAATGTTAGAAATGACCTCCAGCTTCATAGATTTGAGAGGCAAGTGGAGTATTTTTGCTTCTTCCAGGGTTTATTGTTAGCGTGCCCCTGCCTGCCAATACACATGCTGTTAACACAGTCCATCCTGTCTGTGAGCAAACACCCTCCCTCAGCAAAACGGACTTTTTATAAGGGAAAGAAAGAGAGATGGGAAAAATGGGGCAGTAGGGAAGCAGCAGGAGGTGGGAAACAAACAGCAAAGAATTGGAAAGAATAGGAAAATAAGAAGACTCTGATGAATCATTGCATAACATTATAAAAATGGAAATGGAATTTTTTCATCCCTTTTTCCCTACCCTATTAGGAACATAAGAAGCTGTTGTATAGAGCCCAAATCCACACCATACATTGTGGGAACTGTAGTTTGTCAAGGGTACTGATAGTTCTTTGGAGAGCCCTATTCCCCTTGCAGAGCTCCAATTCCCAGTTTCCTTTGCAGAGGGATTTATGATTAGACCTCTCTGAGAACGGTAGCTCTGTGAGGGGAATCGGGGGTCTCCTCTCAGCACCATGAACAGTTTCCCAGCAGTCTTTGGGAGAAAGCAATGACGGCTTAAAGTGGAATCGCAGCACTTTAAATGTATGGTGTGAATGTGACCAGTCACATCATTTGTCCATCTGGCCTATCATCAGCTCTCCAGGATTTGGCAGGAGCTTTTTCTGTACCTGTCAATTGAAACCTAGCTCATCGTACTCATATATGCCCAACTGCACAAGAACTTAGTTAACTCTGGCACAATGCATCCAGCTGCACCGTGGGATATACTTGTTCCTTTTCCCTACAGGAATGTGATCCACGGGAGCGATTCATTGGAGAGCGCCCAGCGAGAGATCTTGCTCTGGTTCCGCACAGATGAACTGGCCTGTTGGGAAGACAGTGCAGATCACTGGATTTATGAGTAAGGCAGAGCAGCTGAAGCCCGGCCCCCTCTGCTGCTGTCACAAAGGCACTGCACAAACCCGTCCATTCCCTTTCAGCTTATCTGGGATTCCCCTGGGTAGCTTTCTTTTGTTGAGTTGGGTGGGGAAGAGAAAGGGCGGGAGTATTTTAGATCTGAACGAACATATCATGTCAGTTTAACAGCTAGTAATTTAATTCCCTTTCTCCCTGCCTCCCCAGCCCCCAATTATAGCCTTTTTGGGGCAATATTAGAGAAATCTGCGCTATTAAACCAATATGGAAAAGCACACACCAGGGGGATTCCAGTTCTCTTTTCTCACTTTTAGAATGTATTTTCAAAGGGCTTCATTGGTGGTTTTCCTGCTGCCTCCCAATCCAAGCCTGCAAAGACTACCCCACTATGTTAGGCCACAGTTTTACTAGCTACAGGGCACAGACCCCACTTTGCAATCCTAGTCAGCGGATTGCCTGGGCTTGCATACTGCTATCCGCAGCATCTTTGGGGTTGCAAAGCACCATGCCTCTGGCCACAGGGGTTTTATTTCAAACCACACAGGCGAAAACAGGCCACCCAACATAATTGCGACATCAGGTGGCTGGCCCTTCCTACTTTCCCAACTTGGCCCATGGGAAGGGTGGGGGAAATACAGATCCAGCCTGCTGCCCCTGCTCTTTCCAAAAGGAAACATCAAATAAGACAGAAGCAAGGGGAGCTGTGCTGTTTCGCTTTACTTAAGCAGCAGCAAATACAAACAATTGCTCGCAGCTAGCAATATCCGGCGGTTGAGCAACAGGGCTTATACAGCTGCTGTTACGTCCTGCTCTCTCTCTAGTGAATGCAATTTCTTTTGGGGCAATGACTTGAAATGCAGAATTCACGCTGCTCATATCTCATACCCGCCCCACTTTCTCCAATAGTCCAGGACGGCGGGGGGGGGGGGGAGCTGCTTTAGTGCATGTTTTATCTTAGGGATGGCAAATATTCAGGTCTCCAGATGTTGGAGCCTCCATCACCTCTGTCTGTTGGCCATGCTGTCTGGAGCTGATGGGAGTTGGAGTCCAACAACATTTGGAGGACCACTGTCCACCTGTGTTGTTTTTTAAAATAATCTTATTCACAGCTGACAACTATTCAGTAGGAACAGAATGCTGGGATTTGGGAGCGGAAGATGGCATTTCAGGAGGCCTCTGATAGAGTGGAAACAGCCAAATCCCATTAAGTTGGGACCTGGCTGGAGAAGTATTATTCCTAGGCTATCATGGTTCCTGTGTTTTCCTCTGGGATCTTTCATCCCACTGCATGTTACTGTTCTTCCAGATATTTCCCAAAAGGAGATTGTTTACATCTATAAATATGTACAGGGCTACTTTTTAAATACTGGCTGCGTTTTGCTTTTGTAAAATAAATTTTGGGAAAAGGCAATCGTTTTTACTCTCTGTCTGTCAGGGTGGTGTATCTTGGAAAAGGGTGTGGATGGCTGGCTGGGAGTACAGAACAAGGGCAATTCATACTTGCACCATATTGTTGCAGGTGACCCCCCCCCCGCCCCATCACTTGGGTGTGCACCATCAAAAGATGCAATAAACGTCATGGCAGTAGCTCCTTAAAAATACCACTTCTAGTGTGTGTTTATCAATGCTCTCGAATCTGTGATGTTAACACATTTTTTTTTATTACATACAGAACAGATATGGTCATCTTTTGGATAGCGTATAAGGGACAAAGCATAGGGAGAGTGGGGTTGTTTTTTCATACAGCAGTCTCTTTACATCTTTAGACCAAAACAGCAGAGTTGACAGGCCTTAAGACACTTTTAAAAAATTCCTTTTATAACATACAAGTTAACTTTACATACATCACAGTGGAGATGTGGCGGGGAGGTGTCTGTAAGTCAAATCAGCTTTTATCTTGCCGGCAGGTAGCTATCAGGAGTCAACAGCCAGCACTGTGAGGCTTTCTCCCCATAGCTACGCCTCTCCCTCCCCCCGCGTCCCCCCCCCCACCTTGAACATGTGCTTCTTTTCAATGAAAACGTAACTTCAAACTGTGAAAGGTTCTTTGGGCATATATTTGTAGGCAGGGGAGGCAAAAGGAGCAGTATCCTGACAAATAAATGCTGGGAACTGAGAACTGCTGGAGGCTTTGCAGTTGTATCTGTTGTTTTTGTTTTAAAAAGACCATACCTTGGTTCAGTTCTGCATGAGGAAGTAATCCTGCTCTCAGGTCTTTTGGCAACAGGTAAATCAGTTTTAAAACCTGGCACCCTGTCAGACGCCACACGCTCGCCCTCTAAACTGCAGTGGTGCTGTAGGGGTAGGGCTTTGGGGGCAGAAGTTATGGGACCCAGACCCAACTCAGCAGAATGAGCAGGCGCCCCCCCCCCCATACAGCTTACTTCAGAAATGCGGTAAGTGAAGCAATACATGTTCCCATCTAAAGGTCTGCCGGGCTGGGAGACCATTAAGGCCAGAGTCTAAAACCACCTAGCTGCACCATTGCTAAGTAGTGCCTAAGCCAAAGCTGCCCACCCCACCGGTCCTCACTTTAAAAATCCGACTTTCCTTTCTCTCTCCTCCCAGGCTCTGCTGTTGTCAGGTTGCTCTCCAGGTCACGTTAGTTTCCTCCCAGCCCCTCCAAAAGGTATTTCACCCCCAGAACAGACTGAACAAAATAAGAACATAGGAAGCATAAGAATAGTCAGGCAAGTAGTCCATCTAGCTTAGTATTGTCTACACTGACAGGCAGGAGCTTTCCCCAACTCTACCTGGAGACATCAGGGCTTTTATTTATAACCCAGGACCTTTTGCATGTAAGGCAGATATTCTACCTGTGAGCTACAGGCCCTGTGTCGCCTTCCCAGCTCCCCTCTCCCCCACTTCAGAGCAAGTGGTACAAGATCTGCTTCATTCTCTCCTTAATTGGGATAAGCACAGAGGGTTAGCTGCTTTATGTCTTTTGCCCTCTAATGAACAGAGATTCAACTCCACCTGGACTGTGGCCATCTTTCTGAGCAGAGCACTGGGGTAGCAGTGGGGCAGGAATGGTGGTGGTGGTGGTGGGGAATGTGACAGGATAGATTAGTGGTATTACTTGCTAACTTGCCCCAAGAGAATGGCAAATCTTGGCTGATGGCACTGCTGTTTCAAATGGAATAATGAAAGTGTCTTAACAATCTGCTCTTCTCTCTCCTGCACACTATTATTTCATCAGTAGTCTAGAAAACAGCTAGGATATGCTGGCATTGGGAAACAAAACCCTTTCCGTAGGAGCACTATCAGGAGGCGGTCTGGCTCCTTGTTTACTGAAAAGCCAACCCCAAAGGGTTAGGACCTCCTTGTGACATGGAAAATAACAAGTGTTAGCTGCGCTCAGTGAAATTGTTGATATCTCCCTAGTGTGTCACCTCCAAGTATGTCTGGTAGGGTAAGGCCTAAGACCGAGAGTGGCCTGAAATCTGGAAACTTAATGGACAGAATAAGGGAACCTAGGAAGCTGCTTTTACAGCAGCTGAGACTTTCCATTTTGCCCAGTACCATGTAGACTGACTTATGAAGAGGTCTCTCCCACCACCCGCTCTCTTCTTGATCATTTTTTAAACTGAAGATGGCAGGGACTGAATCTTCTTCCTGCAAAGCAGATGCTCTGCTCCTGATACCTGTTTCCTCCGCCTTTGCTACCTACCCTGTAAACCTCACTCTCTTTCTCATCATGAATAAAGCCCCCATTTGATCTCAAGCCTTGCTGCAGCTACTTAACCACATTTTGTGCTCTTTCAAATCAAACTACCCCAATGACTTCACTAGCCTTCTAGATTTCCTCTCTCCTGCTCTTGGCGAAAAATTATGGGTCAGAGATCAACAATGTCGACTTGCAAGTCGCAACGTCCTCCCCACCCACCAGCTTTACCGCTTAACGTCTCTTGTTTTTTCTTCATCTCGGTTTGTTGTGCGGAACCCACAGACCTTTTCAGCCTTTGCCATATTTCTTTCATCTCTGTGTACATTCTGTGGCTCTGGGTGGCTTTGAGTAAGCAAGTGACATAAAACCACACATAAGAGTAGGGGTCCCTGCACAGGTCCAGCTTGTGGCCAGGTGTTAAGGAAGGGAGCTGTAAGGCATTCGATATGTGTGCCATGGTGCTTGTGTGCCTGCCATACCCAAGCTACTACTCTCAGCACACAAGAAAGGGAGTTAAGTCACAGCATGGTACGGTTGACTGGATTGGGGCAAGTGTTCCCACAAGCTGTTCAGACTATGACTGGACTTCCTTTTTAGTCTATGTTTTCTCAGACCTCATTCAGGCATGGAGAAAGAAAACATTGCCTACAGAGGCAGGCAGGGGAGGCCTGAGAGATGCAAAAAGAAAAAGAAAAAAGCCTGCAATAGTCTCCCTCTGCTGCAAAGCGCACAAAGAAAGGGGCACGTGGACAGTCCAAAGCTTTGACTCTACCAAGAACTGCCAGGAAGTTGCCCCCCCCCCCGTCTCTCTAAGGAAGACCCACATCCCTCTCTAAAAAACCTTGGTCTCCCCTGGCTTCAAAGAAAATTAAAACGTGAAAGGTTCTGTGAGATTTAAATAAGACGTTAAGAGCACTTAACATTTCTGGGCTTCTTCCTGCTGCTTCCTCCCACAGCCTTTAAAGTTCATCAGCCTCTGAACTGCCTACGGCAGAAACCTCCTTATATCCCAGAGGACCAGCTGTTTACAACTTCATCTCAAGCAGCAATCCACTCCCAGTCACTGGTGCCGAGTCACGATGCATGAGACGGGGCTCACTGGCTGGGATGGAACTGCCACTGGATGTGGCAGGGTGGGGGCAAGAGAAGGGGAGCAACAGGTGGGATGCGTGTTATGAGTGTGCACACCTGCCACCAACCTGGTGAGCAGCCAGCGCCCTAACTTGCATGCCACAGCTGTGGGCGCTGCTTTCTCAACATCCTCTCCCAACAAGACCATCTCTGCTTCCTCTCTTGCTGCTTCTAGGAGCCGCTTAACAAAGGACCAATGTCTTCTCCTCAGCTCCTTTCCCCGTTTCTTCATTTCCCCAGCCCATCCTCCCCAAGCACATACCTCTCCACCGACTGCCTTGCTCCATCTCCCCCAAGTCCAAGTCTGCTTTCATTGGTTTCAATACATGTCATGGAGAGGGAGGGGCCTAGTCTCCATCTTGACTGCTTGCTTTCCTGAATTGCCTGCAAGATACATTTGAATACCTCTTGAGAGCCAGTTGCAGCACCCAAGTCTCCATTGGGGCCCTAGTGGAGCAGCACAAGGTAAAGGAGCACAAAGCACACCTTGGTGGCCTTTCAACAGCAGAGGACTTCCCAGTTCTTTCAATGACTCTCCACATACCAGCTAAACATACATATTGCCTTCCTCTCCATCCCACACCACCCACTGCTACAAAGAGCTGGAGATGCCCGTTCCACCTTCAAGTCTACCAATTGTGCCTCTAACCTGAATTATTATCTATGATATTTGTTAGGCTTGAATCTTCCCCTTCCTCTAAGGAGTTCAGAACTGGGCACACTGGGACTCTCAAAGAGGTCTTCCATAAATAGAATCACAGAAGTATAAAGTTGGAAGGGACCATAACCACCTGCAAAACCCCAACGTGGGGTTCAAACCCATGACCCTGAGATTAAAAGTCTCATGCTCTACCGACTTGAGTTATGATTTTAAGTGCCCAGGCCCAGATCTAAACAGCTTCAGCGGTGGAAGCCCATCATGTGCCTGTGGTCCGTCTCTGGGCACTGACACCCCGCTGTTGACTTCCATACCACAGTCTTCCCAAACGCATCCATACGTTCTTTTGGATTCCCAACCTCCCAATTTATCCCAGATAATCCTCTGTGAGCAGGTCCCATAGAGAGACAGCGAAGGAGACGAGGTTGGAATGTTCGCTTTGTTATGATGGGATCCATCTCTCTAGTCCTGGTTTGCAGACCAGTGCATGCCTCCGTGGTGGTGAAGTGGGCAGGGGCAAGAGCCGGCAAACATCTTAGTTCTTCCCTGCCGGCAGATGAAGGAAGGAGGGAGGGGACCGTCTTGAAAACCTCGTCCAAGCCAAGTCCGCTCTGCCTGTGCATCTCTCGTTGCCTCACTTGGGGGCGGAGGGGCCTTCATTGCCATGGTTCTCCCCCTTTGGAAAGCTGGCAGTAACCCAGCCGTTTTGGAAAGCATGCAGGCCCAAGATGAAAGCTGCAAGTTTGGAGGTTAGATGAGGGAGGGAGCCGCTATCCAGTGCAGGAGCTGCTGCGGTTGGTTGTCTGGGGCCTCGGTTTTCCAGCAGTAGGAGAAATGCAGGAGTTCTGGTATGTACATACTGGCATTCCGGGAGTTTGGGGGGATCAGAGGGGAGAGAGTTATAATTGGCAGAAAAAGAAAAGACAAGAGTAGCTCATTCGGGGATGTAGGAAACTTGCCACACAATGATGTGGCTCCGTTCAGCCTTGGAGAGGATGGGCTTGACTTGGGTGGCTTCTCCTGCGTTTTCCTCCGTCTCGTCATCTTCCCCATCACCTGTGGAGAGACCTTGTACAATGAATGGAAGAGAAGAACACGGAAGCACCAAAGCTCCACCAAGCAGGCCTCCCAATCATTAGTAATAGGTACCATTTACATAGCATCTTTAGATGCCTGAGAGTGCTTTGCATACATCATTATAATCTTTACCCCAACTCTGTAGACCCAAGTTATCCAAGTTCTGCAAATGGAGAGCTGCGGAGTGGGAGAGGTCTAAATTCATCTAGTTCTCCTGAGCAGAAAGCTTGATTCAGGTCATCCATGGTGTGTCTGCATTACATATTCATACTGATTTTTAATTGTGGTTTTATTGCTTCTTTTTATTGTAGTACAATAAGAAATGAGATAATTACAGAAGCAATTAAAAATACAATTAAAAAACACACCTTATTTAGCGCAGCACATTTCCATTGCTACAACAGGTCAAAAAAATCACTAAAGTGATCCACCAAGACTCTCAGCAACTTCTAAGTGGTCTGTGCAAGCAGGGGAGTTGGGGAACTGCTGAGTCTGTGGCAGAGGAAAGGATGGAAGCAGGATGTCCTGTGCTGTAACTCTCAAAGGGCCAAACAAGATACGGATGTTTGCCATGGTGTGGTTGCTTTTTCTTTTAACAAATAGATGATGTGAGAGGGAAGTATGACTCAGAGGGGGACTATGGCATGGAGAGAAGGGCCATTCATCCCTTCGTCCCTGCCGCAATCCCAATCAAAATCAGGGCTCTTTGCACCAGCTATGGACAACGGCAGGACAACTCAGAACCCCTAAACTACAGGACACGCTTAAAGTGGTACATATGAATGTGATATGCCTCTGAAGACGGTTCGGAAACTTCAGCTAGTGCAGAATTCAGTGGCCAGGTTGCTCATCAGAGCAAGACGGTTTGAGCATTATTACACTGATCCTGGTCCAACTGCACTGGCTACCAATTAGCTTCTGGGTACAATTCAAAGCGCTGGTTTTGACCTATAAAGTCTTAAATGGCTCAGGACCGCAATACTGCAAGGACCGCCTCTTTCCATATGCACCTACCTGGACCCTGAGATCATCTTCTGAGGCCCTTCTTCGTGTGTTGCCCCCTTGAGAGGTCCAGAGGTTGGCAACACGAGAATGGGCCTTCTCTGCAGTGGCTCCCCATCTGTGGAATGCTCTCCCCAGGGAAGTTCGCCTGGCGCCTTCATTACACACCTTTAGGTGCCAGGCAAAAACGTTCCTTTTTAACCAGGCTTTTGGTTGATCCGATTTAAAATGTGTTTTTTTGGGGGGGGAGGCTATTGGGTTGTTGTTTTATTTTTATTAGGTCTTTTGTGGTTTCATATCTTGATTTTATTCTGTGAACTGCTCTGAGACCTCCAGGTATAGGGCGGTATATAAATTCAATAAATAATAATAGAAATTTCTTCCTTAGCCACTCTGCGCTAGCTTGTCCTTTACTCATAGCTGCTCTGCACAATGAGGATATATATGTAAAAGAACTCACCAATCCGGAAGTCAATGTACCCTTCCCCACCACTGAGCACCAGGACGTTCTTCAGCTTCTGGCCCTCAGCCTCGATGGTGGCTGTGCTGGGGTTTTCGGAGGGGCTGTCTAGCACACTCCCGTTCAGTGTTGCCAGAACATTACCTGAAAGAATCCAGAGCTTGTTCTGAGCAGCTGAGATATACTACTGAGCTTTGGGCAACCAAAATGACGGAGGATAAAGCTATCAACACTACTATCATCCTGATGGGTCTTACGTCCAATGTCACTGGCAGAATGGCCCCAAAAGTTACTGGGAATCGCCCATGGCGAGAATGCTGTTTGCACTCAAGTCCTTTTGGGTTTCTCACTGGGGCATGTGGTTGACCCCAGTGAGAAAAGGATGCTGGGCCAGATAGCTATGCCCTGGACTTGATCCAGCAGGGCGATTCTTAAGATGTTCTTGAACATCATAGGAAAGGCCATTGCAATGGAAAGAGCCTCAGAATTCTGCATAAGCCTTCAGGTTTCACAATAAGCTCTCAGCATAACGATGCACTGACAGAATTGCATTCATGGAGTACTTTAGATGTTCTGCTTACCAGGCACAGAGACAAAGAATTTGACCGCGTCACGGTGACCATGGAAGCAGAGCTGGGCTTGAGCCATGGAGCAGTAAGGGATAAAACTGCTGGCAGACTTGTCATTGCTGTCGTCGCTGCCGTACACGTGGATGATCCCACCAGGCCGGTTCCCTTCTCCAGATGTTGGGGATGTCTTATTGGCTGAAGGCAACACACACACACAAATTAAAAGCAAGCAATAAGGAGGGGGAAACGTAAGGGCTGACTGCACTACGCATGGCTAAACTGGTTTAATTATCCTACAAAGCGTTAGCGCCATGAATTCCTTCTCCTGTCCAATTGTCAGGAGGGGAAAGTCCAGTAACATCTGGCTTGACAATCTGGTCTGTTCCTAGCAACTTTTAAAATGTCGCCTACCCTTGAAAAAAATAACATCTCATTTTAAGATTTCGGATCGTAGCTCAAGCTAGTACATTTTAGATCTTATGGTGTTCTCCTGGAGAATAAACATCTCCCCAGACTGGGGGTAATTAGTATAAAAAGATTTACTTAGAGCCATATCCTGGGATGGAGCCTACTGAGCACTGTGTGTTGATAAATATGTTTCAGTTTCTCTCCTCTCTTGTATCAAGTTTTTCTAAAAGGATCAGACTTGGCTATCCCTGATATTTTATATCACCTATGTATTACAACCCAGTCTAACATATTTTGTATGTTATGATATTCTACTTATATGGTTGCTGGTTTTATTTTGTTCGGTTCTATCAGGACTAAGACCACATAATAAAGAATCCGTCTCTTCTCTCCCCAGAGAACCCTGGGAAGTACAGCTCCATGAGTTGAGACAAAGATTTCCAAAAGCATATTTAACACTTGTAAAGAGAAATGTGGCTGGTCTGGAAGTGGTTTCATTGCTTTCAATTTTTTAAAAAATGTCCCTTTTGTTTTGCTAGGGAGAGCTCCAAGAAGGTGGGGGAGGGGCAGAGGTGGAGCTAGCTGCTCTGGCACCTGGAGCAGTGCATATACTGTGTACCCGGAGGCAGGGCTAGCCGACTGCGGGGGCGGGGCTAGCATCCCAGGGGGGCGGGGCGGCGATGTCACCCACCCCCTCAGGGATGACACCCAGGGCAGAACGCACCCACCGCACCCCCCTTCCTCTGCCAGTGGGGAGGGTTAGGGTTATTCTGCAGGAGGTTTTTGAACTGACCCAGAGTTACATTATGCGCGGGTCTGTAAAAGCATGCTTAAATTGGCTGCTTGTATTTTTTGAAGAAAAGCAACTGCAGTCTGGAAAGCACCTTGATGAGTTTCCTGCTGAAATTCTACCCTCCTCACCCCAGCTTTTTGCCACCCTAAGGCACAGTTCACTGCAAAAAGTACCTTTGAGGGCAAATCACATCCAGGAAGGGAGTGATTATAATCAGGAAACTGACACCCAATCTGGATTAGGGATATTTTCCAGATTGGGGCCCCCATGTCAGCTTCAGCTTTGTTTTCAAAATAAAAAGTGGCTGGGTTAAGGATGCACTTTCAAATATTTCAAATCATTTGACATGTTTGGAATGGGGGAAACCCAGGAGCGCTCAGCACTGTTTTGCCAGTGGCAGGGATGTCACTGTCCTCACATACAATTTCCACTCTGTCTTCTGAAGTGGTACAAGTGCTACTTGTGGGGTTTTGTTGTTGTTGTTGTTCTGTTTAAATGTATAGCTATGTTAAGAATTCCTAGGCATATGACCACATTTCTGCTTCATCACCTTCTTTCATCACGAGATAGAAACAGAAAGGAAAGGGTCTGAAACTTTAACATGCAAGGGGGGCCTTCAGAAGTGATGATCTGCTCAACGTTCCTAACACGGATTCACAAGAACGTTTCCACTCCTACATTTTTTTGGCAATTTCAAATGAAAATGAGAGATGAATGAATGAATGAATGAATGAATAGGCAGAGGAAGAAAAGTGAGCGGATGGATTAAAGGATGGAGAAGTCAGTGGGTTAGATATAGGATGGCATCTGGAATCTAGACGGAAAGAGGTCTTGGACTTACCCCTGAGCCCAAGGAGCTGACCTCGGTGGAGGACTACAGCTAGGAGGAGGAAGTGAGGGAGAGCAGGAAGGGGAAAATAGGAACAGAGGCCACAAGTTGGGGAAGAGAAGAAAACAGCAATTACTGGAAGCAGCAGCAAAAGGAGCACATTGACATTTAGTTCCTTTACAAAAATATGTTTCTTTTAACAAGAGGCACAGCATTACAGCCAAATAACAATAAAATATTAAGAGACTTGATACTAAATGCTGTCTCAGCAACAGGTGCTTAGAAGTCAGAGAATTATCCACCCAGAGTACTGCTTTGCATCTCCATTTTGCACCACTAGGTGTTGCCTCTGAGGTGGGAAGCCACATGCAGGGACTGGGACCCATCCCTTGTTCTCCATGGATCCTCTGATGAACACATGCCCCCTTGAGGACAGGAGGGCACATTCCAGTGGACTCGCCAAATGATAGAAGACCAGAAAACTGGCATTAGGCCTCAAATCCATCATGATTTAGGAACAGAGGATGCTGCCTTCAACCAGTTCAGGCTACTTGTATGTCTAGTCCAGGACTGTCTACTGTGATTGGGAACAGCTCTTTTGGAGTTTATTGCCTTGCCCCAAATTCCATCAAGCAATATCATAACTCTTTCCCACTACATGTCCACTTCATCTCTGGTCTGAGAAAAAACCCAACGCATCTCTTTTGCAGATGTCGGAGAGTTTGTGTCCCATAGTTTGGGAACCTTTGTGCTCAGAGCTGTCTCTAGATCTCTAAACCTATGACCAACCACATTATTTGCACCACCTCACACAGCTGCCACACCACACTGGTATCTCATGGCTAAATGACTTTGCAGAGGTCTCCATTCTGAAAACATTGTGAGCTGCAGCTTGTCACAAAAAAGACATATTGGAAAAATACAAAGGCCTCGGGAAGTCAGGTACAGAAAAAGAGAAAATCTACATTGCATTATGCATGTGGCATTGCAGATGTTTGTATTCAAATACCTTACAGAGGGAAAAGCAGTTGTGCGTTCAGACACTGGGGAGGTGGAATTAAGCACACTCCCACACTAGCCCTCCTTTCAAAATCATGCATTCCAAATCTGGGGTTGTATCCATCTAACATTCACCCAGAGTAGACCCATTGGGTGGTCTTCAACTAGGTTTTTCTCAGGGTAGACCCAATGAAATGAATGAACATGACTTAGTTAGGTCTAGAAATGCCAATGGGTCTACTCGGAGTAGAACTAATACTGGATGTGACACTTTTCATAATAATAAAAAAAAAGAATAACCAATAGGTCTTCTTTAAATGCATTTGCATGTAAGCTTAACGTTTGCCTCTGTGATAACACAATCTGCAATGGATATTTGTTGAGCAAACTTCACTGCAACGAGTTAAGAGATGGATGAATGCAAGCTTTAAAAACAAAGTCTGCTGGATTTGGGTCAGCTTGTGTGAAGGGCTAGAATCCACATACGGAAAATCCTCTTGCTAGGAGAGGAATGCAGTTTGAGAAAATCAAACATAGAGAAAAACGCATACAGCAGGAGAAATGAAAATGGAGTCCACTTACTCTCCGTCAAAGGGATGGAAATGACAACCCCATTGCCTGTCCCTACCCACAGACGGTTGCCAGCAATGAGTAACGCTGTAATCCGCACAAATGAGAAACCCAGCTTTCCGGTGCCTGGATGAGAAACACCAACAGTTAGTTAGGGTAGTGTAGGTCACTGAAAAGGCCAAGATCGTATTCATTCATTCAAACAGCACTAGTCCGCCCCCCTGCTCCAAAGGGCTGTCTCTCGTGCTGTTTCATTTACCTAACATTTTGCTGACATAGGGCTCAATGTCTACATCCTGGAGATGCTGATGGGTGTGAGCATGGTACAGCCTCAGCGTAGAATCCAGGCGGATGGAGACCCAAACACCGTCCCCAATCCAAGCCAGCTGTCGGATCTGGCTCTCCCGGCGAGGGTGGGCATCAAAGGACTTCTGGAAAGGGCATGGAGAAAAGGAAAATGTGCTCAGGGTTTCCACAATGGTTGCCCGCTTACTTAGTCGCCAGAGTGGTCGTTCAGGAAATGACATTCAGGAAATAGCACTTCTTCTCAGGCTGAGGGTCCAGTGCCCTGACCCCGAAACTCAGTTGGATCTGGTTGTTTACTATCTCTCCTCCTAACCTACCTCACAGGATTGTTGCGAGGATAAAACAGGGGAGAACCATGCCTGCTTCCTTCAGCCGGGGAGGGAAGCCTGTGGAGGTCAGAGAAGGTCTCTCCAGGTGTAAGACGGCTACCACATTGGCAAATCCCGACTACCCAATTCCATTGGATGCCTCCTTCACCCCAAATGAGAGAATCTTAACAATAAAAGGTGGTGCCCTTAAATTGCAGTTTCCCCAGTAAAAATCTTGACCTTTTTGATTAAAACAGGCTCACATGAATTAGCCACCCAAAGCCTTCATTGATAATGAGCCAATAAACACTTTCAATCCCAACAGTACTTTTAGTTAGAAAGCATTCTTAGATTCTCTGCCATGTTCCTTCGTTCAGAGACACCCTTGCCATACCTCTATCTGCATCGTTTTGGGCTGGATGACGTGGATTTTGTTCTTGTAGCCGCACCACACTCGGTCATACACCACAGCCATGCAGCGAATAGAATGGTGTGTGTGACCCAGGTCCATGAGATGGTAATTGCTGAGGTCCCACTGACCGTCTAGAGATAAACGCACAGGAAAGAAGGAAGAAGATGGGTAGAGAGGACTGGTTTGATTCTCAGTGGTCTTGATGTATCAGGTGTTTCTGGGATCTGTGGACCGCTGCTCTGTGTGGTGAGCCACTGAACTGCAGGGGACAGCTTCTCAGGGAAGTACTTTCAGACCCTGGACAGACTCCGCCCACCACTGGCCATTGGATGCTCTTGGACAGGAAGGAGTATAAGAGGGCTTCCTGTTTCAGTTCAAGTCTTGCTTGAGTAACAAGGGTCAGGGGAGGAAAAATAACCAAAGCAGGGGTGCTCTTGCTCTCCTCCACCCATGTGGGCTGGACTGGGGAGAAGCAAATCTAGAACGGTTTCATATTTGTACATTGGAAAACTGGGATTTCCCAAGCTTCTGCGGCATGTACTAAAACCTCTTTTGACTACCAGGTTCTGTTAGTTAAGATATGCAGATAAGTCAGGGTCAAACTATATGTGAGGTTTTGAAACAGAGGTTGGCTGGCCATCTGTTAGGGATTATTTAGCTGTGATTCCTGCATCCTTCTGACTCTGCAATTCTGTTGATTCTATGGAAGTTTGCTCTGGACAGGTAGCTGGATCAGAACTGTGGTATGCAGGAGGAAGGGCTTTAACACTTTGACTCTGTGTGGTTCCAACTGAAATCCTATCCCCCACCCCCAAAAACCTCTACTTCTCTAACCAGGAGGAAAGCTTCCATGGAAGGAAAACTTGTCCCTTTGAATCCCACCAGTCCTGATTTCCCAAATCTGACTGCAAGGCCTTTCCCCAGATTTACAGCAAAACTACATCATTCCCCACAATGTTGGACCTACCTTCTCCTCGATGGAATATGGCTAGGGTTCCATCAGCCAGGGCCACTAGAACACGTCCTTTCACGTGCCTGAATGTACATGGGATTGGGGGGGGGGAGGATTAGTTTCAAAGCAAGGCAGTGACATGTAATAACACTGTGCAGGAACATGAACAACAGCTGTGAGTTCAGTAATATTGTATGATCGCACCATGCAAGCACAGGAAACAGGCAATGAATTGAACGTCTTGGTGATCTAAGCTCTCAATTTAAAACAAAAAAGAAATGTTTCTAGCCCCTTAGGGTCATTGGCAAGACTTTTTGAACTGTCAGAAGATTGTGCTGTTGGGGGCTGAGCAGGATTTCTGCTGGTTCTGGTTTCTTCAGGGAGATGGGTGGTATGACTCTTCAGCCCTTGGTTTACATAATTTAAATATTTTGGGAATCTTGGTGAAGAATGAAGTTCCATGGTACAATTCCTGCATTGCAGGAGGTTGGACTAGATGACCCTCGGAGGGCCAACTCTAAAATTCCATGATGTCTAATGCAAATATGGAACATGGGAAATTGCTTTCTACCAGGGTCAGATGATTTGCCTATTTAGCCTAGTAGCATCCCCTCTAACTGGCAGGGTCTCAGGAAGAGATATTTCACATCAACTGATTCCCTTTTAACAGGAAGGAACTGAGCCCGAGATCTTCTGCATAAGAACCATGCACTCTACAACTGAGCTGCGGTCCTTTCCCCTTTATATAGAAAGCTGCTTTCCTATATCGTCTGTCCAGCTGAGTGCTGCTATCAGCTCTGAGCTAGTGATGGCTCTCCAAGGTATTAGGTAGAGGGATTTTCCCATAACCCACCACCACCAGGCACTTTTTAAAGCAGGAGATGCCATGGACTGAATCTGGACCTTCTCCATGTGACACAGGTGCTCTTCTATAGAGATACAGTCCCTCTACTGACAAGCAAGTTTTCTAAACGATGTGAATATCCATAGTTGGTTATGTATCAATTCATAGACACCAAGTTCAGCATCTCTACTTACACCAGGCTCAGCACTGAATCCTTCAGCTTGATTGAGTGTAGACATTTCTTCCAGTTTGAGACTGCTGAGTGCACATACAACCTGGGGGAAAGGTAGTTTAGTTAGGCAGTACAGTCCCCGAGCCCCACACCAAACTGGGCCATAAAGCAGCCTTACACTGTGTCACTCATTGGTCCATCTAGCCCAGTGTTGTCTACACTGACTGGCAGCAGCTATCCACAATTTCAGACGGGATTTCCCCAGTCCTACCTAGAGATGCCAGGAATGGAGCCTAACTGAGCAGCCCATCAGCTGACCAATCGTCTTCTACCAGGCCCTGTGAAACCTCTGCTTCAAAGCGGTTCTGGGCGGTGTGCTTCACTGCTTGGACTGTGCAATGTCACGCTTCCTCTATCTGACCTCCCAGCCTGCCTTGAATTAGCCTTCCTGCCCACCTGATCTGGTTGTTGCTTTCAGAAGTCAGCCTCCACTTGCCTGGGACTAAACTACTCACATCTGGGGCCCCTGGACTGACAGCCAGCTTTGCACCCCAGGACCCCAACATCCGATTGTTTGCAGAATGGCCTCTCGGCCCCATGCTGGATCATGACAGTATTGTCACATTACTGGCAGATTCTCCTGCAAGTTCTAATATGGGGTTGGCCAGGACACCTAATTTCTTCCAGATGTTATTGGACTGAGACTCCCATCAACCCCCCCCCCCATGCTGGCTAGCTCTGATGGGAGTTGGAATATATCAGCATCTAGACTGACACAGGTCCCCCAACTCTGCTAAGAAGTGTTTTCATCTGGGGGGGGGGCGTTTGCTTTTGCTCTGAACCCAATTATTCCATCATTCTGCCTTGCACTATGCTGTTTTCAATGCTTCTTGCCTGGAGACTAGAGACCAACGTTACAAATGGTTCGCCAAGCCACCACTGTGGGCTAGAGAGACATACCAGCCATTCTGTGCTCCCAGCCACATGGTAGGGGCAGCACTTGTGGTAGTGCCAGCCGCGTTTCCATTTGCCTCTTGCTCCTGGGCTGCTGTGCTCGACTCCATCTTTGGCTGCCCGTTTTCACTGTGGAGGGGGTGGGGGGAAAACACACTACAGGTTGGAGCTAGGCAATAAACTGAAAAATATTACTTTTGCTAGAGGCAAGTTTGTTAACCGATTCTTAACATGGTTCTGCCTTAAATATTTGCACCCCGTTTTGTGTCATTTTCATTCGGTTTGTTAGCTGCCTCGGAGGCTATGTGGAAAATGGTTTTAAAAACTGCTGGAATCCAATGGAGAGAGAGCATCTCTGGAGGTGAAGTCAGACCGCTGGAGAATCACAGCTGCTGCTGTGGCTGCAGAGACTTGCAACTACTGCCTCCCGTGTTGTTTTTGCTGCATTAGCAGCACTGACATGATTTCTCCAGGCCCCTCTCTTGGGCTGTCAATAAAACTGATAGGAATGTAAGAAGAGCCCTGTTGGAACAGGCCCAAGGCCCACCTCGTCCCAGGATCCTATTCTCATAATGGGCTTATGGGAAGGCTGCAAGCAGGACCTGGGTACAACAACATGTCCCCGTCCTGCAGCTCCCAGCAGCTGGTCTTAAGAGGTACCCTGCCTCAGACACTAGAGGTAGAACATAGCCTTTGTGACTAATAGGCATTGATAGCCTTATCCCACATGAATACATCTAATTCCCTCTTAAAGCCACCCAGGTTGGTGGCCATCGCTATGTATTGGGAGGAGTGAATTCTTTAATTAAATACTTTCTTTTGTCTGTCCTGAATTAATAAGCCTCCTCATTCAAGACAAGGAAGAGCAGGCTTTAAGGAGCATTCCCCCTACCTGTTTTGCCTCACAGGCACTTGAACTGGGGTTGGGTCTGTAAACACATGTTCTGTAAGGGGGCCCGGGCGGACTTGGGCTGACTCCATTTCGTGTACCCCATTCTCTGGCACCTCTGTAGCTTCTGTCGCTTCCTCGGTGGACTGGGACTGGTTGATCTTGCCATTGCTCACGGCAGGCACCTCATCTGAAGGCAGGAAAGCAGAAGAAAAAGGCAAGAGATGGGATGCAGAGAAAGCAGGTTATGTCCATCAGATGAACAGCCAGCTGCAGTATCAGCTGACTGCTTGTTGGGCTTCCATGGGAACCCCCCTCCCCGCAAAGACCCTGTATCCATGCCCTTCTCTTCCTTCCCACACATAGCTTGCAACCACAGTTGTTTTTATGAAGGACAGGGTGTCACATCACACTTTTATTTCCCCGCTGAATACAACCCAGTAGTCCCTCGTTGGGGCATTGGGTAGGTGTATCCTAAGGCTTCACCCCTCACTATGAAGCCTGCCAGCACCTTCTCCTACTGGGATCTGGCTTGGCTGGAGTTGATGTCATACCTTCTCTACTCCATCGTCCCTTTCCTTCCACCACAAATATAAGGACCTCTGACGCCTCACCATAAACAGCTTTAAAAGTCATGGCTTTCCCCCAAGGAATCCTGGGAGCTGTAGTTTGTCACGGGTGCAGGGAATTGCAGCTCTGTGGGGGAACAACTCTCAGCATCCTTAACAAACTACAGGCGCCAAGATTATTTGGGGAAAGCCGTAACGGTTAAAGTGGTATAAGAGTGCTTTCAATATGGTGTGGATGTGGCTAACACCCTGTGAAGGTGCATATTGCTGAACAGAATTATGATAATTTCCACATAGGGGGTTTTCCAGAAGGAAAAGAAGATTTATTGTCATTTCCCGGCTGAATTCAGATAACCTGCCTTTTTAGCAGCACTCACAATAAATCCTATTCAAGGCAGTGATGTTTACTCAGAAGTTAATCTTTTAATAGTACAGTGGTACCTCGGGTTAAGAACTTAATTCGTTCCGGAGGTCCGTTCTTAACCTGAAACTGTTCTTAACCTGAGGTACCACTTTAGCTAATGGGGCTTCCCGCTGCTGCCGTGCCACCGCCGTGCAATTTCTGTTCTCATCCTGAAGCAAAGTTCTTAACCCGAGGTACTATTTCTGGGTTAGTGGAGTCTGTAACCTGAAGCGTCTGTAACCTGAGGTACCACTGTACTTACTCTGTAGTGGCAACATGTTTTAAGATTTCAGTCAAACTCAAGCTTTATACACACACACACACCTGTCAGCTCCTCCCCTTCTTTTGTCTTTCCTGTCATTCTCCTTTCCCCCAACTTTTTTCCTTCCTCCCTGATGAGCTGGAAATGTTCCCATTATTTACACTGGGAAAGACATTTGTGGACTTCATGATTTCATTACATGTTGGGGTCATTTGACTGCTCTGTGTTTGCCCCATATAGCTGAATCTGAAGCCTTTTCATTGAAACCTGTAAAATGGGTGCATTTAAAGAAGAAAGGCTGAAGCAACCCTTCACTGACATACTCATATGGTGACCTGAGACATACTCTGTCCTTTATCCAGCACTGGAGTGTCTCCGCGGGATGAGCAGTTGCTGCTGGGCACATTGCACCGGGTCGCACAGCCCACCAGGGTGATGCCCGCCAAGACGCCATCGGTTTCAGAGGATTCTTCGGGATTTATGTCCCCTTCCAGAAAGATTTCTCCAGGAGGATAGTCAGTGTCACAGGCCGCTGCAAAGAAGGGAAAGGAAAGCCTCCTGGGTCACTGAATACAATGTCTGTGCCCAACAGCCTTATCAGCATGCCAGGCCAAGTTGTGCCAAGTTCCAATAATGCTCCTTGCTCATGCTAAAATTATACTTCTGCCTACTAAAGATCTTCCTTTCCCATGAAGTCTTTTAAGTGAAGATTTTTAATCTCAGACTGTTATCTGCATTGGACTTGAATTTTTTTATTATTATTGTTACGTTGCTTCATTATGTTTTAATGTGAAACAATCAGGCAATGAAATTAAATGAATGAATGAATGTGGATGACTGGTATATTCCAAAGCAATAGTAAAATCATGACTGCTATTTATACGTTGACATTCATAAGGGATGTGGCGTGGAATTTTGTCCCAATACAATACATTTCTGCAAAACTGTTAGGAAACACATTGTTTCATAAAATGAATCCTATTATCAGCCCCGTTCCACAGCAACTATTTGTATTTTTAAAAACGTACATGTTCAATGCAAACACGCACCTAATGTCATGTCTAGCTTGGCCTTTACCCTGACAGCTGCAAGTATTGCTAGCATTTGTTTTCTATTATGGTTGTTGTTTTAAGGAGGTTTGGCTTTTTGTGTGGGAGAAGAGTCTCTGTGTGCGCATGTGTATGTGCGCATTTGTGTATGGGAGGGAGTAGGCCAAATTCATCAGTTCTGTTTTCTTTCATTCTAACTTTTCCAAGCTTAAGTTCACATTTCTGCAGTAATTTTTTTTAATGTGCATTTCTTTAAAAAGAGTACTCAGGAAAACTAAGCAGCATTTCAGTGCAATTTTCTCCTAATATACATTCTGCATGCACTTTTGACTGATATTCATACTCTTTGCAAAACATGGGCTTTGTATGTTATTTTCATTAATTTTTATGCACCCTTTCCTCTAACATACAATTTTTTAAACACATTTTTTCAGGAGAGAACTGCATAGCAAAATTCAGAGGAGCTTAAATTTGAAAAGATAGCTATGTTTCTGTTTCTTTTCTTCAGGATAGGCCATGTTTTGATCTGCATACTGTTTCAGAAAGTGTAAATTATGTAGGTTCACATTAAAACCCTTAACCAGACATAATTTCTCCTCTGCCCATACAAGAAAGGTTATATGTTTGTTTACATCTCTCTGTGTGTGGATGAGTAAGTGAGAGCAGGGCTGAGAGAGCCCAGCCCCAGGGCCAATACACAGACCCTGATTCACTACAGTACCACATTTCAAGTGTGCACGACTTATGGTTTTTAAAATACCTGCCTTATGGGTGGAAATGGCAGGATCCCTTTCATATTCTAGGTTGCGATCTCCTTCCCTGCGGGCTTGCCAGCTTTGGAAACAGCACCTGAACTGCTATGATGAGTCATTCACTTACCTGGAATGCTGGAGATGCAAAGGACGTGAGCATTGCATACGGTGAAATGATCCACCACCGTCCCTGGCTGGTTGGCATCTATGATCACAACTTTGCTTGTAGACAATGTGCTTGTGAGGATCCACACTCTGCTGGATGTGGCATCCATCTCGTGCAACTCTCTGGCCTGCAGAACAGCAAAAATGCAGCGAGAGAGAGGGAGAGAATGTGGCGGGTGGGAAGGCTTCCGGTTCCGGTCTGCCTTAATGAAGGCAGCTCCCACGACAGCGGGAGAACGTTGGCGAAGGAAAAACAAGGATGATTGAGGGTAATTATCCTTGCAAGTTCACCCCAGGGACGGGGAACAGGTTTCACTCGCAGTTCGTCTCAGTACCTGGCTCTCACTCCAGCATGGAATGCGGGAGGCAGGGAGGCGCTGAGTGCAAAAGCATATTCACAATGAATCTCTAGGGTATGAGTGGGGAACCTTTTCTCAGCTCAAGGGCTGCATTCCTTTTCTGGGCAACCTTCAGAGGGCCAGGGGTAAAACTAGGAGGAGCACTGGATATAAGTGTTAGCTTTGTACAGTACAGCTGTTTCTAAATACCTGTTTCTCCATCCAGGCAAGCAAAAGGCAGTATTGGTGCTCAAGGGCAAAAACACTCGAGGAATGCGAAGCAGCATGAGTAGCAGGGGTAGCTGGTGTGAGAAAGAAGCTTGGAGGGCCACACTGAGCCCCAGTTCCTGAGATTTCCCATACCTGTTGGGCTTCTACATGATCACAGGGTCTCACAGATGTTTAAGACTGCCAGTGTCTCTGGGCGAGATGATTTACAATCGCCTCCCTCTGTGTTATTTTTAGGACTGTGCTATTCATGTTATTAGCAATTCTATGGATTCAAAACATCTAAATAACTGCTGAGGGATCCCCACCATAAAAAGGGATTGCTGGGATTTAACCCTTTGTCCCCACTGTGCCCCTGATCAGAATAGCTCCCCTGCCCCATGGCTGGTATCTGCGTCTTGTTCAAAATGTACAGTAGCCCCTCTCTCATCTAAGTGCAGCCCAGGTACCAGCCACTACATCCAGTACTTATATCTCCTGTAGAACCACAAATGCTTCATTAAAAAAGCATGGTGAATGCCAAATTGATGTTAGAGTGCATGATTGTTGCTTTGTTGTGTATCCAGCTTATGAAAAATAGCTCAGGAAGTCACACTTAAATGTATAAGAAGGAAAATGGGAGAAATGGACAGCTCTCTTCCCCAACCTTTTTCTTTTCTGGCGATGTGTGGTTACTCTTGGTGCTCTCTCCTTCTGCTTCTCGGTCGCAAGTGAGAGGATCACATCCTGGATCTGGTTTCTGCCCATTTCCAGTATCTGGTTCCACAGGCTTCCAACCTGTCAAGTTGACACCAGCTGCACACCACAACTAAAAAGGCAAAGAAAGGAGCTTGAAGAAGAGCAGGTTTTTTTTATGGGGTGGGGTAGAAAGACATGAGCCACTTGGCATGTCTTGATCATCTTTGCAGTGTCTTCATTCTCAAATATGATCTGCAATAGATCAGAATTCAGCACAAACCCAATGATCCATCCTAAGGGAATGCTGTAAGCGAGGGTACAGCTCTAGAGACCTCTGTGCCACTGGGCCTCCACAACAAAGGTTGAGGAGTCTTGGGAATGTGAACCAGCATGGGAAACATACTAGATGCCCGTGAAAAGGAAACACGAATATATCTATCAAAATCAGGGCTATTATCTGTGTAGAAAGCTCCCATCGCAGGCTCCTTGGCTCCATCAGAATTTGGCATGGCTTGGCAACCCCAGATAAATCAGGAACAGGAGGAGGAAAACAGAGAAGGAGCAGATAAAGGGTGGGTGCTGTAAGGCTGGCACCCGAGAATGGAGAGGAGAGCTCCTCCCCTAGGAACTCTAGATGTCAGAGAGGAAGAAGCAGATCTGCTGGCTCTCCTCTGCCCCTGGTGGAATGTAGAGCATCATCAGGGAGGTAGGAGGACTTTGGCCAGCAAGAGGGTGGAGAAGGAGCTGGCGGTGGAGCTGGAGGCAAAGGGGCAGCACACAGACTCGTTGCCAGGAAACAAGTGCTGCCTTCACAGGTGGAATCAGACGCATCCTCCCAGATGAAGTGTGCATCATGTGTGCGCACAGCAGACTTGTAGGACAAGAGAGCCCCAAGAGTGAGCTTGCCTTGCCTTGAAAAGCTTGGCAGGAGGGGAGCGTCAACTGTTGGGACATCTTCGTCACTTCTGTTCGACAAGTAGATTATTCGCATGAAGGTATGCCGGAACCTGTGACGCAACGTTCAACAACGACAGAACTATCTGCTAAAAGGAATGGGAAGCTTTTGCACATATGTGACACTTACCTTCATGGTAGGGTCCTTTTCCACTAGTGGGCGGCAATACACAGGCACTGGGACATTTTTCATCCGGTTGTCCTCTTGGCCACCATTGGGACTCAGCTATTGGGGACAGAAAGGACAGGGCGTGATTCAACTCTCAACCAAAATGTGATTTCCAGCTGCCAAACTGAGTAAGAGACTAAGAAGAGCACATCAAAGGGCCATTTTGTCCAACAACCTGCTCCTTTCAGTGGCCAACCAGGAGAAATAACACACACACACACACACACAGTGTGGCACACATCTAACACACATGTGGCAACTATAACATTATCTAGTTCATATGCTAATGGACCATTTTGATAGTGCCCAACAGGTTAATAGTTGGCATCCATCTGTCTCAAGAGACAATGGATTGCGCCTCTGGAGGTGAAGTCAAACCACTGAGTTAGCAGCACTGAAGTGACTTCCCTGGGGTGCAAGCCTGGGCAATGTGTATGGCGGTCCTGGGTTGCCCAGACGATTGGACACCCCGTCTCGGCCTCAATGATGTTACAGCATACGTATTTTAATGACTGCATTTTATGCTTGCTGTAAATCAACACCAGGACTTTTGTAGTTGTTGTGGAAAACATTTCCACAAATTCAATAAACCGAACTTCACCTCTCTTGCCTCTCGGTGAACGAGGCCTACCTGCTTGTATTTGGCGGGCAGGCTCCACCCACAGGCCTGCAAGCGACCGTCATCATTCCGCACGTGCTCCCGGACTTGGCGGTACTGTTCGCGCTTCTGCTCGCGACGTGCGGATGACGTACAGTCACTGAGGAGAGACGCAACAGTGTTACTTCTCAATCTATGGTTAGAAATGAGAGGCAGAGGGTCAAGGAAGCATTGCCGTGGCAGCAGAAAGACAGAGATTCACGGAGTGAGAGGAAAAAGAGAGAGAGTGGTTGAAGCTCAGTCAATAATACACACAAAGCAGGGGGGGAAAGCTATGGCAGTCAACCAAGGAGATCTCCTACTATATATTTTAGAAAGTATTTTTTTAATCTGTTCTCTAAGCATTTGGACACCTCTTCAGATAGCATGGCCAATTTTTGCACAATAGATTCTGAAACCAAGAGGTTGGGTTTCTTTTTTCTAGGTTTGGATACACTTGGACACCATTTTGAATCAAGAAGGTGGAATGAACCTTTCTGAACTGCACTGATTTTAATTATTGATTCCCAGACTAAACTGATTGGGGGTGATGGTCCTTAGAATTCCTGAGTATCACCAGGTGCTAAAAATCCACCGAGGATGAAAATCCATCCAAAAAGCATTCGTCAAAACCTTTGTTCTGTGGGAATCAAAGACAGCCCCTTTTTACTATTAGGGTTGTGATGTGCTATTTAGTTCTACTCAGAGATCCATTGAAACAAATGAACATGACTAACCCAGGGCTATTATTTTCATGGGTTTACTCTGAGTAAAAATAACATTGGAGGCTACACACACACACACACACACACACACACACAATTTATGCATGTCTTCCTCTCTTCTTTGACAAGCATGTTGTGTTTTCCAGGGCAAATATTTGAATAAATATTAACATGCAAAACGTGTTCCCCTCTTTACTTTGATGTGCTTCACTAACTTGTTCATTCTTAAGTTTTCCCTGAAATATTTTTATTATTATAAAGTAATGAAAAGGAGATTTGCAGGACGCTGAATTCCAAGCAGCCACTGACTATGTCCAGCCTTGTCAAAATCTGGTCAGCACATGCTTTGAAGCTATACTTTCTGGGTTTCCGCCAAGCAACTAGGACAAGCCACAGCAGGAACTTTAGCCATAGTGGTCGATGAACTCACTCATCCGGGAAGAACTCAAGGGTGCGACTCCCCGCAGAGATCTGGCACATAGTGTGGCTACGGCGCTGGCTGAACCCAGCTGCCGTGGGAGATTTGTAATGGATGTTCACTGATGGGTAACTCCTTTTGGCAGGTGGAGGACTGGAGGAAGAGCTGAACAGGCGGCTGAAGCTGGGGAGAAAGAAGGAAGCCAAAGGTGTTAAATCATGAGTTTTGTATTGTTAATCCCAAAGAAGAAGAAAAGAGGTACAGGAGTATGAATTGGGGGCGGGGATTATTTGTGTGCATTTTAATGAGAAACTACCTAATTCACGCTTCTCAGACCCAATACACCTATCAAAACACAGCAACTCTTTGAAATTCACACTTCTTGGAATTTTGCAAGACAGTTCTCCAACCAATGTGCAAAAAATGCATAAAAATAGATGTTATCTATTAGTGAAGATAACATACAAAATGCTTAGTCTTAGGAAAAACTGCTTGCAAAAATGTGCATATTAATCAAAACTGTATCCATATATATATATTTATTATGAGAAATGCACACTAAAATGCTGGTGAGTATTCATGCGGATTTTTTTTAAAGTGCAAATTGCGGCAAAAATGAGGAGAACTGAATTTAAAATTGGAAAAATGAGAAACAGAAAGAATCCTATATGGAAGTTACTGGAAAGTTGCTAAACATTAGAGAACGTCCTGACATGGGATGAGGCAAGGAGTTGTACTATGTTTGGGTTTTAATGGGAGAGCATCTTGTGCAAGAATAAATTTGGCACTTCATCTGCTGTTTGCATGCATGAGTCTGAAAATGATCAGCTGGGGAAACTGTGGCACTCCAGATGTTGTTGGATGACAATACCCGTCAGCCCCAACCAGTGTGGACAATGGTCAGGAATTATAGTTCAGCAATATATAGTGGACCAGAGTTCAACCCTATCTGAAAGCCACATCTTCTGAACTTGAAGACCCCATCCATCTAATCCCAGGGTTGCTGGAGGATGTGAAGCAGCACACTGCCACAACTGCTCATTTTTAATATTTTATTTATTCCCTTTGATTGAGAGGGGTCTTGGCAAAGTACCATCTTGGAAGCCCCTTCTTTACCTGGCATGATCAGCTAGCACCTTGGAAGCCATCTTTTTAAACTTTGCAGCACTCAACACATCGGTGCTCTGTGGCACAATGGGAAATTTAAAATGAGAGTTTGCAGCTACAGAGGACAGAGAAGGATGGTTCGGTGATGTGCTTTTTTGAAACTCTGGAGCCCCAGCAGCTACCCAAAAGTGCTGGGTGAGTTGAAGTTGTCTTCACACACCCTCATCTGATGGAATGTGCAAGGTTTAAACATAAAGAATGTCAAGAGGCAGCACAGGCTATCTATTGCACCAGTGATGTTACCTCCCTTCTCACATCCAAATATGCAACTTTGTCAGTAAAAATGAACTGGTAGAATTACTGTGCTTTTACTTGACTGTACGGAAAAGTCTCTACCACACACGTCCTTCTGCATTTCACAGTTCACAAGCAAACACACTACTTACAATTGCCAAATAGTAGATTTCTTTTTCTCCTGGACAGAAGGGTGCTCACGAGAGGCTCTGTGAACAAATAAAATAGATAATTATTAAACGGCTGGACAACAGATGAGCGGACAAAATAAATGGCAAAAAAGGTTAATTTGGGGATCTGAGGACTGGTATGCCTGTTGGTTTCAGGATTCAGCTACAAATGACATATGCAATGAAGGCCTGAAGCAAAAAGAAAGGGAAAGCCTTGAAACAGTTCCAGTAAATAGAATTTTTATAAATTTGTAAAAAAATAAAGAGCATCCATATAAATAAATACATGAAGCACAAGATAATTATATACATCATCATTAGGCATGACAGAACAAACCCATGATAAAAACCTTATTATGCATAGAATATACTTTAATCACCTAATCATAACACAATGCAACATAAACCACATCATACATAACTCTTGCACACTTCAAAAGCAAGCAACTCTTTTCTTTTCTTTGTATTTATTTGTTGCTTTTCCCACGAAAGTCTCTCAAGTTACTTACAATGCAAAAACAAACAAACCCCACATTAAAACCAAGTATACCAACAAATAATAATAGTCATGGGTTAAGGCTGCAATCCCCAACCCAATTACATCAGATGAAGCCACATGTAAAGGCTATAATTTGGTTTTTGTGTTTCTTCTTTTTCAAATGAACACTAAGATTCTTGAGGTGCTGGAATACATTTAGACCTAGCCAATGAGAGTTAAAAACCCACTGGGTTTTTTGTCTGATGCTGAGGTGATCAGGGTGCTGAATTCTTCATCTCACGCAAAATGACCACTGGTACTCCAGAACCACAGAGGACCTCTAGCCCACCTGCTAGGTTCCTCTCAACACTTTTACGATGCTGCAACAATAAAGCACCCCCCATACCTGATCATCTCGGTCCACCTGACAGCCTCCTGCAGCTCCATCAACCTCTCCTTGTATTGGTTGCGCTCCATCAAGACCCGGGCCATCTCCACGCGGGTGAACCTCCGGCGCTGAGCTATGGGAATGTTGTCCTGCAGAGGGGAGGAGGACGGCTTCAACCAATGGGAAATGGAAGGGGATTAAGGTTAGTAAAGAATGAAGCCAGGTGACTAAAGCAACAATTGTTAGCTTCTTCCAGGTATACACCCCCCCCAGTTAATTTTAGCAAACAGAATCTAACTACAACGTCATATAAGCAACGAAAACACAACATCTGGAGAACTGATTAGCGAAAAGCTAATTCGTGTTCTGCAAGCCTCCAAGGTAATGCTAGTTAGCATCCAAGTCTAACTAGCCTGCCATTAGGAGTGAAGTGTTAATATGGGTTAGTCAACTCATATTAAGCCCATGCATAGCTAAACTTCCTGCAACAGGAGGAAGCCTAATTTGTAAACAATGCAATACAATGCAAAAGTGGAGGATTATTTAAGGGAGAAGGCAGAAGTAACAGTCTTAACAGTGGCCAAAGCAGTAATGCACCCATTGCGTGAATTCAGTCTTATCCCTCTCCCTGTCATGATTCATAAAGATTGCCCACCTTTCTATTTTATTTTTTAAAAAAAACATTCAGGAATTTATATGCATTTGTAAGCTTTTTTGTCCACCCTTCACATTACCAAAAAATAAACTCATTTTTCCCCCGAAACCATTTCAAAATAGTTCTGGGGACCTGGGGAGGTAATGACTTCACAGACTAGACAACAGGCAACTACCCAGAGTTTCTTTCCCCCAATATGCCAGAAACGTTTCCCTCTCCCAGAAAAGAAGAGTAATAGAAAAGAAGAATCATGCATGTGTAGATCAGGAAGTCAAAAGCGAATTCAAGCAATCTCTGCCACTCTCAAAAGTGCTACATCTGTCTTCACCCGAAGATCAGAATGAACAGGTAATTCTACATCAGAACTAAGGGTGCCTGCATGGACATATCAACCGCATTAGCAAGTCAGCACTGAAACACACATTAGTAGCTCACAGGATTAAAATCAGCCTGCCTTTCTCTACAAAGAAGTCCCCAAAAGACATGTGGTGGGAGACTGAGGGAAGAGCTGCTTATTCTATTGCAAAAGAAGGCTTGGACCTTCTTACCCAGCATGGCTGAGCTTACCTGGTCATACTCATTATCTGGATGATTCTCTGGGGGAGATCCCAGTGACCACTGACAGCATAGAGAGAAGGGACAGGTTCGAAATGCGGCCCCTTTCATCCGTCCCAACAGTAAGTGCTAAAGGCTAACGGGCCGCTGATCAGGAGATCGCAGGAAGCACTGCTGGGTAGCTAGGAGACCAGCTATAAGAGCTAAAATGCACACCCAACTTTGTCATACGCTGCAAAGTTTAGGGAGGCATTTCAGCAACAAGGAACGTGTATGTGGAGGTTGTGTGTGTCAAGGAGAAATGTTTGTCCCATGGCATTCACACTCACTGCAGATGGTTCGTGTAATTTTTCTGTGAAGCTCCTTGTAACCCAGAAGATGAGTGAGGACAGGACACACTACTTCCTGTTTCTGCCCTCATCTTAAACTAGTTTTGGGGATGGTGTCATCAGAGCGATTGCATGGGAGCAGAAAGCAATGTTTCCCCAACCTCATTCTGATGGAATCTTCTGGGTAGGAAGGAACAGGGGGCTCAGCAGTAGTGAGAGATGTCATTGCTGTTGTCCCGCAACTTTCCCCAGTGCAAACCTTCTCTTTAAAGCTCAATCACAGCAAACAGCAATTTGCGGAAAACCAGAATTGACATTTGCTCTGATTGAGCGCTAAAGAGCAGGTTTTCATGGGGAGAAACCCCAGGGCAAAAAGCAAAAAACAAACCCACACTTGGATATAGAGCTTTTAAGTGCAGACCTGGAAAGAATGGGGCAAAAAGGAAGTGTGGCTAAACCATGATCTAGGAGGACCAGTCACCTAACTGCAGATAAGACCTATGTTCCTCCTCATGTTAGCATGTACAAGGGAGATTTGGTTTAGGACCACAATGATGGAGGCAAAGACTTAAAGTCCCCTACCTTCCCCATACCAGAGACTATATGTGGGGGAGAAAACACATATATAAGGATAATCTGACCCTAATGGTGCAATCCTAACCGTGTCTACTCAGAAGCAAGTCTTATTGATCTCAATGGGGCTTGCTCCCAGGTAAGTGGGGTTAGGACTGAGGTGGCATCCAGTACTTCCATTTTGATATGATTACACCCAGGCTGCGGTAGTCATGAATGTGGTGACAACCCAAAGAGAACAGCCCCTTTGGGCTGCCCCACACACCTGAGGATGATAAAATATGCACTTTGGTGTCAGTGTTCAAGTAAGTGAGGAAGAAAACCCCCCATTCCCACAAAAAACCCTCCTTCCCTAGGCATTTTAATAATGTAATATACCAATTCTGTACAGAGATAGCTGCTTACATCCTCCACCTCTTCTTTGGGCTCTCGACGGGCAACGATCACTTCGGATTTCACTCTAGAAAACAGAGCAAAGAACATCAAAGAAAGGAAGAGGCTAAAAGAGCAGCCCCTCTTGGCAGGGGTACGCTGTCCTGGGCCTCAGTTGCTCACTAGGGCTGCCATCTTTCAAGAAGTGAAAATCCAGACACAAACAAATTGCTGAAAAAAGCCAAAGTTGTTTTTGAGAAATGACCCAAGCGATTTTTTGGTTATTTTGCCGAAAATCCAGGACAAACTGCTGCTTTTCAGAAATCCTCCCCCCCGCCCCCGCCATCACTTCCACCATTGAAATTCCGGTAATGTCCGGGAAAATCTGGATGTATGGCTACCCTAGCTAGGCCATTTTGCTACATTTGCTACAGAAAGTTTATGAGGCATGGGGAACATCTGGCTTTATGTGAGCAGCCCAAGGCAACAACCAAGGATAAAAAATACCCCCCAATCCATATATGTAAAAAAAGAAGACAGTAATACTTCACCCTGCTCCCCAAAAAATGTAAACTGGACCACTTTTGCTAACAGTTACAAAGGGGGGGGGGAATTTAATACAAGAACGAGAATGAGAAGCACCAACATGAGCTCTTCGTTTGACTGTGGCATGTAGAGAGGGCCATACCAAATGTGATATGTACAGAAGGACCACAGTTGCGTCTCCTGCAGGTTTGCCTTTGCTCATGAAGATCTGGGATGTGGTGCTGTGGGAGGGTCCATTTAGCAGAGGGGCCAGGGGGAGAACTTGTGGGCCTCCAAGTGTTGTTGCGACAATAGCCAGGGTAGCCCAAGTGCTGCCCTACAGATCGCCTTGGAATCTAGCACCCACCAGCCTTCTTTTTTTGTCCCGAATGACTTGCCTACACATAGCTGAGGAAACTGCTCAAGCAGCAGCCGGACACTCACCTTTTCAGTTCCTCTTCGAGTTCCTTGATCCTAGCTTCCATCTTGGCTTTCGCTTGCTTTGCTGCTTCAAGCTCACCTTTCAACACCTCCTGCTCCCCAGTGAGCTGGTCTACCTTTGCAATTAAATCGTTCTTCACTATGTTCAGAGCATTTCTTTAGGACGGGGAAAGGAAAAGAAAAACGTATGTGCCACAGTAGATAGTGAGGTGGATAACATCATTTTGGTGGAAGATTAACTGCAGCAGAGAAGTATCAGTGAAGCCTGTGATGAATATAGGGGAGGATTGAAAGCAATGATTTCTTACAACCTTAGTCTAGAGGACAGCAGTGAGAGAAAGAGAACGAGCTTTTGGGTAGTAGGCTCTGGTTTCCCAGGGAATTTCACCCTGCACCCGTTGAAGAAGTTTTTACTTTCTTAGGAATTGTGGTTCTTGCATAACAATATTTAGTTCCCTTGTCAATCATCCTTGTGTTGTGTGGGGGAAAGGGCGCTTTGTTTCTTCGTGATTATTGCAGATGCTGTTACTAATAATAATACCTTTATTGTCAATGTACAACATGTGTACAATGAAATTAACGGAGCCTCCCTCCGCCCCACCCAACAAACACTCAATCTCATTTACTGCAATATTGCTGTTGTATTTGTTATGAATTTGCTGTTTTGAACTGCATTTGTATGGATTTTACAGTATGGTAGGTTGTACGGAGACTTTTCTGTGGGTAGCACTGATTCTGTTGGCAGAAACCAAGTATGGATGCCTGCCTTTGTGAGATCCCCTATTTAATTTCTCACCACACCCCTAAAAGTGACCCCTCTCAGAAACAATTCTCAACTCTCTTAAGAACCATTGCTTGGAAGTTCTTCGTGCAATTATCAGAGACATGCTACTACCAACAGTGGAACACAGCCATCAAGGCTAGTAGCCACTGATACCCTTATACATGAATTTGTCTAATCCTCTTTTAAAACCTTCTAAGCTGGTGGTCACCGAAATGCTAGCAAGCAAAGTGGCAACACACAAATGTCCTCTGAAGTCAACCATGTCCATGCCATACACCTAAGCAAACAAGCAAAGTATTTCTAGAGCATGAGCTGGTGTCTTACTTTGTTTCCAGTAGCTGCGTGTTCTCCATCAACAGGTTCCCCACTTCTTTGCCCATCCCTGGAGGGGTGGAAAAGAAAAAATAAAACACGAGGCAACACACAATTTTGATCTGCACCCTCTGGAAAGATTTAAGCAATATGCTTTGCTGGCCAATTCTTACTTAGGAGAAGCAGCCTCGTAGTTCGAGAGCCTGCAACGTATATGTTTTGCTGCACAGTGCAAAGCGCCACTCGCCCTGTCGAGGTCGCGGAACAGAAGCAAACATTTCTGAAAACGCAGACGGATGCATTCACTCAAGTACAGAGACTTCCTTTAGGAGATGGGACAGAAGAAACAACTGCACTAAAATGGCTATTCTTAGGGCTTATCCACACTCAACTTTTGTCCCACACTTTCCAGGCAGAGATCTGTACATTAACACTCTATGGTCAAGCAGTTTTTGTTTGTTTGTTTTGCCCTAAGCTTTCCCCACAAAAAAACAGCTCTTTAAGGCTGAACTGGAACAAACAGCAATTCAGGTTTTCTGTGGATTGACATTTGCTCTGATTGAGCTTGAAAGAATGGGTTTTCAAGAGGAAAGGTCCAGAGCAAAATAAAAAAGGGGGGGAGTGTTTAGACCCAGAGCTTGAAATTGTGGACTGTGCCTGGAAAGAGTGGAGGAAAGGTAATTGTGCATAAGCCCTTAGACTTAAAAGCTGAACCCACCCCACTATAATGTGTTAAAACCTTTTTGAACAGGCCCAGCCAATGAGCGAGTCACTCAACTCCTCTGTTTCGCACAACCCTGCTTGTTTTCAATCTGGATTCAAGAGCACAAGCCATGAGCACAGCGAATTATTAGCAAAGTTCAATATTATGCACAGCTAATTTAGGGTAACGATTAGTGCAGGGGTAGAGAAAGTCCAGCTCGTGCACCAATCTTGGCCTGCCGGGGAGTTGAATTTGACCTGTGAAGCCATTTTCCCAAAACCACACCACCTGTCAATCAGCTGGTATCACTGGGTGTTGTCAGCTGATGGGCAGGGTTCAATCATGCTGGGTGCTTCTTTGCATGTGTGATCCCTGTGGGGGAACATGCTAGCAAAGTAGAACAGAACTAAACCCTCTCCACATCAGTCCTGCTGGGTGCTGTTTGGCCAGTGCATTCCCTGCAAGGAACATACTAGTGAAACAGACCTCCACCCTTGCGGGTCAACTTTGATTCGTGGATAGAAGCCACTTGATGCAAGTTAAGAAAAGAAAAGAAAAGCCCTGTTGGCCCACCTAGTCCAGCATCCTGCTCTTATGGTGGCCAACCAACCACCTGCCTCTGGGAAGCCCAAAAGCAGGACCTGAGCAGATCAGCACTCTTCCCACCAGCAGTTCCCAACAACTGGTATTCAGAGGCATAGTGCCTCCAACAGGGGAGACAGAAGCATAGCCGTCATGGCTAGTAGCCCTAAATAGCCTCATCCTCCATTAATCCTCTTTTACACCAAGTTGGTGGCCATTAATACCTCTTATGTGAGTTTGTCCTGAATCTTCCAACATTCAACTTCATTGAATGGCCCCAAGCATGATGAGAGAGGGAGAAAAACATCTCCTCATCCACTTTCTTCTGTTTATCCAAGGACCAGCTCTGATCTAATTCGATCATCTGTCACGTATTTCAGTCCTCCTAGTCACTAGTTTCTGGTCTCCAGGTTGCCAACGACAAAGGGAAACTTTAAAGACTTTGCCGTTGGGCCAACTGTTTCATTGGAAGTACCTAATGTCACACAGTGAAGCTTAACTGTCTGACTTCCCCTGAACTTCTATGCAGATTAGTGCCGCACCACTGTGGAAGGATCCAACCCCAGCTAGACATCACAAGGAAACTATCTCTGAAGAGGTTTGAAGAAGAAGAAGAAGAGGAGTTTGGATTTGATATCCCGCTTTATCACTACCCTAAGGAGTCTCAAAGCGGCTAACATTCTCCTTTCCCTTCCTCCCCCACAACAAACACTCTGTGAGGTGAGTGGGGCTGAGAGACTTCAAAGAAGTGTGACTGGCCCAAGGTCACCCAGCAGCTGCATTTGGAGGAGCGGGGAAGCGAACCCGGTTCACCAGATTATGAGTCCACCGCTCTTAACCACTACACCACACTGGCTCTTTGGTGGGTAAGGGAAGAGTAGAGGGGCTCGCTAGTGAGGTCAGCTCTGAAATGTTATACTGCTGTTATAAAAAAAAATCCCAATTGAGTCTTTCCCACTTTGTGGATATATTAGCACTCCATTTAACTATCATGTTGCCCCTTCCAAAGAGTGCTGGGAACTGTAGCTTGACAAAGGGGCTAAGAATTCTCTTACAGATCACTGGCTCCCCTCACAGAACTACGCTTCCCAGTTTTGCAAGGACAGATGTGGGAAGTGACCTTAGTCTCCATAACTACTGCAGCAAGCTCCATATATGAGACTAGGCTGCCATTCTCTCCTCCCACCTTTTTAGTTTTATGGAGTTGTTGCTGGGAAGATGAAGGATAGGAGGAAGAATGAAATCTTACTATTGGCCACATACTCAATACACTTGTTAAACATGCACACTCTACAGCAGCTTTCCCCAACTTGTTGCCCTCCAGATGTTTTAGACTACAACTCCCATCAAGCTGGGGCTGATGACGGCTGTTATCCAAATCATCTGGAGTGCAGTAAGTTGGTGAAGGTAATTCTAGAGAAATCAGATCACTATTCCAGCTCTGTTCATCTGGCAAATGCACTATTTGTGAAAGTTTAGATACATCTTACACAAACTTTGGGTTTCCCCCCACATATGACATTATCCTAAACACACTTAGTAGGGCAGGGGTGTAAAACTTGTGGCCTTCCAAATGTTGCTGGACTACAACTTCCATCATGCCTGACCATCAGCTATGCTGACGGAGATTAAAGGGAGTTACGAATGTAAGCATATTTTGGGGGGACAACATTCATCACTTTATAATTGTTTACGCTGAATTGCACTTGCCATTTTACTGCTCATTCCCTCAGTTTTGAGAGATACTTTTGGAGCGCTTCACAATCATTTTTGGTTTTTTAAAACAACCCTGAACTTTTAGCACTTCTTTTTTTTAATCTCTAAGCTACCCTGAGTTCTATTAGTGGAAAAGGTGGGAGATGATAGATAGATAGATAGATAGATAGATGATAGATAGATAGATAGATAGAGTGGTACCTCGGGTTAAGTACTTAATTCGTTCTGGAGGTCTGTTCTTAACCTGAAGCTGTTCTTAACCTGAAGCACCACTTTAGCTAATGGGGCCTCCTGCTGCCGCTGCGCCGCCAGAGCCCAATTTCTGTTCTCATCCTGAAACAAAGTTCTTAACCTGAAGCACTATTTCTAGGTTAGCGGAGTGTGTAACCTGAAACGTATGTAACCTGAAGCGTATGTAACCAGAGGTACCACTGTAGGTAGATAGATAGATAGATAGATAGATGATAGATAGATAGATATAGACTATAGATAATATATTAGATTTAGAATTTAGATGGCAGTTCAGCAGCATCTGGCAGGCCACAGGTTCCTCCTGCCTGGTTTGAACCCTTTGGCTATTGCTGCTTTTGTGCATGAAAGCTGCCAATGCAGAACAGGAAGCAAAAAGAGCCAGGTCTAGAGTACAAATCCCTACTTCACTGCAAAACTCACTGGGTGACCTTACGAAGGCTGCATGCACCCCATACATTTAAAGCACATGGCTTTCCCCCAAAGAACCTTGGGAACTGTAGTTCCCAGCAAACCTTAACAACACTTCACAGGATTCTCTGGGGGAATTCATGTGCTTTAAATTTAGGGTGTGTTTGCAGCCAAAGCTAAGGAGAGCCTCCATCCCAAATGTTGAGAGTGCTGTATAGGGGGACTAGAATTTCCTTCCATTACAGAATGGAAGGGAAATGTTTAGTTACCTAGTCTCATTTCAACGGTTCTCATGAACCCACGGATGCTTTCAACATTCACGCACGCATCCACTTCACACTGTGTAGAGAAACATGCTTTTATGCTGTTCGTTCTGCTTGCTTTTGTTGAAAGCGACAAACACACACTCAGTACAAATGAAACGCTTAAAAAAGAGAGTTATGGCAGTGTACAGGAAGTGAGAATACAGCACAACACACTCAGGCAAGTACACAGACCTTCTTCCCAACAATGAGATGGGACGGGTTGATGATGGCAGAGGCAAGTTCCCCAGCAAGAATGGCAAAGAAGCAGCAGGTGTTTTTTTTTAAAAAAAAATAAAGTTAGATAGATATAGAGAAAGGGGAAAAAACACTACAACCATCAATAAGACAGGAAGAAATAAATCACTTCTGATGTTTCAGGCAGCATGGGATCTTCATACTGTCTATTGGGGCAGAGAACAAAAATACAAACTTAAATGCAATAATGGAGATTAAGAATCCTAGTCTGAAGGCAAACTATAGGCCACTCTGCACATTTCACTGACATCCAGTCCATTTCGTGTAGACTCCACATGGAGGCACTGCCAAACCCAGGTACTCAATTTGTGTACCTGCATGACACATGCATGTGTTTCATTCCCACATTATGTTTCTTGGTGTACATTTGAAATAGGAGTACACTTAAAAAATGAAAGAAAATGTGGTACAGTGGTGCCCCGCAAGACGAATGCCTCGCAAGACGGAAAACCCGCTAGACGAAAGGGTTTTCCGTTTTTGAGTTGCTTCGCAGGACGAATTTCCCTATGGGCTTGCTTCGCAAGACGAAAATGTCTTGCGAGTCTAGAGATTTTTTTTTCGCTCCCCCCCCCTTTATCTAATCTGCTAAGCCTTTAATAGCCTTTAATAGCCTTTTAGCAGCTAATCCCCTAAGCCTTTAAGCCTTTAATAGCCGCTAAACCGCTAATAGCGCTAGTCCGTTAAGCCGCTAATAGGGTTGCTTCGCAAGACGAAAAAACCGCTAGACGAAGACTCTCGCGGAACGGATTAATTTCGTCTTGCGAGGCACCACTGTATGACCTTTTATATCCCGGCTGCTGTGAGAAGGGGAAATGTAAATAGCATCTTTTTTACACACTGATTTGCCAAGGTCTGCAGGTTGGTGGGGGTGAATATTTCAAGGCACTAGCACCAGTTTTTAGGTGCCTGGGCAATGTGGCTGCAGGGTATTTTCTGTCCCTGGATAACTGGAGATACTTGGTCTCAAAAATCAAAACATATTGCAAAGAGGCAAGGTCTGTTGTTCTTTCAGAAATAATGGAAATCATCCTGAGCCTACAGGATATATGCTGAAGTCAGAAGTCTGAATCGGAAATATGAAAATCACAAGACTGCATCAATCTATAACAGAGCAGAGAATACTGCAAATCTCGCCGCTTTAGCAAATTTGTAGCCCTTAAGACTGCAAAAATAGGCTTGAAACTGTATAAAGAATGCCAGGTGGTTATCACAAGCATGGAACAGCGGAAGCTCAGATATTTGACAGTTAAGAGCAGGTGTCAATACTTTGCAAAGACCTTTGCTCAGGCCCAAGGCTATGAGTAGTTAAGTTATGCAACCTGAGTGAATATATGCAGTTTTGCTGGCTTGCATTACTTTTACGTTTCTTTTTCTTGGCACAAGATCTTTTGGGTTTTTTTGGATGTTTTTTTAGCAGACTACAACAAGCATGTCAAACATAGGTAGATTTCAGAATCTACTTTGGTTTTTACCAGAAAACTGCAGCCCAGGAACTGGAGCCAAGTACAGAGCAATAGCTGGAGAGTGAAGCCATGGCAGTTGCGCAATGCTGGATGTGCAATGGCACTGCAGGTGGTATAGCCAATTCCGTACTGCAGGACTGGATCCGGCCAGTGGGCCATATACTTATCTCCCCCACATACCAACTTTGGGCATGAAGCAGTCTATGAATTTGTCTAATAATGAGAATAATGAGAATAATAATGATGATGGCACCTGCCAACATCCCCGTTACCGCTTCAAAATACAGTTGGGAAGAAGCCACAACTGAGTGCTCCTTGCTTCTAGAAAGCTAGTGGTTCAGGTAAAAAAAAAAAAAAAGGCCAGGGCTAGTCTTTTCTTCTGAATACAAAGTGGTTTCTAAGCTAAGGGTTTTCAAAACATGAAAAGCAGCACATTGAATTGTGTGTCTGGAATGTTATAAGAAGCCCTGGCTCCCATAGCAACCTAAGTGAAGTGTGGTGGAGTCAATTGTGTATATAGAATATTTCCATCAAGAATGCTATATGTGTTTTGTGTGTTTGTTTACAGTTCCCAGAAAAAAATAACCAGGAAATGCATTACATTTCACAGCCATATTTCTTGACCTGCATCCTGCAAGCTGTTTGAAACATCAAAGTGAATAACCACCTACATCCCCAAACAGAAAAGAATCTCTCCCAAACAATGGGTGACGGAAGAATCACCTACTTCTTCTCAACAAAGCAACACCATCACCATCACGGGAAAGAAACAAAAGAGAGTCCCAAGAAATCCCAGAAGAAAAAAAAGAGGAGAAGGAAAAAAAGGATGAAGAGATGCTGAATGAACAGAAAGGGGGAGGAGAACACCCATATGTTTAAAAAAGGCCTTGGCCTTACCAAAGAAATCATCCCGCACTATGAAAGTCATTCCATATGAGAAAAGAGGGGTGGGGTTAGGGGTACAGAAAGAGATAGGGACAAAGAAGAGAAGAATAGGGGAAGAAAGGGAGAGAAAAAAGCAGCCATTAAATACAAATCTGTAAACAGCAAAACGGTGGTGCTCTCTTAGCACGTACGCGCAAGGAAATTAGTTATGCTGCAGCAAGAACCACTCTCTGCCTCTGATCCAGCTAAGCAGGGAAGAAAGTCTCAGATTTTGAATGAATGAACAGATCAAGTTAGCAACTCCTGGTTCCATCCTCTGTGGATAGGTAAAGGTCCTTTGGGCCTCTCATCCTCTACGGAAGGGAACCAAAGCAACAGCATGGATGGGTCAGGTTAAAGGGAAAAACAGGAGGAGAGGACAGTAAAATTGGGGCAAAGGGGCTGTTGGGGGACCCCGAATCTGATTTTCAACTGGACGGATGCCTGAAAAAAAGGCAGCAATCTTGGGTTGGCAGCAAATAATAAATGTTTAAAGGAAATGAATCTATTTCCTATTTGCACTGGGCCGGGTCCAGTGTAAAGAGTTCTTCAGCAGAGGTAGACTGGTATTATCAAAGGAAGGGAACTTTTGCATCCAACCCAATGCAGACAAACACACCCCTTCTCTTTCTTTCTCCTTCAGTCAAAACTGGACACGTTTTTCACAAAGGATTGTATTTACATGTCATACAACTCAGTAATAAGAAGTTGCCTTATACTGAGTCAGATCATTGGTCCGTCTAGCTCAATACTGTCTACACTGATTGGCAGTGGCTCTTCAGGATTTTAGGTGAGGACGTTCTCAACCCTATGCAGAGATACTGGAGCTTGAACTCAGAGGAGTTTCTGCATGCAGAGCAGATGCTCTATCACAGAGCTATGGCCCTTCCGCGAACATTTCAAGCATGACTACAATGAACATTTACATGTAAAAAAAACCCACCTAATTTTCCACCCTTACTGGGAGAGCCCTGGAGGGAAGTGCGGATGCTCCAATTTTGGAAATGATACTAAATGTGCACACCCAATGTGCTCACAAATCGACAGGCAATCATGTGTGGCCAACAGGAATGGGGAGAAATTCAATTCAGTTCACGTTCAAAGTCAAATTTATCAAATTCACACTCTCCGAAACAATACGAAAGCAAACATAGCTAACCGAAGAAAGTTTCCAGAAATTCCCTCTATCTACTGAAGCATTTCATAAACCTCTTTCTTGTCTTTTGTGCTCCCTGAACCTTTGCCCATCTTTATCTTAAAAACTCTGAAGCCTCAAATGCTTTAAGCTTTCTTTATATTATATATGAGGAAATGTTCCAGACCTGTCATGGTTTTGTTTCTGCTTTCTGGAAACTTTTCCAGTTCCAGGATATCCTCCTGAGATGGGGACCACAACTGTATCCAGGGAAACTGTCCAGTCTGTACCACTTAAGCCAGTGGTGCTGTCAAGGCAGGATTTTAGGATAGAGGCCCAGGGGCCCACTCAGCAGAATGAGCCTCCTAACGCAACAGGGCAGACTTTCCACATTCTGAAGGAAGTGATGTCAATGTACAATACCATCTAAAGAGCCACCCTACTCCAATAAGATAATTGTCTATAGAGAGCAGGGCTGGAGAACCATGTGGTCCATTTTGTTGGACTCCAACTCCCATCAGCCTCAGCCTTCACGGTCATTGGTCAGGGATAGTAATCTAGGAAGTCACCGTATACTAATCCACTTAGCTCAGTATCATCTATGCCGACTGGCAGTAGCTCTCCAGGTTTTCAGGCAGGAGTGTCTCGCAGCCCTACCTGGAGATGCCAGTGATTGACCCAGAAATAATCTGCATGCAAAGCAGATGTTCTACCACTGAGCTATAGGCCTTCCATGTGATGGGAGGTGGTGGTTCTCCACCCCTGGCCTAGAGTCTTAAATTAGCTAACTGCACCACTGATTTAAGCAAGTTCATCTAGAAAAGATGCCCTTCTAACACTTCTCTTTCAGCTAGAACTCTTGACTGACCATCTCAGCCTTTTCCAAACTTACAAGCTGCGAAACTTGAGAGCTCAGCCCCTATCCTGCAAGCACTGAGTCCCAAACCTTCTCTTACCCAGCAGCCATCCTGAGGGAGGGAAAGGACTAATTATTAATGGAATCAGCAAGATGGATAAACCTCCTATCTTTAGCTCACTCTCTGAATGAAGAACCCACACTTGGGCTCACTGCCTGCCCTAAAAGGAAGGAAAAATCCCACCTTATAGGAAACATGAAGTAACAGATGTTTTCCCACCTTCAACCCTAGGATTCAAAGAGGGAGGTAAAAAAAAGCAGATCGTGGAGTGAGGCTGCAGAAAGCCGGGGGTAGGGTTAGAAATAAAGCTTACCGCAATGTAACATGTGAGCAAAAAGCAGAGAATGTTCAATTGGGTTTGGAACCTTAAGTCACGCAAGCCAATCAAACAAGGGAAAGGCGGGACGAAGTCCGCAAAGCCAACCGTGATTGGACAACAGCAGGGGAGTATCACACGTGTGTACCCACATCATTCAATTTAAAATTCAAGAAAGGGGGAAGGAGCAGGAAGAAAGAAAAATTGGAGGAAACAGAGAATCTGAACAGAGGAGAGATACACACCTGAAAACTCCCCTATGGGCCATGTCCAGCGAAGCACAGAGATACAGGATGGGGTAGGGGGGAAGGATTTGGGGGGAAGGAAAGAAAAAGAGTCAATCAGTGACCGAAACCAACAAAATAAAAAAAAATCTGGATTTTTTTAAAAAGAGAAACAAAAAATTAACAAAGATCTTGCCATTTCAATGTCAAAAGGCATGAAATAGTAAAGACAGGACCTGCTATGGACTGCAAATGGTGTGAATCTACATATGGGACATTTGAGAGTATGAGGGTGAGGAAATCACTTTTTCCCCCCAGATGAGGATATAAGTGAGGAGCCTGGAGACTTCCTACAAACCCTGACTTAAGCCTTGTCTTCTCAACCATGGCAAATGGTATAATAAAAACGTATTCTGAATAACCTAATTTGTTGGAATGCTTACAACCATCTGCAGCGCTCTATGTAGCCTTTCCAAAAATTCATGAAAGCTGGCACAGCTTGAGACCCACTAAATCAAACGCAGCCCAACAGGAATTGGATCATGGCCCTAATGCCTTAAAATGGAAATGGCCTTAACCCAGGTCTAACAGTTGGCCAATTTAGCCTAGTACTGTTGGCTCTGTCTGGCAGCAGCTCTCAGAGGAACATAGGAAGTCACTTTATACAGAGTCTGACCATTAGTCCATTTCTGCTCAGTACTGCCTGTAATGACTGGTAACCAGCTCTCCTTGGTTTCAGAATAGGAACATGTGCAACCCCATGTTGGAGGTGCTGGGGACTTGTGCTGGGCCCGGGGGTGACCTGAGTAACGCGGTCCAGGTCCGATCCCAAATCCAAGGGTTCTGCGAGGAGTTAGTCCGGCAGGGCCAAGGCAGTACACGAGGCAGGAAACCAGGCAAGGTCAGGCACAGGATCACAGGCAGGTTCTGGCAAACAGCAACGTTGCTCCAGCAAGCCTTTTATCTCTGTCAGGGTAACGGCCGGTCCTGATCCCCCGGTGACTCACCTCCCTGTCTCGCCTGAAGGCGAGCACTCCTCCTGCGAGTACTCAGGTCTCTCCTTCTCTCAGACCTTAGTCTCTGCAGCTTGGGAGATGTCGGTGGGTTACTAGACCCAGAGGCCGCCTCAGCCTCTCCTGACCCAACTGGTAGTGGAGCAGCTGTAAGTGATTGCCCAGCTGAAGGCAACGAGGTAATCCCCACATCTGGAGCCAGGGCAGGCTCAGGCCCCTGACTCGGCCCAGCTGGTGCTTGTTGCAGGGAAACCTCTGCAGACTGGGGCTCTTCAGAATCAGGGAAACCTGTGCAGACTGAGGCAAAGGATCTGGTGTGGACTGAGACTCCTCTGGCTCCGAGTCCGAGCCCAAGTCCCAAGCCATCACAGGACTGAACCTGGGAACTTCTGCATGCAAATAAGATGCTTTATCACTGAGCCACAGCTCCTTCTGGAAGCTGCCTTATATCAACCACATCAGGCCCTTGGTCCGTCCAGCTTCGCATTATCTACACTGACTGGAAGCTGCTTTCCAGGGTTTCAGACAGAGGTCTATTCTAGCCCTATCTGTAGATGCCAAGCATTGAACCTGGGACTTTCTGCATGTAAAGCAGGTGCTCCACCAATGGGCTATTGTCCCTGCCCATTTTTTTGGTGAGGGGAATGGTGTGCACTTGCAAGAAAAGCAGTAAAAACAGGAGGCTCCTTGAGCCGGAGGTGGGCTATGCGCAATGCTGGTGGGCTGCCTTTGGCTCAGTGGGATGCACGCTGAGCAGGCCTGCGTGACAGTATTAAGCTATGAATTGAATCTCCTCTGCTTTAAGATAGGCAATTCAGAACACTTACCATTTGCACATCCTTTGGGTTCCTCTCATCACCAAATATCCCCTTTTAGTTGAGGTAAAAATAAGTTTTACATGCCAAAATAGTCTGGCCACCTAGAAGTAAAATTTCAGTTGTTGCCCTGCCCCCCCCATTCTCTGAGGAGCCACAGCTATTCTTGATTGGCTAATTGTCCAGCCCTCTTAGATTCTGGTCAGATAATGAAAAGAAAAAAGATATTAGTCTAGCCATTACAGGGCTAAACAAGCAGCCACATCAGAACACTTCCTCCAGTGACCAAACTACCATTTCCTCCCATCCCACACAAACAATGCCCCTTGTTCTGGGTCACTGTGTTTGGGAGGAGGGGAGGAATGACAAATATCACATAACAATGGTGGCCACCAGTGGGAGAATTGGGGGGGCGGGTCTGAAGGTGAATGTCATCCCTCCCACCCCCAGAAAATCACTCCTCCAAATCCAAATGGCCACAGAAGCACAAAATTTGGGGGCATTTGTGTTAAGGCCTAATTTGATATAACCATTCAGTGGTATTCAATGCTAGTTCTACTCAGAGAACACCCCTGAAAATAACGGACATGATTAACATCTCACTCCATTAATTTTGATGGCTTGAATCCAATTAAGTTCTACGCAGAGTACACCCACTGAAATTAACACACCTAACATAAGTCATGTCCATTACTTTCAGTGTGTCTACTATGAGCAGGACTAGCACTGGACACAATCCAATGGGTCTTCTCTAACTAAAACCTGAGCCACATTTACACATTTAAAGCACTCTCATGGCACCTTAAAACATAGCCCAAAGAATCCTGGGAACTGTCATTTGTTAAAGAGTACCGAGATTTGTTACAGAGCTACAATTCCAAGAGTTCCTGTGAAGAGGGATTGGTTGTTAAACCATTCTGGGAACTGTTGCCCTGTGAGGCGCATAGAGCTTTGCTAACAATTCTCAACACAATAAAGAAACTACAGTTCCCCAGAGCTCATGACTGTTCAAAGTGCTATCATAGTGCATGTATGGAGTAAATGTGGCCTTAGCTGGATACAACCCATGATTTTTAACCGACTGTTGCCATTGCTTTTGGAAATACTGATTTGGTGTGCTACCCTTGAGCAGGCCAATGAATAAGTACAATATAAATTTAGCTAATGAAATAATGATAACGTAAATGGTGATACATGATCTAGCCGTGTTCAGTGGGAATGTTGCAGGGGAGAGGGAGTGAACCTGTGGTAGTGAGCATGAATCTGAGCATGGAAATATATTTGGTGTGTGACAAGGACTCAAGATGAGGAAAGGAAATTAAAGTGTTGGAAGTGACAGCTAAATAAGACTTTTGGGCGTTGATAATTCTGCATTCTACTTTTTTGGCTATCAATGTAACACTTATTAGCTGGTCTACTTGTTCCTTTGCTTTTATTAGCAGCTTGGCAATATAGCAGGTAAACTATTTATTAATTTTATTTGACACTGTTTACTTCTCAGGGTCATTGTTGGCTATGTGTAGACTGCAATTCCTCACATTGGGAAGGAAAACTACAGGACACAATTCTGATTACAGAATTCCGTTTTCCAAAATCAGTTCATTAAAAAGTTTATATTCTTTACAGTTGGGAAGTGGTATGCCTGAAAGGATGTGGGCACTATGTGGTGAAATCTCAAAAGCAAAAACATAGGGCGAGATTTCCAGTAATAGAGCATAGAAAGGCATCTGTGCCCTACAGTGCCCTACATGGCTCCTCCTCCAAGTCTAAAACAGCAGAGTAAATTAGGCAAAATAATTTATGTAACTCTGCTTTAATTTGCATAATTTGCATAAACGTCACAGAATTCTGTGGACTACATGCATATAAATGACAGGAAAGGAAAGTTCAACTAAACATTAGGAAGAACTTTCTGACGGTAAGAGCTGTTTGGCAGTGGAAACTCAGAAGGTGGTAGCCTCTCATTCATTGGGGGTATTTAAACAGAGGTTGGGTCGTCATCTGTCATGGATCCTTTAGTTGAGATTCCTGCATCGCAGGGGGTTGGACTAGATGACCCTTGGGATCACATCCAACTCTACAATTCTATGATTCGGAGGGAAATGCCCTTTCTATTTCATCCCAATGTTTGCTGATCACATCTGATCACCACAATCTCTGCATCTTATCTAGAGCAGGGGTAGCCAACACAGGGCCCTCCTGATGTTGCTGCGCTTCCATCAGCCCCAGCCAGCCTGGCCAATGGTTAGGGATGATGGTAGTTAGATTACAACAACCGAAGGTATTAACTTATGGTCTCTGTGTGTGGTTTGGGAGCTGCACGGCCAAGGAAAAAACAATGCTGTCCAGGGTTGTAAAGACTGCAGAGAGAATAACTGGGTGCACTCTTCCCACCTTGGATCAAATCTATGCTGTCAGGTGCCATAAGAAAGCGGCAGAGATAGCGCAGGATAGTACACACCCCGGAAACAATCTCTTTCAGCTTCTGCCTTCTGGAAGAAGGTATAGGGTTATAAAGGCCAGGACTAGCCGCCTGAGAAACAGTTTCTATGCAAATGCAATTCTGGTTCTAAACGCAGCATAAGGGGTCTCTATAGTATAGTGTATTTTAAAATGGGGTTTCAGAGTTTTTAGGGGTTTTTGAATGTTTTATGTAGTTTTCCAGTTTCATTGTTCTGCATGGGACAATGACAATAAAGATATCGTATATCGGGAAGCTGTTGGCTATCCCTGCTCTAGACCATAAAGACTTACATGACTTCTTCCAGCTCTTTACCTAATTATCTCTCCAGCTACTCTACCTCAAAGGGCTGTTGTGATAAATAAGATAAGAATTTCAAAAGCAGCACTCTTGAAGCAGGCTTTACCTAGGAGGTCCGCTCCTTCATCCACATCGCCAATGGCTTCCGAGCCAACTTCAGTAAGTTCCGTGTACAGCGAGTCGGTGTTGATGCCGAAGGCTTTGTTCACGATCCCCTGAGTAGGGCTGTCATGCAAAGAGAAAAAGAATGGAAATGCTGCAGACTGGCACGAAATGAATAAAAGCTGCATTCTGCACTCCTGGGCAGCATGCCTAAAGAAAGGGAATGTCTGCACCCAAACCTGTTTCCTGTGCGTTCCAGTCTGGGATCCTGGCACATATCCAGCTCTGGAGTAGAATCGATATCTTGAAAATCTGACCCCTCATCGCTGCTCCCCATCCCTGTAGGACGAAATGCAAAGAGGGAAATATTCATAGTCAAGAAGACCAAACCAACATTTCAGATCAGAGGTGGGCATTTACACCTCCATTTATCAAGGAGGATATTGGTGACAACCCAAAGAGAACAGCAGAGATCTCATGCAGCCACCAATAATTCTTCATCCACACACACATCCACGCACTTAGCTAGGTTTAAGAGGCAGTCCATTGCTCAACCTCAGGCACCGCAATCTACTTACAGCCCTAAAAATAAGGAATATGCTAATTTACACCATTATGGGATAATAATTCCTTCTTAGCATGTTATGTCCACATCTCACATTCCTATAGGAAACAAGTTAGAAGTTTCTCAGCCAGCCATACCTATGCTCACATTCCTCGTCTCTTGGGCGACCTGGACTTCCATATTTCTACTATTCCGTTTCTCCCGCGACCGCTTGTTGTTCTTTGATGTGATGTAGTCATTCATGGGCTGAAGGCTCTCATTCAGGGGGGTGACAGCAGCAGAGGGCACGGACGAGGTGGGTGTGTTGGATTTTGTTCCGGTGGTGCTGGGCGTAGCAGCTGCCGAGGACTGTCCAGACTCAGACATTTCATCAGGCGGGCACTAGGGGCACAGCAGTTTGGAGGGGGTGGGAAGAGAAGGGGTGGGGAGGCAATCACATGCATCAGTTAATTTTTCCTCCCATTTACTGGCCAGGCGGCTGCCTTGTAGCACTGTGATATATGAGCACTATGAACTAAAAAGCCTATAACGGCCACTACAAAAATGAGGGCCAGTGTGGTACAGTGGTTTAGAATGTTGTGTCTGGACTTTTATAAACAGCCAGGTTCAAGTCTCCATTTAGCAATCAAGAGAAGTGGGTGCCCTAAAGCAAGTCACCATTAACCAAACCTACCTTGCAGAGGTTGTTGTGAAGGATAAATTTAATTAGACCATACAAAAATATTGTAATTCTCCCAAGATTTTTAATGGCCCGTTAGCAGCTTTTAAGATTCACTGTGCTGCTTAAGAAAAGTCATGTTTAGTTTATGTGTTTTATTCTCTGATACCTAATATCCTCACGTAACATCCTCCTTTTTCCGTTTCCCTCCAGAACGCCTCAGATTTTTTTGTCATATGTTTGGCTCACCCCTTGGCCTGAGTGCTTAATGGTGAATAATGGCCCACAAGGAGCCACAATGTGTTGGAGGCCTTGTGTCATCTATGGGTGCTAGTGAATCCCATCTTCCTGAGTTATAATTTGACCCTTGCTTATTATATAAGGAACAGTCAACCACGCAGTCAGAAGGCACCAAGGCTCTCTACTCACTAGACCACACTGGCAGTTGTTGCCCCAAAGTGGCAAGGTTCATAATTATGACCAAATGCTGGACTCATTGTTTAGGGGCAAATTACAGAAGAAAACAAGCCAAAGGATCCAGTCAAGGGACCGTCACTAGTGACAGGACTTTTAAAAACAAGAGCACATACGAACATCTGAAAAGCAGTGCAACTGAAACAAAGACACACATTTACACAAAACCATACGTATTTCACCCAAACATCTGAAGGGCCACAGGTTCCCCATTGATGTTCTAGGACCACAGTACATAGTTCGTTTTTAGGAGACTGGATGAGGACCATATTTGGCCACTGCAGGAGCCACGTGGAGTCATCCTCCAGCTATCTTCACGGCTGATAGGAACCACTATGGGACCAGTGCCAGCAATGGACTAGCCCTGGAGGAAAGGGGACCCTCTTTTCTAGAGGCACTTCTGACTTCTACACCAAATCCCTGCCACTTAAGTAAGAACACAAGAAGCACCACTGAACTCTTAGCTTTCATTCAGGCAATTTAGAGAATGGTGATTTCTTCAAGGCCAGGGGTGATCTTGTTAACATTAGTCTAGAAGGATTCCCTTACTGCAAACCCAGCTATACTTCCACAGCTGACACATGCACGCACATACACACATACAGAGCGCAGCAAAATGACAATGGAGACTGTGAAAAGATGGCCACTTAACCCTTTGCAGCCATACATTCTTAAAGGCAAGGATGGCATGCTTTAATGAGCAGCAGAATTTCAAGTCCTGTATATACTGTGCTGGCGAGCTTCACGTAGCCTATGTGGTCTTGGATACCAATTGTTTTCAGGTGTGTAACAAGAACAAGCTAGCAGCAGAAATCCTATCACAAAGGGACCACCAAAGACTAAAAAACCAGAGTAATGTAATTTGACAGTGGTGCATTCTCTACTAACAATACATTCATTTCCCTAATGGTTTTATTAGTGCCAGATGTTGTTTGCACAACACCGAGATGATATTTTGTTTGCACCTTGCCAACTAGAGAACAAAGCATAGGCTTGCCATATGTCAGGAAAATTCCTGATGTGCTGGTTTTCGGGTGTAAAAATGGAGGGGGGGTTTAGCCAAACTGTCAAAATGTCTGCAAAAACCTGGATGTATGGCAACCCAATGAACAAAGCAGTGGAAACAGCTCCAAAACCTCAAAATCACTATTTTGGGAGGAGAAATATGGCAACCCCAACAAAGCCTTGTTACCAGGTATGTGAGCATACTGCATTTCCAACTTCAGGGAACTTTTTTTTTGTTGTGGGGCAGGAAGCTATGAATGGTTTAAAGGCACAGGGCATAGCGTATCTCCTTCTTAGCAAAAGGCAGCGGCAGAGAGGAGAGGAAATCCAGGTCAGGATTAAAAGAAGTTACAAAAAAAGGGATTTAGACTAAACATTACATGGCTTCCCAATAAAGCATCCTAGGAACTGTAGTTTGTTAAAGGTGCTGAGAGTTGTTAGGAGACTCCATTCCCCCTTAAGGGTAAAGGTAAAGGGACCTCTGACCATTAGGTCCAGTCGCGGACGGCTCTGGGGTTGCGGAGCTCATCTCGCTTTACTGGCCGAGGGAGCTGGCGTACAGCTTCCAGGTCATGTGGCCAGCAAGACTAAGCCGCTTCTGGCGAACCAGAGCAGCACACGGAAATGCTGTTTACCTTCCCGCTGGAGCGGTACCTATTCATCTACTTGCATTTTGTGCTTTTGAACTGCTAGGTTGGCAGGAGCAGGGACCGAGCAACGGGAGCTCACCCCGTCGTGGGGATTCGAACCGCCGACCTTCTGATCAGCAAGCCCTAGGCTCTGCGGTTTAACCCACAGCGCCACCCACGTCCCCCATTCCCCCTTACAGAGCTACAATTCCAGAGTAGTTTAATAATCAGTCCATCTTCCTGGGGAACCATGGAAACTGGAGCTCTATGTCAGAAATAGGGGACTTCTGATATGATTTTTGAGGGAAGCCATTTATGCATTGCCATGCATGTAACAAACCACCCACCAAACAATTTATGCCATTGAGCGGGCACACCAATAACTGCAGACATAGAATGGGGTTTTTAAAATTGGATTTTCTGTGGGGTGAGAGTAAATCTGGGTTATATGATTATATGAAGAAAAAGCACGGGGTAGTATTTTTAGGACAACATGGAGACTGCAAAAAGAAATTCTGAGCAGGGGCAACATCGAGTCCATAATAAATTGTCCTGATGGAAGCACCTTGAGTGTATGCTAGCTGATGGGCGAATGTTAAAATACTGCTGTCCCAGGCAAAAAAAACCAAAAAACAAAAAAAAACACCTTTAGGATAAGAACACTCATCACACACAGGAGTTTAGCTGAGCAAAGCATCAGTAAAGAAATGGCTATGAGCTGCAAAGGGTTACAGACACACAGAGGTCTCTCTGTCCTGATGGAGGTGCTGCTGACAAGTAGGCAAGGATGCCCTCGCTTCCATGATGGTGTTAGAAAAACCTTGTAGCCGGAGTTGGACTGCAGCTGGCCGAGGTCACTCAGATGCCAGTGGTCCACTGCGGGGGCGATCTTGGCGCCCACCTGCCCACGTACCATGTCATCTGTGAGGGGGATGTTCAGAGAATTGGGACGCCTCTTCATGCTAGAGACAGAAAAGGAAAGTCAGAGAGAGACAAGGAGAGAAAGAGAGAGCATGGGAAAGAGTTAGGAAACCAGCAGATCCTTGACGTGGAGAAAGCAGCAAAACAAACCCATCATAGTTAACAGTGGGCCAAGTATCCCAAGGACAACCCATTAACATTCCCATAAGATTCAACTGCCCAAGAAGTGGAAAGTCCTTTTAAAAAACAGACACCAAGTTTCCAGACATCTGGGTGTGAAAATATGCTTAAAAGTGTATGTACCTGCTGAAATCTCTGAAGCCAGTGGGGTGGCGGCATACATTTTGCAGCAGTTGGGGGCATTGGCACCTGCATAGTTCCATGAATAGTGGATAGGAAGCTGCCTTATACCAAAGCAGAATAATAGTCCACCTAGGTCAACACTGTCTACACCGGGGTAACCAACATTGTGCCCTCCAGATGTTGTGGAACTTCCCATCCGCTCCAACTAGCATGGCCAGGGATTATGGGAGTTGTAGTACAGCAACACCTGGAGGCCGCCATGTTGGCTATCCCTGGTCTATGCTGATGGGCAGCAGCTCTCCTGGGTCTCAGGAAAGAGTATTTCCTGGCTCTACCTGAAGATACCAGAGACTGAATTATGGGTCATTGGCATGCAAAGTGTGTGCTCTGCACCAGTGAGCAACAATCCTTCTGAAGTCAAACCAGATCTGATTATACAAAAAGGCAAATGAATGAATAAAACTGTGGAATAATTTATGAAAAACAGAGACACATAATGCAAATCTGCGTGGTTTGTACTACTCACAAAATTCTGTATTTCCTGGTGTGGAATTTTAAACCTTTCCGCACAGGATTCACACATCAACCCCAAGAATTGGGCTGGGTACCTGTCCTAAATGGAACTGCACTTCCTCTGAAGGATTAGGTGTTTAGTTTAGTGGTGATCCTAGATCCATTGCTGTCACTACAGTCTCATAAGTTTTTTGTTTGTTGGTTTGTTGGTTGGTTGGTTGGTTGGTTGGATGTTTGGTTTGGTTTTTTGCTGCTTTTACTGATAATTTCAATCAGTATATAACTTTGAATAAATTAAAATTAAAATTAAAATGCATCCCTGACTGTTGGCCATGGTGGCTGGAGCTGATGGGAAGAAAACTCCAACCTCATGCCATAGGTTCCCCTTGCTCAGCCTAGAACCTCTATGTTGGCAAGGGGAGTAGGGCACCTTTGAACTTACAAAACACTTTTCTTCCAGCATGAATTGAGCAGGCAGCGGAGGTGGAGTTTCATGCAACACTCTATAGACTGGCAGCCTTAACTGCACTTGAGCTTCTCTGAGCTTATGCCAAAGCTGGTGCTGCAGCAAAGCCTCAAGCCTTTTCCCTGCTGTTCCTGGTATGGATCACCGCTTCTGCTGAACACAGAAAACCATTTCCCCAGGGATCCAGCTGAGAGGCAGTTACGAGCAATCTGCTTGTGACCTTGTGTGAAACTGCTGTAATGGAACTCAAAACCCCCGGAAATCCGAAGAGCAAAGGCAGTGAACGCAAGGGCTGGTGAAACATGCTCAAACTCCTTTGAGGGTGAGAAGTTAAACCAGCAAACGGGTGTGTGTGTGTCAAGACAAACAAATTTTATTGTAGGTGGGCATGGGGGTGGGGAAATGGTGACAAAATTGCCCAACAGGATATTTTCTCGCTTGAAGACATGAATTTCTGTGCTGGGGCATCCAACACTTGAGTAGTGGGAGGGATTTCTCCCCCACCCCCACTCAGATAAATTGGGATCAGTCAAGGAAACTGATTGCCAGTAGTTTCCAGGAAAAGAATAATGGATAAGGCCACACATTACCTTATATGAATCTTTGCATTTGCCTCTGTGTTTTTAAAAAGCAAGTCGTTTTTGCTTGGTGGGGAGCAGTGATTCTGGACTGGGACTACGACATGGGTGGAGAAGGCTTTGACATCACCCAGTGCCAACCAAAACCCACCTCTGAATGTACTATTTATCCTGGGAGGGAAGCAACTCTTTTGATGCTATAATGAGGGTCCCAGTGAGAGCCAGGTACATGTGTCTCCGACAAAAGAGGGGCTTTTATTTGGTGATCTTAGCAGCATTTGTGTATAGTGATATAACTTGCTTGGCCAGGCTTCACTAAAGGATGTAGGTAAAGGTAAAGGGACCCCTGACCGTTAGGTCCAGTCGCGGACGACTCCGGGGTTGTGGCGCTCATCTTGCTCTATAGGCCGAGGGAGCTGGCATTTGTCCGGAGACAGCTTCTGGGTCATGTGGCCAGCATGACTAAGCCGCTTCTGGTGAACCAGAGCAGCGCACAGAAATGGCATTTATCTTCCTGCCAGAGCGGTACCTATTTATCTACTTGCACTTTGACGTGCTTTTGAACTGCTAGGTTGGCAGCAGCAGGGACCGAGCAATGGGAGCTCACCCCGTCGTGGGGATTTGAACCACTAACCTTCTGATCAGCAAGCCCTAGGCTCAGTGGTTTAGACCACAGTGCCACCTGCAGTTCAATTTTGTTAAAGCTTTATCACTTCTTTCGCCGCTGGTTTTGATATGAGATAGCCTATTGTTAGGTCCTCTTAACTGCTGAACTGCTGAATGGGGTGCTGTGGGCATAATTCTTGCCAACAGGCTCACATAAAAAGCCCATAATCTTCATGGCCAGGGATGTCAGGTGACAGTGAAAGGCCAATCCATTGCCCGGGACAAGTTACAAAGGCTTTTAGGCCTGTGAACTTCCTGGATCTGTCTGAAGTTTGACTCCAGCTTGCTTGCAGTTTCCTGTCTTTGAAGTGATCTCTAACTTTAGGCTTGAACGCCTGACAAAAGCTAAGACTGTTAGAAGCAACCTACCTGTCAAATGCTTTCCTCCTCCACTACACCCACAGACTACAGGTGGCCCTCAGGGGGGAAAGGTGGCCCACCTCTGCTCCAAGGACACTTAGCTCTTCCTAGATGCACCGCAAGTCTACCCGTTGCAGTGACCTCTGTCAGGATTCGAACTAGTGCCAGCGCCAAGTGTGAGGGCACCATAGGAAAGTAGCCTCCATGGCCCCAGTACACCCCAGCCCCACCAAGTGAGCTTGTAGGCAGTGGCAAACAGCTTGGCAACACTGCACTCTGCAGCGGGCAGCTATGAACTGCTCTTCATTGCAATTACCCACAATGCCCTGACAGAGAGCTGCCCTGGGGCATTATGGGCCTTTTTAAATTGCAGCTTCCCAGCTGCCTTCTGCTACCACTCTGTAATCCCAGGCCTCAGGCAGTAGGAAGGACAGAAAGCCAAAGGTTTCAGTAGGCCCTACTACAGCAGTGGAATCCTAGGCCATATCTGCATTATATATTTAAAGCACAATGATACCACTTTAACAGTCATGGTTTTTCTCAAAACATCCTAGGAATTGTAGGTTTTTTTAAGGGTGCTGAGAGTTGTTAGGAGACCCCTATTCCCCCCACAAGGCTACAATTCCCAGGATTCCCCGAGAGAGAGTAATTGCTAAGAAACTCTGGAAATTATACCTCTGTGGCATGAATAGGGGTGTCTCCTAACAACTCTCAGCACTTTTAGCAAAGTGCAATTCCCAAGATTCTTTGAGGGCAGCCACGATTATTAAAACGGTATAATACGGCTTTAAATGTATGGTGCAGGTGTGCCCTGGTTGCTGTGTGAGGATATCAGGTGCTGCAGCGATGCCCAGTTCAAATGATGGACCCTGTTCTTCGTCAAACATATGTTGGTGTGACCTGAGACCATTTCGTCTGCCTCTTTAGAGCCTAGGGAAATAGGCTGTCCTGCCTCGACTCACCAGCTTGTCTCACATCAACACAAAACAGCAAAAGCGCTGTTAATGGTCACAGCTAGTCCCCCGCAAAGAAAGACTTCCCAACCCAACAGATACAGATTCTCTCAAATTACCTTTTCCTCCATGACTGGCGGTGACTGAAGTGACAAACAGAGAGCAGCCCACACAAGAAAGGCAACGGCACAAGAAGCAAGACAAGAGAATAACCATTAGAGTGCAACAGTCATGCAAGCACACACACACACACACATATGTCGTTATGTGCTCACAGAAATGCTCGCCTGAGCAGAGATTGAGACATTGGCACACATAAAACACCCAACCTAACGAACATGCAGTGGGTCTGGAACACACAATGGTGATACATACAGTCCAGTGAGGGAGGTTTGGAGGGTGGCAAGAGAGGGAGAGGGCCTTTGCAGATGTAGCTCCCCATCTGTAGAATGCTCACACCCTTCCAAGCTGTGAAGGTCTTTAAGCAGGGTTAGTGAATGTTGGATTGTCCTGCTGACAACCTCCCCCAAACTGTAATTGCCATAGCCTCCCTGCCACACCTCTAAGGTAGGGAGAGAATCTCCTGGTTCTCTCACCAGCTCTGAGTTGAGAGCTGGAGGTGGAGCTGAAAACAAGACGTCCAAAGGCATACAAAAGCGCAACAATACACAAAAACAATCTAGAGAGCGGCAAGGCACACTGCATCACAAACACACATGAAGTCTACAACATGTTCTTACCTCTCTAAGGCCCCATTGGGAACTGTAGCGTGCTGAGAGTTGTTAGAAGACTCCTATTCCCCTCACAGAGTCCCAATAATGAGTTAACAATTAATTCCCCTTCCCAGGAATCTCTGGGAATTGCAGCTCTGTGAGGGGAATGGGGTGCCCGAACAACTCTCAGCTCTCCTAGCAAGCCACAGTTCCCAGGACTCCTTGAGGGATGCCATGATTGTTTAAAGTGGTATCATAGTGCAGATGGGGCCTAAGAGGCTAAGCAGATGGAGACACAAAAGCCATATGGAGAGCAAGCAGGGGGAAGGTTTATGGTGAAGCAGGTTTGCAGCTCTTGAGCCATGTGTGTACAAAGCGCAGCCTGGAATGAAGGAAAAGCCTCCTTGACTCTGGAAAGCTGGTTAAGGGAGACTCCAAGGCATAGTCTTCTCTCTTCCAAGGAAGCAAGCCACCCACCAGTGCCCAAAGGGGCTTTAAAAAGATGGATAACTTGTCTAATACAGAGCAAGAAACTGGTGTTGCCATTGTTTCACTTATCTCAGCAAATAGTTGGTCGGTAAACAAACAAAATGCAAGAGACACAAACGCACACCCCAATCACAGATCTCTCCCTTATTTGTCTATTAAAGTGGTCCCCAGAGGTTATTGGACTACAGCTCCCATCAACCCTGAATGTTGGCTACACTGGCTGAGGAGGGGAGTTGTAGTCCAAGAACATATGGAGACCCAAGGTTGAACACAACTGCATAAGACAGAGATGAGGAAGCTCTAGCCCCCTGTGTGTTATCTTGTGTGGGGGGGGGGGAATATGAAGGTTGTTGGGGAGGGAAAAACCACAGCTCGGGGGAAGGGTTCAGCACTCCCCTAACAACTCCTTCTGCTTCAAACAACACCCTCCCTTCACCACTTTTTGATAAAGCCCTGGGACCTCAGATCCAGTTTGTCACCTAACTCCCATTCTTCTCCTGAATTGCTCCTATCACATCCAGCACGCTCGGAGCTAGCTGAGGATCAAAGCAGCAGACTGATTCATTGGCTGTTCCCAGGACCCATGTTTAGGACTCACCTTATTTCTGTGATTTTAAGTTATTTTAAACTGTTTTTAATATTGCATTTTATTTATTGTAACCCACTCTGGGACCTCAGGGTGAAGAGTGGATTTTATTATTATTATTATTAAAGAAGAAGAATGGTTTGCAATCAAACTTAGGGACACCAGCCATAAAAGAGATCAGCTACTGCTACTTTTGGTCACTCAGAGAGCACAGGAGTCTGGGTCAGTGCCTTCCTCCTAAAACATATATTCACAGTTCAGAAGTCATCTGAGTTTTGTTTTGTTTTGTTTTGTTTTCCAGGTACAAAGCCAAGGTGCAGCATTACCTCCTTCCAGGTAGTCCACTCTCATTCTGACTATTTCCAGCAACTTGCTGCATCTTGGATCGCTCAATGTGTTCCACGTAGGTCTGGATCATCTGCGAAAGGAGCGGGGAAATGCAAAATGAAGGGCCAAAATGAAGACTGAACATCCCAACATTTTATTTTCTGGACCACCATTTCTTTCAAAGAAAGGGATGTCCTTAAAGATCGGAACAGCCAGCAATGTTGTGGGAAACATTTGCTCTAGGAAAAGCAGCCGGCCCAAAGCAGAAGTTAACTGAGCACCAGAGTCAAGAGTGAGCAGAATTTACAGCATTACAGGCTTGCAGTGCTCTCTTCTTCTATCTGTGCCCTTCTCCACTTCTTATGCAAATAGTTTGAAAAGGATTTTTATCCCTCTGAAATGACGACTTACCTCTGTGTGACGCTGGTGAAGAGCATTGTACTCTTTCTTCATTTCTGATTCACGCTCTTCCAACCTGGAAACTGTTCATTGAAAATAGAAGGGAGAAGGGAGAGAAAGATAACTTTTTTGATCTATCATCTCCAGGAGGGATGAACGTGGAAACACCAAAAGGAATGAGGGTGCAAGTACAAGAATGTAATTTGTAGCTCAGTGCTTATGGCCGAGGCGTGAGAGGCTGAAGGTACCCAGCTGAATCACTGGCACCTCTAGGTAGGTCTAGGAAAGACCCAAGCTAGGAAGCTATTTCATGGAGTCAGGCCATTAGTTCATCAAGCTCAGTATAACCAACACTGACTGGCAGCAACGGTCCAGTGTTTTAGACAGGAGTCCTTTCCAACTGTAGACAGGAGGGATGGAATCCAGGGTCTTTTGCATGCAGAGCTTGTTCCTTTCCTCTAAGCTAAGGGCCTTCAGTCTGAAACCCTGGATAGTATAGATCATCAGTCAGCAACCTTTTGTCTTAGGCACCACCCTTTCTGACTGCGTCTCTCCTAGATCCAAGAATGGACAAGCTCTGTCTCTGGCTTTCCATAGGGTTCAGTAGGACTGAAGCTGATCCTGTTGAAGTCGCATGATTATATGCAGGTTCCCCAAAAAACCACCATCAAATTAGAGCTTGCGTTGGTAGGACTACACACTAAAAAACTGCACTTCAGGATTTGCCATAGAAATGATAATCCAAGGTATAGATCCTCGTGGTTCTTCACAAAGATGACAACAACAGCACCAACAGATCACACAGCACATCTGCAAACACCGACGCAGACTATGATTTGATGGTGGTTTTGAGGGGGATCTCTTGAAAAAATATGAGAATCCATAAGTATCCATGCCTTTAATCTGTACTTTTCTCCCATGGCAGTGCTGTAAAGCACTGGATCCATGAACTTTATGGTTCAGTCAACAAAGACTGGTGTGATCTGTGACTTGATAGTGGTGGTTAAAATAAGCCCTGTGAAAAAATAAGCAATTTCAAGATGATCCATTTTACTGGCTCAGGCAGGTATGTGTGTATGTGTATGAACATAGAATGGCAAAAGCAATACTGGCTCCCTCTTCCCTCAATTCTCCAGATATTTTGTGGTCACCTAGAAGATTTTTTTAAAACAGTAAATGCTTTAGAAGAGATTTGTAACCTGTAGCCCTCCATGTACTGTTGGACTACAACTCCCATCATCCCTGCCCTTTGGCAAGACTGGCTGGTGCTGATGGGAGCTGGTGTCCAATGTCATCTGGAGAACCACAGGTTCCTCACCATTGCATTTGTTCAATCAGTATGGACAAACCCCTATTGAATTCAACACAACTTGTGTATGATTCACAGAGCTTAAGACAAACCGTGCACATGATTTTCACTTACTCTGGTCTGCGTAGTTTTTGGCCTTTAACTCCAGCTGCCGTGTTTGAAATTCAAGGTGCTCAACCTGTATCTGCAATTCCTTCTTCTCCTGTTCCAGTGCATCTTCAAATTCAATGAACTTCTACATGGGCCAAAAAAAAATCAAACAGAAGAACGTGATATATGTAAGTGGAAAATTACAGCTATCAAATGGACACTGTGACAGGATTGAAGGGGTGTCTTCTCTGATGTGTCACACACAAGGACACTTCCACCTAAACATCTGACCATGTGAAAACTGAAGTGGTGCTGTCTTGTGAGAGGACTGGTGTCACTTGAGCGAATGAATGTTTGAACTGGTCCTCAGAGGTGTTATAGCAAGGAGAGGCTTAGGAGGAGAAATACAATGATACTGTATTATTAAGCATCCTCCTCCTCCGAAAACTAAACAATATAATTACAATTTAAAAATAAGGGGGGGTGGACATGCAGTTCCGTATTAAAAGAAATTATCATTCCAATATGTAATAAAGAGAGGCTATCAGGGCCAGCCCTACCATTAGGCAAAGTTGTCAATTTCAGTTTCTTTCACTTTCCAGTCTAAAATTTAGTTTGTTACATTTCCACATCAGTTTGTGATTATAACCCAGTGTGGATTAACAACCAAGCTCTCCTCCCAGGTAGCTCTGGGAACTATAGCTCATGTGAGGGGAGTAAGACTCTCCTAACAACTCTCAGGACCCTTAGCAAACTACAGTTCCCAGGATTATTTTGGTGAAGCCATGACTGTTACAAGTGGTATGATACTTCCTGAAATGTATAATGCAGATGGGGCCTAACTTGGTCTGTCTTGAACATGGAAGCGCCGTGGGAGTCATTTGCTGTTCCCCTCAGGCAAAATCTCTTGGGCCAAACCAGGTTCTCCCACAGCCATTTGAGCTTCCAAAGGTGACTAGCAGATCTAGGGCCTGTGACCCTTCATATGTTGTTGGGCTACAGCTCCCATAATCCTTAACCACTGACCACATTGGCTGGCGATGATGGGAATTGGGAGTCCCACAGTGACAGGAAGGCTACAGGGGGCCCCATTCGTAATCTACCAGTAGGTCCTTCATAGTAGATATGGGGCCTTGCGCAGCTCCCTGCAGCAGTCAGAAAGGTGCTCAATAAGTCTGTGCGCAAGCTCAAACACATCCACTCTGCTCCTCCTTTTCTTCAGCAAACCACAGAAACAAACCACAGAGTGGAACAGTTTTATGTCTGCACCAGCACTCGTGGTTTGTTTCTAAACAAAACAATAAACCTTGGATTCAGATCAACGGCTTGTTTGCAGCAAATCTAAACATAAGGCCACAATGCTAAGCCTGTCACTCTGTGGTTTGTTTCCCCACCAGAAATTATGGTTTATAAGGGTAGGGGCCAAATGGAAAGTCCCTGGCCCTCAGAATTCTCCACAGACAACACCTCTCACCAGCCCAGCATTACACTTCCCTTAAGAGTTTTTGGCTTAAAATCTGGCATTGCCTCTGGGTTGCCCAGACATAGGATGGAGAGGGTGTGCAAGTGTGTGCAGAAACCAGCCAAATGTACAAAGGTGCAATTTACAACCGCTGGTTCACCATCATGTTATCATGATTAAAATGCAACTTGCATGGGTTGGCAGCCCTAATAAGCAGAAGCTCTAGGGCCAATTTGTTTATCTGGCCACCCAGTATGTTAATGTTTATAAGAGACATTTATGCCTGGAAACGATGCCTTATGAGGAACGGCTAAGGGAGCTGGGCATGTTTAGCCTGGAGAAGAGGAGGTTAAGGGGTGATATGATAGCCATGTTCAAATATATAAAAGGATGTCACATAGAGGAGGGAGAAAGGTTGTTTTCTGCTGCTCCAGAGAAGCGGACACGGAGCAATGGATACAAACTACAAGAAAGAAGATTCCACCTAAACATTAGGAAGAACTTCCTGACAGTAAGAGCTGTTCGACAATGGAATTTGCTGCCAAGGAGTGTGGTGGAGTCTCCTTCTTTGGAGGTCTTTAAGCAGAGGCTTGACAACCATATGTCAGGAGTGCTCTGATGGTGTTTCCTGCTTGGCAGGGGGTTGGACTCGATGGCCCTTGTGGTCTCTTCCAACTCTATGATTCTATGATTCTATGATTCCTTTACCCTACGTATTTTATCCTTTCAAAAGTTAAGTACAGTGGTACCTCGGGTTACAGACGCTTCAGGTTACAGACTCCGCTAACCCAGAAATAGTACCTCAGGTTACGAACTTTGCTTCAGGATAAGAACAGAAATCACGCAGCGGCAGCGTGGCAGCAGCAGCAGAACCCATTAGCTAAAGTGGTGCTTCAGGTTAAGAACAGTTTCAGGTTAAGAATGGACCTCCAGAACGAATTAAGTTGTTAACCCGAGATACCACTGTAAGTGATTTTTAACCCAGTTGGATTGAAAACTTAAGTTATGAGCTTTTAACACTTTGGTAAGAAATAGTTCAAGCCTTAGTGACTGCTGAGCAACCAGAACAGATCAGTGACATTTGTGTATGTGTTCATGTGTGAATAGGTTTCGGTTTTGCCCTCTTGCACAGGAGAGCCTTCATAGTAAAAAGCAACAATTTTACAACCCAAGCCAAACAAAAAACTGCTGAGAGTACTATCCCTGTGAACATGTAAGGCAAAGCACAGAAACGAAAACCAACAAATGCCATCTTGGCAAGCAGAATGAAGTGCAAATAAATAATTTAGAAGCAAGCAGGAATTGCTCGATGCATTGCGATATTTACGGGCAGCGAGAGCATCTTCTTCATAAGGGTCTATTGTGTGTCATGTACAAAAACGGACAGTGCATGAAGCTGATCACACTGGAACCATACATAGGGGAAACAGCTAGATTAGAGGGAGGTCCTGTGGGGAGGCACCACAGCTCATTGGGATGGCACATGCATAACGTGGAGGAGATCCTGGGTTCAATCTCTGGCACCTCCAGTTTAGAAGGACCAGGCAAAAGGTAATGGGAAGGACTTCTGCCAGAGACCCTGGAGAGTTGCTTGCAATCAGAATAGGCAACACTCTGCTAAATTGGCACCTGCTCTGACCTGGTGCAAGGTAGTGTCCTATCTTCCTATATAACCCCAAAACAACAACACACTAGCTTTCCATGCAATCAGCCACCTGCATTCTGAACATAAATAAAAAAATCCAAAATAAAAACAAAAAACTTAGCAGCACATTTTGAAACATGTTTAGAGACAGGGATCTTTCCCTCTTCAGCCTCTCTTTTGCCAAGGTACATCCTGGATGCATATAAACCATCCATTTAAAGCAAGTTCCCCCCGCCCAAGAATCCTACGAACAACAATTTGTTAAGGGTGCTGGAAACTGTAGCTCGGTGACAGGGGAATTACAGTTCCCAGGACTGTTGTGTGTGCATGTATTTTAAATGTACACAGCCAGTGACTCTCAAAATACTACATCACACCCAAAGTCTGCCTACACAAAACATACAATAGTATTCAGCCAATGTCACCCACCCCCATTCTGCTCCCACACATTCACCCATATACACAAACATCCACCATTCACCCAACCACTCCAATATGTCCCACTCGTTCACCAAGCACTATGTACAAATCATGGTGGAGTCTGTGCAGGGTGAACCAATAGAAAAGATATTGCTTACAACACTAATGTCTCAAATCAAATGTAACTGATCTGTAGAAAAGACCCCACAACCTGAGAAAAGAGAGAATGCACGTACTTTTGTAAACCAAGAAAACCTTTAATAAAAATTATTCCTTTTATTAAAAAAGATACCTCACCATGCATGGATGGCTGCAAGAATTAGCCCTCAGAGCTCTTCATTAGTTTTGCTATGGGGAAAGGTGGGTTATAAATGTGAAGAACTCTTTAAAAAAATCCTCAGAACAAAAATCTGAAGTGAATGCTACTGCCCCGAGGATGCAAAAGATGTTAACTCAGACACAGAACGCATTAATGGACTCCCTTGGTCTTATTTAGCTTTCTCTTCTGTACTTCTAAATCAGCAAGCGTAACAACTCCATAAAGCTTCATCAACTGCTTGACCTCACATTGATTTCCATAAAGGCCTCACAGACATATGCAGTAAAATCATGGAGCTCTAAAGCTCTTCCTTTCTTGCCAGGAAAACTAATTTTAAAAAATCCCACCCACTCCCTACTTTTAAGATATCATATGAATAACTACTGCATGTCAGTACAACAGTACATCTTCCTCCAAAAGCCATTTCCAATTATAAACAATTCTATTATGGTAAAAATAACGTATGTTCTCCTCATGGGAGTCCAGCAGGGATGCAGCAAGGACTGCCACCCCCATGATAAACCATAATCCTCAGCTTTCATTTTTTTTAAAAAAGGTTAAGTTTCTAGCATTTGTAGAACCTGAGATATGAGACAATCAAACTGTGATTAATCAGAAAAAGTCCCTTCGCATCTTTCAGGGTTTGATGCCCCCACCACAATGGGGGACCCCAAAAACAGTTCAAAGAAGGCTGACCATTCCAAGTGTCCACACAACAGCAAGTGCCTGTAAATGGGGGTGGAATAAAAACCAGAAAGAGAAATGGAATGGAGTAGCCTGGAAATGGACACGGCTGCCTGCTACCGTAAACGGGAGTATTTCATACTCACCATAATATTTCGTTGAAGTTTCCACTTGTAAACATCTAAAAGGTCTGTATGTGTATATTAAACCTAACTATGGTTTAATGGTGAATGTGCAGTGCTCTGGTACTCAGGGAGAAAATAACGGGTGCTGCTCTCCTCCCCTGCTCCTGCTGAGATAAGTCATTATTTGGTTTAATGTTTCATCCTAATCCAGGTTCATGGTTTGTTCCTCTCCAAACAAACCACAAGCTGTAGCCAAGGCTTGTTCTTGGATTACTGCTTGTGGCTTTTTTTGGAGAGACAAAAAACACAAGACTGGGTCTGCAGTGAGTAAGGATTTAAGGGCCAGCAATTTTAGCCCTGTGCACCAGTACACTTTCAAACCATAGTTAAGCCAAATTATATTTTTAAAGTAGGGATGGGGCACCTCAGGTCTGGTGATGGGATGTGGCCCTCAGGACTCTCTCTCTGGCCCTCAGGACTCTCCCTAGACCACATGCTCTCCACAGCCACACCTTTCACCAGCCCAGATTTACACCCTCATTGAGAGTTTTGAATTTGACCTTGAAATCTTATTATGCTTCTGGCTTCCAGAGAGATGTGTAAGTAAACTGACATCCGTTGCTTCACCCACTTTTGCTTCTGGCATATGGCCCCTAGAATGCGAAGCTGAAGAAAGCTTGCTCACCCCTGGTTTAAAGTGATGTGCAAACCAAGTCTGTGCCCTCCATCATCTTTTCTCCAAAGACCAATCAAAGACTGCAGGTAGGGAAGCATGTTTTTTAAAAAACCCTGCATACACTTCTGTCTCTTGTGAAATTGGTATTTCTCAGGGTCTGATTCAAGATTTTCCACATTTGGAAAGCTTCAAAATCACTACAATAAATACAGTGGTACCTCGGGTTACAGACGCTTCAGGTTACAGATGCTTCAGGATACAAACTCCGCTAACCCAGAAATAGTACCTCGGGTTAAGAACTTTGCTTCAGGATGAGAACAGAAATCACGCAGCGGCAGTGGGAGGCCCCATTAGCTAAAGTGGTACCTCAGGTTAAGAACAGTTTCAGGTTAAGAACGGACCTCCAGAATGAATTAAGTTCTTAACTCGAGGTACCACTGTACTGTAAAAAAAAAAAGAGTAAGAGCAATGTGTCCACCAACTATAGTTTGGCATCAGTTGGAGAATGACAATGCAAGGTTAACCTCATACAAAGAGCACCTTCAAAGCAGCCACAAACTTTGTGATACCGCTATACGTTAAGTATCCAAAGATGGAAAAATCATGAGGGCTTAGCCACCTGCATGCCTAATCAATTTGATGCTACTTAGGAACTGGAAATTGTGGAGGTTTTCCCTTCCAATAGCTAAAATGTAAGACTGCCAAAAAAAACCCCTTCGCTCTGGGAGCTTCAACTTTGGACGTGGACCAACAAATTGAAACTGAATGCAGACAAGATGGAGGTTCCGTATTTCTGAGTTCTAGAACCCTGAATCTGGACCAGTAGCCAGGGCACATCTTTCAACACTGGACTGGTACCATATGTTGGTGGTAGTCAGCTTTGGACATGGTTGCATCCTCCTGGAGGGAACAGGTCCATAGCTTGGGATTCCTACTTGATCCGACATTGCCCCAGGAAACTCAAGTAGCCTCTACAGCTAGGAGTGCCTATTTCCAGCTATGGTTAGTTTGCCAGCTATGGCCAGTTTTGGACACAGAAGACAACTTGGCCACTGTACTCCATGCTCTGCTAACCTCCACATTAGACTACAGTTTCCCATGTACTTTGGGTGTACGCAAAAATGCAGGATGCCAGTCCCACAGCCGAGTTGACCTTTCCCTGTTCGTCATTTTTTACAGTGTAATGATTTGGAACAACTTTGGCAAACAGTGAATGCCCCCATCATTAGTTAAAAGCAGGCGTGGGGCACATCAGGGCTGGGGAACAAATGTGGCCCTCCAGGCCTCTCGTAACTGGCCCTCAGAACTCTCCCCAAGCCACACCCCTCATTGGCACTGCTTTGCACACTGAGTGTTTTTGCCTTGCTGGAATCGGCTATTGAACTCTGATCAAGACACGTAAAATGTATTTGATAGAAACTACACATGAATCCCCTATCTCCATTCATTCTCTATACTTCTCAGTAGTAACTCGTTAATCCTTAGCCACCTCTTCTCTAAGCTGAAAGCACCTTCAGGCCTGATCCAGCCAAAATTCAGCACATCCTATGTCCCACTGATTTCCACAAGAGACTGCAATTCTAGGACAGCTGCCTAACAGCAAGGCCCACTGAATACAGCGGGTCTTACTTTTGAGTAAACAGTCATAGGGTTGTACTGTTACAAAACCCCACTTTTTCTCCCACTGAAAACAATTAAATCTTTAAACAGCACAATCCTATGCCTTCTCAGAAATAAATTCAACCACTGAGTTCAACTTTGGTTGGATTGTGACTCTAATAGTTTTGATCTCTCCTTCTATGGAAGATAATAACCATTAAAAATATGAAAAGGCCATGGATCTCAGGATGGGGAGGGGAAATCTGATGAGCTGTTTCTAATATAGATAAGATTAAAGGAATTGTATGAATATGCCTGGGATTAAACAGCTGGCAAAGCACATCACTGACAGAAGTGCTTTTATATAAATACCAAAGAGAATTATTTTGTTCTCATTCTGTTTCAGGCTTCTTGTACATCAGTTCACAGCTGCCTCATCTTGTTCCTTGCCACACTGCCATGTAGAACCATAGAATCATAGAGTTGGAAGCAACACTGAGGGTCATCAGGTCCAACCCCCTGCAATAAAGGAATCACAGCTAAAGAATCTCTGACAGATGGCCTGATCTCTGATCAAACCTCTGCTTTAAAACCTCCAGGGAGGGGGAGTCCACCACCTTCCCAGGTAGTCTTTTCCGTTGTCCAGCAGCTCTTACCATCAGAAAGTTCTTCCTAATGCTTAGTCAAAATCTCCTTTATTTAAACTTGAATCCATTGGTTGAATTCCTACCCTCCAGAGCGGGAGAAAACAAGCTTGCTGCATCTTCCACATGACAGCCCTTCACAAATTTGAAGATGCCTATCATATCACTTCTCAGTCTTCTCTTCTCCAGGCTAAACCTAACAAACTCCCTCAACCATTCTTCATATGACTTGAACTCCAGACCCCTTATCATAGTCATAGAATCATAGAATTGTAGCTGGAAGGGACACAAGAGTCATTTAGTCCAACCCCCTGCAGTGCAGAATCCTCTTGGTCGCCTTCCTCTGCACACCTTCCAGCTTGTCAACATCCTTCTTAAACTGTGAAGTGATGCCAGAAGACCAGGCATCAGCCCAAGGGACCAGAAAAATGGCCTGACAATTGATGTAAGGGAAAGAGGCATTCGAGGCTGATGATGCAAAGAGAATTTACCCTTCAGCCGGACTGCATCCTTGGCATAGAAAACTCCTGACCTCCCAGCTCTAGTGGGTCTCCTCAAATTAAAACATAAAGGAGAGCACACTCTAAAAATAACAAGTGGAACCCACAACAAAATGTTGCAGCGTTGAATACTCCCACTTGAGATTCCAGGGGTTCACAGTCAATTAGCATTCTATGACCACTGAGCATGCTCAGTCTTCTTTAGGCTGCTTTTGTGTGGGCAGAGGCTCCTCCCTCAAGGCTTCCCCCCTCGAAAATATATTTTGCACTTCTAGAAACTTGGGGCAGGTGTAGAGAACCTTGGGCCCTCCAGCTGTTGCTGAACTACAGTGACCATTGTCCCTGGCCCATTGGCCATGTTTGCTGGAGCTGATAAGAATTGTAGTTGCTGAACGTCTGAAAGATTAAAAGCTCCCCTCACCTGCATTAGAGTTTCCCTCATTCTGCTGCTTCAGAGGCATTCTTATATACAGATGGGTGGCCATTTTGGCTACAGAAGCAGATATACCCTTAGAATTAGAAATTAAGAACCAGGACAAAACTGAGCATATGTTTAAGACCCGGAATTGGTTTTCCATACCAGAACTGAGTTCATAATTCTTTCCACACAAAAATCCAGTCATTGTCTCCCACCTAAAAAAACTCTCTTTGGATGTGTACACACTATACCTTTAAAGCACATCTGAAGCACATTCTTTCCCTCAAAGAACCCCCACAGAGTTACAATTCCCAGAAACCCTTAACGAACTTCAGTGCCCAGAATTATTTGAGGGAAAGTATGTGCTTTGACTGTGCTTTCAGTGTATAGAGTGTATACAGCCTTGTTTCAGTATCTTAATTGAGGAAGGAGAGAAATATTTTTTTAAAATTTTTTGATTATTTTTACTTACTATTACATTTATATCCAATTTCCCTTCAAGGAGCTCAAGGTGGTGTGCAACTTGAGTGGGTCACCTCATGCCTGGAGGCCAGATGGGGCTCTCCAGGCCTCTCTATCTAGCATTAAGAATTGTCCCAAGGCCACACCCCTTTGCACCCCAACTCTATTTTTGCCTAGCTGGAATTTGCCTGATATTGCTTCTTTACTTACCTAGATGGAAGGTAGAAGGGGGCGTGCATGTGTGCAGGAACTAGGCTACTGTACAAAGGTAAAATCTACATTAACTTCTCCCCCCATTTTTGCCCATGCCCACCACTGACATGAGACCCTTAGAAGGTTGCCCAGAAGACAATGCAGCCTTCAAGCTAAATAATAATAATCCCCCAACCTTAGTGTATACAGTTCTCCCCCCTCTCCATTTTATTCTCACAATAATCCTGCAAGATAGCTTCAGCTGAGAGACAGCAACTGTCTCAAGGTCACCCAGTGAGACTTGGGGATTAGAACCCTGGTGCTCCAGGCCCTAGTCCAACACTCTAACCACTAGGCCACACTGGCTGTTGTTGCTGCTGTTAAAAAACTGGGAGTCAGAAGAACTTACAAATCTACAGCAAATCACTAAGAAATCAATCAAGAGCAACTCCAGTCCTGCCACACCAGCCAATAACAAGCAGAGTAACTTTGGCATTTGGGTCCACTTCCATGGCATTTACAAACACCCCCTTTGCACAATGCAAGGGCGGGAACTAAAGATAGCGGAGGCAGGCACTTCCAGGGCCTAGCAGTGTGCCACACAAACCTCCCCTCCTCTCCTTTCACCAACAAATAGTTGGTGGGATGGAGGGGAAGAGATCGCCCAGACGGCAAACGGAATTTCTGGGAATTAAAAACTAGAAAAAACAGAAAAACAGGGGAGAAGCCGGCAGGGTGACTTTCTGGCGTCTAGTGATAGATTTATCTCACCTTGGCACAGGAATTGGTGTATGAATGGCAGAGGTACATGGCTGGTTGCCAAGGGCTGATGGAAAGGGAAGGCAGGTGGGCGCAGCTATCCTAGGCCCACCTTGCCCCAACCTGGTGACCTCCAGTTGTTTTGGACTACAAATCCAATCAGCCCCAGGTAAAACAATGTTGATGGGAGCTGCAGTCCAAAGACAAATGGAAAGCACCAGGCTGGGGAAGACTGGCACTAGGATACAAAAGGGAGACAGATGATGGGGACCCGGACAGGGACAACCAATAGGGCAGACTATTTTAGGGAGGGGATCAGGAGGAACAGTAGGTAATTTACTTGGTGGGGATGGGTGGCAGGTTGCAAAGGAAAGTATTTTGCACACAGCACTCCATGGAAAGTATCCCTGCAGTGTCTTCACTGCATTGGATCTTTGCTTCACCTCCCTCCACCCATCCCACTCTGGACGGATTCCGACTTGGGTTTTTAAATGTCTCCTGGAGTCTAGTAAAAGAAACTTGGGTATCAACAAGGACCCCCCTCTGTCCCCTTGCCCATTTCAAGAAACTTAATCCACAGAGCTCCAATGCATTTGCCAGATACCAGTGGGCTGCTCCTTTGCTCCTTTCCCCCTGCTCTTTAGCCAAGACAGGACAAGCCGTGGCTTATTCCTAACCCTTTCTCATGTTTTTAGGAGGCCAGCAAAGGCTCTACAGAGCATTTCATCCTCCTGGAGAATCTGCTGCAGCTAAGCAGGTCCTGGATCTGTCCTTAGATGACAAATCCCATGCAGCTGCAGAATAATAGTAACACTACTACTGCTACTAAAAATAATAATAATCCACTATTAGTAGGTGATGAATCCCAAGTACAATCCACATGAGCTGGGCCTGAGCTCCAGAAAGCCATCCTCCTGCCCAGATCTGGGCCACGGCAACACCACTCTTGCCTATGAGGCTTCTCGGGAGCAGGAGGGCTGCGTCGGCCTTGGTGGGTCCCCTTGGCTCCTCGCCTGGGCCTGGCCCGGCGCTGCGGCCTCTCCGCACCCCACCCCCACCCTTCTCCCGCTGCAGGCGCGTCGCCCGCAGGGGTCTCCCTCTCTCTCTGGGGCTCACCTCCTCGGCCTGCTTGCGCAGCGCCTTCTCCCGCTCGTACTGCGTGAGCAGCTGCTCGTTGTCCTCGCGCAGGAGCTCCAGCTCCACCTCGTGCTCCTGGTTGTCGGTCAGCACCGAGTCGAGGTTCTCCAGCACCGTCACCACCAGCGGCATCAGCTCCTTGACCACCTCCTCGTCGTAGCAGCGGATGAGGCGCTCGAACTCGCGGTAGATGCTGTTGGCCAGGCCCGACACCCGCTCCGACATCACCGAGCCCGAGCAGTAGTCGTCGCCCGGGTAGCCCCCGACCCCGCCGTCGTCCAGCTGGATCTCCAACATCTTGGCGCCGCCGCCTCCTCCTCCTCCGCTGACCGACGAGCCCCGCGCCGCGGATAGAAGGCGCTCCCGCCGATAGCGGCACCTGCTCCGCCGGCTTGCAGAAGATGGATGGCGGCGGCGGCGGCGATGCTGATGCTGCTCCTGCGCCTCCCGCTTCGGCCTCCGCCTCCCCAGCGCTCGGCTCGGCTCTGCCCAACGTCGCTTGCCCTGCGCCACTGGCCACTCCCGTTGCCGTCGCCTCTCCTCTCCCTGCCTTGCGCGCACAGGCGCATCAGCACCAGAGACGCCGCTCCGGCCAGGCTGCTATTGGGAGGCGGGGGGCGGGGGTGGAGGGACGGAGAGAAGGAAGAAAGGTGGGTTTACAATCGGATTTCCCGTGCGCATCCCTCCTTCCTTCGCTCCAATATGGAATAGGTTTTCATCGTTACTAGGCTGGCCTGAGCTGTGGCCGTATTTATAATTGGGGAGGGGGCGCGCAGATCCAGAATAATGCTGCCGCACAGCTCTCTTTGCGACGGCAAAGGACAGGGGGAAATGAGAACTAGCCTGCTTGCTATTTTTTAAAAAAAATAAAAATCCGTGTGCCTGTATAATATTTAATTGGTTACATTTTAGGTAAACGGCATAATATCCCCAAACTCCCATTTACTGAGCTGCAAATGAGATACGGATTTGGAAGAATCACCACCTAATACTCACTAAGTAAGCTTCATTCAGCCTGGTAGGATTTGCTTCGAAGTGGACACAGGATAGATTGCTATGAAGATCATTCTGTGGGTGAATTTATCCCTGTGGGGATAAAGTTGGGCATTATTATTATTATTTTAAAACGCATTGTAGAATTCCCATGCATTATATCAGTGCAGTCAAGTCCACTTTCTTAAATCAGGAGCCTAAGCAGTGCACAAAACCATATGCTTATATAGTTGTTTAAAGGGGGGTATAAATTCTGTAAGTATATAAATAATCATTTCAACCATAGAATTCATGCATTACACATAATACAACACATTTTAACTACTCCACAACAAAAACCCAGTTGCAAAATATTTCCATCTGATAAACATAAACAGGTCCCAATGTGTGGTCAGGTCTTCCATATGCTTTATTAAGGATGCTTAATGCCTTCAGAGAGACAAATGAGGCTGAACCCTGTATGAAAATAATACTCTCTAACCTAGAATCCCTTCCACTAAATCTAATGTGTATGAACTGGTTGCAATTACTAAGTGAAAGTTGAAAGCCACTCTACGCATCTTCAGAGGTAACCTGCCCCCTGCTTTTTAACTTTTTGTGTCTCATATCTGAGTTTCTGCATTGGAAGCAAATTCATACATAGTTCACTTGATGGAGATATTTTGGTCTCCATCAGACAACCTCTTTATTGCAGATTCATCCTGATTTGCTTGCCCAAAATATATGTGGAGGTTAGATAATTTCTGATTTTTATTGAAAATTCAGTCTGATTTGTTTGTAGGAAGGTTACATAACAATTATTGTTATTAATTACCCATCCTTCACTCTAAGGTTCTAGAGAAGACTACAACAATTAAAACACAATGTTAAAAACAGTTAAAAACAACTTACAAACACACAAAAATAAGGTGGGCAGTCATGCTGACCTGCTTATAGGACATTTGTACAGCTTCCCACTAATTGTTCATTCATTAAACACTTTTTAATGCAATTCACTTTCACTTTGCTAACCGCAAAAAATCCATCCTTCCTTAAAAGTGGATTTATTGTGTGACAGATGACTTAATTCCACTTTGATTTCACAAAACTACAATTCCCAGTGTGTGCATGAATCCTTCCCAGATATACTGTCAGTCTGGAGACATCATATGATCAATCCACCTCTTAAATGCCCTCAGCCACCGGTTGCATGGTGTGAGCATTCATCTTCCAACCAGACCCTACTTCACATCGCAATATGTTTGCTGCAATATGTTTGTCCAAGTTCAGCTGGTGTGTCAGTTGTGCTGTTTCCCAGAGAAGACAGGCCAGGCCTTGATCATTCATGTTTTAGGAACCTCTAATACAGACTACTGTGATGTGCTGTTTGTGGGACTGCCCTCAAAAAAGGAACTGGTAACTTCAGATGGTGCAAAATGCCAGATACAGTGGTACCTTGGTTAGGAACCGTTTTGGATTACAACCACGTCACACCCGGAAGTGATTGTCCCTTTTTTTTTTATTACAACCCCTCCCTTTTTTATTACAACCCATATTTTTTTTTTGGAGGCCCCATCGGCGAAAGTGTGCCTTGGGTTACAACCTGTTTTGTTTTACAACCAGACCTCCGGAACGGATTATGGTTGTAAACCAAGGTACCACTGTAGTTGCCTACATTTGGTCAGTCAGAGCATATTACTGTGGTGCTATTGGATCCATACTGGCTGACATTTCAATTATACTCTCAATTTACCTTTATTTTGATTTATTTTGATGTCTTCTATTAAAATAACTATAATAACGTAATAAATCTTCATGGTACCAACAATAATAACAAATACAATAGGAAGACCAAGAGTAACAGAAACTACAATAGCTTAAGGAAAACACTAATGACCAAGCTTTCTGCCGTAAGACAGAAATCAAGGAATCATAGAGAAGGAAGGCTACTGAAGGCATCTTGATCAAGCCCCTCCCCCAACCCCCCCCCCAAAGAAACCCTGTGTCTGGCACTGCCATTTCCATTCAAAATCCTACTATGCAAGGTCATATAAATAGCCTTCTATGTCACTTAACACTGACAAAAAATACACATTTCCTAGTTGCGTGACTTAGGTATACACCTCTGTGTATACCTCTGTTTCATATAACAGCAACCAAAACTGTGAAGCAAACAATAAAATAAAGAGCATCAGCTGAGAGATTCTCTGTGCCATCTCTGGAAAGATCAGGAGTAGCATGTCAAGGGCCCTGCAATAAAATCCATCCCCCAACCTCTCTAATGACTAATCAATGAGGCATTAGAAAGATTTGGGTAGAGTTGTAATGTGAGCTTCAGTGTTCTGGTCTGAGGAAGGAAAAAGGAATGAAGAGAGAGGCAAAAGCTTGCAAGAAATCTCAGGAGAGATCTCTTAGTTGCTCCTAATAGCACTCTAAAACATACTCTATTCAAGACAAGGGATGGATCTGCCTAGAGCTATGCAGAAGGGATGTCTGAGCCCTGCTTTTTTAGATGTCAGGATGTCTGCTGTAAATCTCTAGATTAAATTTATTGTAAAGAATATGGGAGGATGTTTTTCTTGCTCCTCCCAAGTGCCCCAAATGAACATGGTCACCAAAGAAAGGAATTTGTATTTGTTGCATTTATTTTTGGGGACTGAATACTACTTAACACGATAAAAAAAACCTCTAAGTAATTTACATAAAAACAATCCAGGTGCAATATTTAATAAAATTCATTTAAAACTACAGAAAAATGGAATCAAAACACAACTGTATATCGTAAATAAAACTGAGCCGTGTACAAAACAAAAAATAGATAATACAAATTTGGGTCCAGAAATAGTTGTGCAGAAGCGATTGTGACCCTTGTGTTCTTGAGCCCTGCTATATGGACCTCTTCCTCAGGCTGGGAGTTTGCCTAGGACTAGGTGATTATTATCTCTTCTGGCTCTGTCTTTGCCTTCTTGTTCTACCTCTCCAGCTTGATTCTCAGTTCCAGCCGAAAGGCTGCTTTCAGCTCAGCCCTGGCCAGGATCAAACTGGCAATGGGTTCTCTATAATTTGTTACAAATCTTCACTCAGCTTGTGGCTGTTATTATAAAGACCTTCCCTTGACCTTCTTTTATAGAGCAGCATGTTCCTCCTGGTCTTATCAGACTGGGAAACCTCCACAGGAGCTGTTAAATAACACCAAGTGGACAACAATAGCCATCACAGAAGATTTCTTTATGCCAGTATTGTACTGTATTGCACTAATTACCAGCACACTTATGGCAGCAATGGTGCCACAAAGCTCTTAGGCAATTTTGTTTTCTGCTTGCTTATTTATGCCCCCTTGTTTTTGTTTTTCGCTGGAAAAGTTTCTACATCAACTCATTTCCTCTCAGATAAATAAATGTGCTAAAGTAAGAAAGAAAATATTTATTTGGTGCTACCAGTGTGACTATGGATTGGCAGCAGTTCATCTAGATCTCCTTCATTTCCCAGATATTGGCCAATAGAGGATGTTAGCTCATTCTTCAGTGGAAAAATCTCCCAGAGTAGGTAGCCTAAATAGGATCAACGACAAACAAAACAGTCCCTGCCTGTAGGCTTACAAGCTAAAGGGCATAACACAAAAGGAAAGAGGAATACAAGGAAACTCAGGCACCTGCTCCTAAAATTATTCCAAAGTTCTTATGATGGCCAGCTTGACTTCTGGGAGACGATGACCAAAATGGAGCTTGGTTCACACTTGAGCTGATGGGTGCTTCCTGTTTCTATACCTCCTGTAGCCTGATAGAGTAGGCAAGGGAAAAGAGGGACCCTATGGACCTGGTCTCTTGACAGAGCCAATGCAATGAGCCCACAAGCCTATCTTTTCCGCTGCTGTAGCCTGGTGGAACTATATAACAGCACAGTGCATTTATATGATGGATGTCAGCAGAAGTAAAATCCCTGTACCCCAGAATTGAAGGTGGCCAGAAACAGGAACCATTACTCCTGATGTCTATGCTGATTTGTTTTGTTTTTGTTTTTGTTTTTTTTGTTTTTTTGCCTTTCCTAAAGAGGGTTTGCATGGTTTTGTAGTGTTTTTTTAAAAACAAAACAAAACAAACATGCAAGTTTTATTATAGCCATTATGATTACACTTATACCCCACCATTCTTCTATGATATAACTTAAGGCAGCATCCAGGGGTCTCTCAGACAGTTTCCCATGCAGGTAATGGGCCAGAGCTAGACCTACTTACTTTTAGCAAGGTGGCTACAACATGTGCCTTCAGACAATATCCTGGCACCAAGAATACAGGGCTAAGGGAAATCCCTGGTGCCTGACTGTATAGATGCCTATGTGAGCCATTCAGTGTCTGCCTGGATTTTCCTAATGCAAAGTCCTGTTCTGATCAGAACCACCTCTGTCCACAAACTCTACATGGCTGGACAGCTCCCTTGCTGCCTCAGCAGCCTTGCCTTGGGTCCTTGCCCTGTTGGACAGCTCCCCTGCCTTGCAAGCAGATGGGGAATCAGAACCTCACAGCATCAGGAGTGATGATTCTAGCCTGCAAGAGTACAACCCACTTCCCAATTGCTTTATGAAGAAATCCACGCAATTGGGAACCCGGTGCTGCTTTCTTAACGTGTAGCTTTGCCCTAAATGTAGGGCGGCTTCTAAATACAACAGAGACACAACAGAGGCGCGGAAGGATGAGAGATGACATCATCTGG